TACCCGGACATTACCCTGGCATTACCCTGGCATTACCCGGACATTACCCTGGCATTACCCTGGCATTACCCTGGCATTACCCTGGCATTACCTGGACATTACCCGGACATTACCCGGACATTACCCTGACATTACCCTGGCATTACCCTGGCATTACCCTGACATTACCCTGGCATTACCCTGGCATTACCTGGACATTACCTTGACATTACCCTGACATTACCCTGGCATTACCTTGACATTACCCGGACATTACCCGGACATTACCCTGGCATTACCCTGGCATTACCCTGGCATTACCCGGACATTACTCTGACATTACCCTGACATTACCCTGACATTACCCTGGCATTACCCTGGCATTTCCCTGACATTACCCTGGCATTACCCTGGCATTACCCTGGCATTACCCGGACATTACCCTGGCATTACCCGGACATTACCCTGACATTACCCTGGCATTACCTTGACATTACCCTGACATTACCCTGGCATTACCCTGGCATTACCTTGACATTACCCTGACATTACCCTGGCATTACCTTGACATTACCCGGACATTACCCTGACATTACCCTGGCATTACCCTGGCATTACCTTGACATTACCCGGACATTACCCGGACATTACCTGGACATTACCTTGACATTACCCTGACATTACCCTTGCATTACCTTGACATTACCCGGACATTACCCGGACATTACCCTGATATTACCCGGACATTACCCTGGCATTACCCTGGCATTACCCTGACATTACACTGACATTACCCGGACATTACCCGGACATTACCTGGACATACCCGGACATTACCCTGGCATAACCCGGACATTACCCTGACATTACCTGGACATACCCGGACATTACCCTGGCATTACCCGGACATTACCCGGACATTACCCGGACATTACCCGGACATTACCCGGACATTACCAGGACATTACCCGGACATTACACTGACACTACCCGCACATTACCCGGACATTACCCTGACATTACCCTGACATTACCCGGACATTACCCGGACATTACCCGGACATTACCTGGACATTACCCGGACATTACACTGACATTACCCGGACATTACCCGGACATTACCCTGACACTACCCGCACATTACCCGGACATTACCCGGACATTACCCGGACATTACCCGGACATTACCCGGACATTACCCGGACATTACCTGGACATTACCCGGACATTACACTGACATTACCCGGACATTACCCGGACATTACACTGACATTACCTGGACATACCCTGACATTACCCGGTCATTACCTGGACATACCCGGACATTACCCTGGCATTACCCTGGCATTACCCGGACATTACCCTGGCATTACCCTGACATTACCCTGACATTACCCTGACATTACCATGACATTACCCTGACATTACCCGGGCATTACCTTGACATTACCCGGACATTACCCTGGCATTACCCGGACATTACCCTGGCATTACCCTGACATTACCCGGACATTACCCTGACATTACCCTGACATTACCCTGGCATTACCCTGGCATTACCCTGGCATTACCCTGACATTACCCGGACATTACCCTGACATTACCCTGACATTACCCTGGCATTACCCTGGCATTACCCTGGCATTACCCTGACATTACCCGGACATTACCCTGGCATTACCCGGACATTACCTTGACATTACCTTGACATTACCCGGACATTACCCGGAGATTACCATGACATTACCCTGACATTACCCGGACATTACCCTGACATTACCCTGACATTACCCGGACATTACCCGGACATTACCCTGACATTACCCTGGCATTACCCGGACATTACCCGGACATTACCCGGACATTACCCGGACATTACCTGGACATTACCCGGACATTACACTGACACTACCCGGACATTACCCGGACATTACCCTGACATTACCCGGACATTACCCGGACATTACCCGGACATTACCCGGACATTACCTGGACATTACCCGGACATTACACTGACATTACCCGGACATTACCCGGACATTACCCTGACATTACCCTGACATTACCCGGACATTACCCGGACATTACACTGACATTACCTGGACATACCCTGACATTACCCGGTCATTACCTGGACATACCCGGACATTACCCTGGCATTACCCTGGCATTACCCTGACATTACCCTGGCATTACCCTGACATTACCCTGACATTACCCTGACATTACCCTGGCATTACCCTGGCATTACCCTGACATTACCCGGACATTACCCTGACATTACCATGACATTACCCGGACATTACCCGGACATTACCCGGACATTACCTTGACATTACCCTGACATTACCCTGGCATTACCCTGGCATTACCCTGGCATTACCCTGACATTACCCGGACATTACCCTGACATTACCCTGACATTACCCTGGCATTACCCTGGCATTACCCTGGCATTACCCTGACATTACCCGGACATTACCCTGACATTACCCTGGCATTACCCGGACATTACCTTGACATTACCTTGACATTACCCGGACATTACCCGGAGATTACCATGACATTACCCTGACATTACCCGGACATTACCCTGACATTACCCTGACATTACCCGGGCATTACCCGGACATTACCCGGACATTACCCTGGCATTACCCTGGCATTACCCTGACATTACCCGGACATTACCCGGACACTACCCTGACATTACCCGGACACTACCCTGACATTACCCGGACATTACCCGGACATTACCTTGACATTACCCGGACATTACCTGGACATTACCCGGACATTACCAGGGCATTACCTTGACATTACCCTGACATTAACTGGTATTATTGCTCTCTGAAAAGTGGTCTGGCTGTCTACGGTGCCGTGTCTCCCTGTGAAGAGTTCGAATCTGGGTTTGCTCCAACAATAAGCTGACACCATGTTATACCTAGGACCGATAGTTTAATATTCTGGGATTAGGGGCCATTGATGTTTTTATTATAAATGACTTATTCGAGAACATAAGGTATTGTTGCCACAATTGATATTAATTGCTTGAAATCCCGCACGTCTTGAAAAATTTCAACTTTCATAGCACCAGCATACAAACGTAGAGCGTTGCTTTCTCTCGGGCCATTTCAACTGTAGGAATATGAACTACATGATTCACCAGTATTTCCGAATCGACTGCGATGCTCTGTTGGTAATCCACATTGCCAGTTTGTCATATGGGTGTTCTTCGTGGCACAGACAGATCTTAGATACAACGATTCCTGCTTTCTCATCATTCTATGTAGTTTCTGTATATTTCCTGTGTGTATGTACACACAGTTTAAGACCTAGCAGGCAACGGCTAGCAACCTCAAGCTTGTGAAGCGATCAACTTGGTGATGACAAGTGCTATATGGTAGTCTGACGCTATCAATACTAATGGTTCTTATTTATCGGAGACACCATACATTTTATCAATAATGTCATGCCGGTTTTGTGCAGGTTTTGTGCAGGTTTTGTGCAGTTGTATCACTGACCATCTCTCTGTAGGTGTCATGGCAACAAGCAGGTATACGGGTCTGATTGGGTTGGGGAAGATGCATATCCCATAGCACCTCCGCCGAAACCGTGTTATCCCATAGAGGTGAGGAGAATTGCGGTTCCACGTCGCATTCAAGATTATTTTAAGACATCCGTGCACGTGTGTATGGGCGCGTGCGTGTGTATCCTCTGGTACTAGTCCGGATTATGCCGATTTAATTGTGCTAGTCCATAGACAACCATGCCGTAGTTAAACATGGACACAGTACACTGCCTACCTGTCCATGGTTTAGCCCCTTAATGCCACGCGAGGCAGGGTAACAACAAGTACCATCTTCTAACGTCTTTTGGTATGACGCGGCCAGGGGATCGAACTACCGACCTTCCCGACAGGACGCTCTATCCACTTAACCACAGACGCCATCTATTTCCACTCAAGGCTAACAAAACCCCGACGCCACGCCACGCTTAATCTAATCACGTTAAATCTTACCGAACATGCAGCTCGATATGCACCGTTGTGTAACTGTTAAGTGTATCTCGAGATTACGAGTAACTCTCCTCGATATATTGAGTGTATCCGAATAATTCCACTCAAAAAGAAACTTGCAGCCATGGCCTGTCAATCAAAATTCAGTCTACGTCACCAGCGCATATAACGTGACACCCGTTTTGCACGTGCACAAAATAGAGACCCGTCGATACTAGATGTGAATCCATTTGGGTTTCAGCAGTCGAAGGAGACGGGATATCGTCATCGCCCCTCAAAATGTCTTGTGACACTATTTTACTTCAACAACTAACAGTTGTATTTTTGTATTCATTTCCCGACAACACCCACTCATTTAAATACCCTGAGAGCGGAATATCATTGGTTCGACCCTCGGCCGCGTCATGCCAAAAGGTTTCACCGAAGTGGTAAACGTCTAAGACCTGCACCACTTCGGGCTTTCCTCCCACATCAACCTGACACGCCGTGGTATAACTGGAATAATGTTAAAAAGGGCGTTAACCCAACCCACTCACTCACTCATGTCAAAAAGACATTAAACAGTGGTGCTTGTTGTTACCCTGCCTAGCGCTCTGCATTAAAGGGATAAAACAAACTGATCTGCTCGGCGTCAGGATACTGTGTTTCAGTGAGGTTTCCATGTTAAACTCAGGCATGATATAAAGGGCTAGCACTGTGAAACCGGCTTTAGTCCGGAACAGTGCAAGCTGACACGCGCATGTACGTCGCTATTTAAGTCTAATTTCACCTCACATCCTTGGAGATATGTAGACAAACATGTGAAACAAGTGTTACACGAAGAGCGTTTTTATCAACACTCCAACAGAAATATACCCGATAGTCCAAGCTGACATGGGGTAGCGCTAGTTGGTGATTAGAGCCTGTCTGGCACATTGAAATGAATTGGGTAGATATGAGGGTCGGTTACCTATCTCTGCCGCACGCAATACCAGGACTCCCGCTGCGCTGCTGAGGGGAGGGTTAGAGCTAGGGGGAGGGAGTACGACAGAGCGGAACTTGTCGGTCTACTGCTAAAGGAAGTACTACGGTAGCAGGTCGTTTCCAAAACATGGCGTAACACACTGTCTTCTGTTTGTACAAATGAATGATGAAGTTCCAGTTCGTGTCTGGTTTGGTTGTCCACCTGGGACTACTGCTGTTATGTAAGTATATGATAAGTTTATGTCTAAATAGCGGGGTTTCGCTGGTATCAGGATATAGTTTGATTCAGTATGCCTGTAATGTATTTATGTTGTTGTAAATTATGTTTGGATACCAATATGATTTATAGCATTAGTATTTCATTATGTCTTTACATTGTGATGTGTTAAAGCTCAGTAATTATCAGTAATATGTGTGTATGTGTGTGTGTGTGTGTGTGTGTGTGTGTGTGTGTGTGTGTGTGTGTGTGTGTGTGTGTGTGTGTGTGTGTGTGTCTGTGTGTGTGTCTGTGTGTGTGTCTGTGTGTGTGGCTCCTTGTACTAGTCCGGACTGATGCCGATTTATGGTACTAGCTCACTGAGATACCATACCGCAGTTTAACATGAATACCCCACTAAGTCACATTATACTGACTCCGAGCCGACCAGTCCTATATATTCATCATGGAGATAATTAATGTTTGCAACACACACTAGTTCCGACATATAGGTGCATATATGTGGATACTTAAACTATAACAAAGAACGTCAAGGCCAGAGGTTAGCTAGTCTCGATTATCAGCCAAACAGAATCTTCTGGGCGTCAAGGGCAAAATAGAGCTGAGATTATATGAATGAGTCACTGACGCTCAGTGATGACACCATGTGTTCAAGAAACGGCTAAGCACGTTCTGCCATACCGGTAGCAACCGCCACTCATACAATTTGCACAAAAAAGTAAGGATCTGTTGTACATCAGACCTCCCGCCATACGACTGCGGTCTGTAAACAAACCAGAATATCAGTGATGGACCAGAAAACCCAGACAGGATAGAACATTTACTGATTTTGTTGAAACTGAAAGCGATAAGTTAATTTTGAACAACGTCTGCTGTGTGCAAACGCAGAAATTCTGCAACTTACTCACTCACTCATGTATTTGATCGTGTTATAAGTTCAAAACTCGGACGATTAGTTGTTAGCCATTTGAATTCGACCATGTCTGATAATTTTTCTGTAATTTTAAGTGTTTTTTGCATTTCAGTTAGACCCGTATCTTACCGCGTTCTTTCGGAAATAATTGATTATGTTTATTGGCCTTTGAACTTCGTAATATCCGGAGTCGAGTGAATCCGCCTGAAGGAGCCAGCTGACTGTGTTTCAGGTCTCCTCACGACCATCATCATGACGATGAACAAGGCCTTCATCCAGGCTTACAACGCCGGCCTCAGCGTGGACCTGAGGGGCTACCAGATCGAGCCTGACGTTTCCGTCGGCGTCCACGTCTTGCTACTGGCTGTTGCGGTGCGTGATGTTGTGTTGTACGAAGGCTGGTCAAAAAGTTCTAACCCAAACAAACAAACAACTGTTGTAAAAGTGGGGTTTTTTTCATTTTATTTTTCAACATAATCTCCCTGCTTTTCAATAAACTTTCAATACTCATATCGATAGTGAAGCTTTTCAATTCCAGTCAGGAAGAAGTTTCCTGAAACATCCTTGGAAAACCCATTCCCGGCAGCTTTGAGGTAATCGTTGTCGTCATAGCGCTTTCCACGAAGGTGTTCTTTCAGTTAAGGAAATAGCTGGAAATCACTTGGTGCCAGGTCTGGGGAGTATGGAGGATGAGGAAGCTCTTTGAACCCACATTGTATCACAGCAGCCTTTGCAAGTCGAGAGGTGTGAGAAGAGGCATAGTAGGCACCGGTAATCATCTTTTCACTTTCTAAGTAAGCAACAAGGACCACGCCCTTTGCATTCCCGAATACAGTGGCCATAACTTTCTTCGCTGATCTTGAAGACTTCCAAATGTCTTTGGTGCCGGTGGAGTGGAATGGTGCCAGTCCATGGATTGACGTTTTGACTCGGGATCCTCCTCAATTAGCTTTAGATTTTCTCTGGCAATGTCAGTTCTTTTTTCCTTAAGATCAGAATTTAGAAACTTTGGCACCCAACGAACAGATGTCTTATTCATCTGTAAATGTTCATGAATAATAGTTTCACATGAATTCATGCCTTAGACTTGTGTCTTTCTCAAGTTTAGCAATGGTAATACGTCTATCTGACAGTATAAGTTTTTCTATATCCTTGATTGAATCTTGAAGTTGAGGGACGTCCAGACCTAGGGTCATCATCAAGGCTTGTTCTCCCTGCCTTAAACATAGCTGTCCAACGTTTAACAGTGGAATAGCTAGGGCACTTATCCCCATAAACTGGTGACATGCCGTCATGAATTTCAAGTAAAAAACTTGATGACTGCTCGATACTCGTTTTTTTCCATTTTTGTGTCTATTTGGACCCCTATCACGTTCACGTGGCTGTCACTAATATACAAACGGCCCCAACAAACCAAATGCATAAGGGAAAGAATTTATGGATGTCAACTTTTTTATTATGAGGAGCACAACGTTTCAGAGCATATACTACTTACTCGGGTCATTTACCTGATGAAGGAGAAAGTACTCGTATATACACTGAAACGTTCATCCATAAATTCTCTTCCTTGTGTGTATCACTTCTAGATGCCTTTCAAAGACTGACCAAATACACTTGCAATGAATTACACAAACAATGTACCGCATTAACTAGTTCACTTTGTTATGGGCCATAGTTGAAGGTTAGTCCGGGTTAGAACTTTGTGACCAGTCCTCGTGTCATGAAACCCATCTTTGCTCATCCACTGTATCATGTCTCCATTCTGTTACTCTTCGTTTAGAATCTAATTCGAATGACGCTAAAAGTAACCATTCATCCATTCAAATGACACTGATGTACGAGAAGAATTGTAAGGGTGATAGAGCTGGTGATCTTAAATTCAAGACGAACTATGATAGCGGATGCGCATGGGATATTTATCATTCTATATAGTACCCTCGATAATCCGGGATGCATACCATCATGTTTGTTTTGTTGGTTTGTTGTTTAACACCACACTCAGCAATATTCCAGCTATATGACGGCGGTCTGAAAATAATCTAGTCTGGGCCAGACAATCCAGTGATTGATGTCATGAGCATCGATCAGCGCAATTGAGGTACGATGACATGCATCAACCAAGTCAGCTAGCCTGACCACCCGATCCCGTTAGTCGCATCTAAGGACAAGCATGGGTTGCTGAAGACCTATTCTCAAGGGCGCACACCATCATGTAATATGTATAGGGCGTTTTGCTTAGGGAATGTTTATGTTTTTCTTTATTATCTTCCAATTTTTCTTAAATATTAACGCCAAGTTATATGCATATTGATAACATAAAGACGCATGATGTCAGAAACAACAAACGTCCAGATGATTAATAAGCGTATTATATTTTTTTTATGTTTTTTTCTCACAGATGTTTGTGCCATCATTAACAGGTTTGTTCTACGTGTGCATCAAGAAGGAGGCGCAAAAGGTAAGCATACAAGCCTAGAGGAACGAGACCAGTGAGCACGCTACTGTCAAACTCCTGAAACAGTCAATATGTGATGATGCTAAAATAATGCTCCAAAACGTCCTGTTAAGGGAACATTTCAAAAGTTGGATGTTGGATTAAATACTGAAAAGTTTGAGACCATACACCTCCATCACCCTGGTACTTTAAGGTGATATGATCAATGTGAATATTAGAAGAAAGGCATACACAAATCAAAGCACCATAAAAATAATTGGGGGTAAGGTATTTAGGCATCCCCATTGGGCACCAATTGCGCTCCCTCGCCTTCCTCTTGCGGAATGGTTTCGTTATGGATATGAATCTGAATTCATGCTCTGATTGCCAAAGTCAAAAGAAGGTAGTTTTGCCAAGAAGGTTTAGCTTCAGGTATATCGGTGATCGGTGAAAGAATTTTGACACATTTTACCTACACCATGCTGTTCAGTTTCAGTGAATCAGTGTGACAATTTGATCTGTGGTTAGTGGCCTGAACTGTAAAAACGTTTAGTAAATACACGTTAGACAGGTTAAGTTCTAAACTTGTTAGGGATCCATGTTTAATGCTAAATGAAGCAATGGTTTCGCGTTTTCATCTAAACGCGTACCAACAACCCCCAATACCTACACGTTTATATTCTAGACGCGCATATTACATTTTAAACACAATTCTAGACATATTTAGGATATAAACATGTTTCTGCCTTTGTTTTAGCGGTTCTACAAGAAGAGACTGCGAGTTGTCCATGTAACCTTCCTTCTGGTGGGGATTGTCGTCTTGATTGTGCTGCTGTGTTCCGAAGCGGCAGCTATTGGTGACATCAACAGCGTCAACTGCAGTCTCGACTACAACAACTGCAGATGTTTAGATGCAGACACGTAAGAATACGTCAAATGACCAATACAGATCGCCAAATGTCTCCGAATTTACGTCTTTACGACTAAACCTTGCTCGTGTTCCAGTTCTGAAATATATGTTCCTGTTCTGAAATATATATGTTCCTGTTCTGAAACTTCAGCATGATCCTGTTCTGCACCTTCAGCATGATCTTGCTTTAAAAATTCAGCATGATCCTGTTCTTAACTTTCCGTATGTTCCTGTTCTTAACTTTCCGCATGTTACTGATCTGAACCTTCAGCATGATCCTGTTTTTAACCTTCAGCGTGATCCTCAACTGAACATTCATCCTGTTCCTGATGTGGATCTACTGCGTGTTTCTGTTTCTAACCTTATGGTAACGTGATAAGCGTGATACCAGATCACTTCGGGCGTTCCTCCCACATCCATGATGTATTAAAACATTGTTCAAAGCGGCGTTAAACCCACCCACTCACTCATTCACAAAATGGCACCATTGCCGACTCCTTGTTCCCCCTTCCAGATCCAACAACGTATGTGCATGCCGACAGCTCAGGATATCCTACTTTGTTTTCATAACCTTGGCATTGTGTTGTGAGATCACCAGCTTGTTACTTGCAGCAAAGTTGGTAAGTACAAAATCTTTTTCACATCAGCAACTGCACTAAGTGTGTTACATAAGGGTTGTAACGTTTGATTATATATGCTTCAAAATTGTCTTTGGTGTCATTGGAACCCATCTCAGAAACATTTTGCATCTCAAAAGAAGTTCAATTCTGTCAAGACTTTTTTTCAACCTTGTACACCACTATCACACCAGACAAACTCACGGAAAACTACATTCCTTGATCCTTTGTTACTATACTTGGTGGTCTCTGATATCGTTACATCAAAGCCTTCAAAGGTTATGGACACCGGAACTAGAAATATAAGATGTCCATGAAACATCTGTATCATTTTGTCTGTTTGTTGTTTAACGCCTCACTCAGCACTATTTCCAGTTATATATCGGCGGCCTGTATGTAATCGAGTCTGTACCAGACAGTCCAGTGATTGACATCATGAGCATCGGTCCACAAAATTGGGATATGATGTCATGCATCAACCAAGTCAGCGAGCCTGACCACCCAGGCTCGTTAGTCGCCTCTTGCCGAAAGCATGGGTCGCTGAAGACCTATTCTCTACCCGGATCTTCACGGGTCCATCTGTTCCATAATTACATCTATGCATAAAGATTCGGACTGACAAACTATCCACAAAGTTGTATGTCAAGAGGGATGACTTCAACCCGGGCTCGTTAGTCGCCTCTTGTCGCAAGCATGGGTCGCTGAAGACCTATTCTCTACCCGGATCTTCACGGGTCCATCTGTTCCATAATTACATCTATGCATAAAGATTCGGACTGACAAACTATCCACAAAGTTGTATGTCAAGAGGGATGACTTCAACCCGGGCTCGTTAGTCGCCTCTTGCCGAAAGCATGCGTCGCTGAAGACCTATTCTCTACCCGGATCTTCACGGGTCCATCTGTTTCATAATTACATCTATGCATAAAGATTCGGACTGACAAACTATCCACAAAGTTGTATGTCAAGAGGGATGACTTCAACCCGGGCTCGTTAGTCGCCTCTTGCCGAAAGCATGCGTCGCTGAAGACCTATTCTCTACCCGGATCTTCACGGGTCCATCTGTTTCATAATTACATCTATGCATAAAGATTCGGTCTGACAAACTATCCACAAAGTTGTATGTCAAGAGGGATGACTTCAACTTTCCAACAGTCAATTTTCCCTTAATGTCGAGCCATATTGCAGCAGCTCCAGCCTTTGGTGTCCACATGTCACAATTTCTGAGTTACAATCAAACCTGCAATTTCTACCAACATTACAAAGATCGTCATACAAGTCTTGAAAGAAGTTGTTTGATCGGGGTTACAGCATTAAGGCTTTCAATAAAAAGTGTCATGGTAGACATGTGGAGGACATTCCTAAACTTGACCAAAATTTGTCCGATGCAGTTCCTTATTTAGACTTGTAACATTTGGTCCTGTGTTTGTTCAAGTGAATACCTGACTTGCCGTTGCATGTGTTTGTGATGGGTGTCACCGATGGGGCAGGATACGCTCACCTTTTCACGAACACCTGGTATCACCACTAATTGTAGGAAATCATAAACACTTGCTTATGACACTCGGAATCACACAACGGATTTCTTATGATGATGAAAATAATTTAGTGGCCTTAGTTATTCTAATATTATGAATCATTATATCTATGTTTTAAATTATCTATTGTTCCTCTATCAATACAATTAATCGCAGTTGAATAAATCTGAAATCAGAAACACTGTTTTACAAGACGGTTAATTGTACAATCACATTTCAGATTAAATGTCCACCATGCGCGGGTGCTGGCGCTGTCGGCCAAGGTCCAACTGAAAACTCCACCATGGCTTCTTCAGTGGCTCCACGTACAACTCAAGGCGAAGGAAGCACATCCGATGCGAAGTAGTGTTTAGATGATCTTGAACCGGAAGTAGAGTTCCAAGCGAGTTTGGTGTTTCCGCTCTAATCTGCAGGAGTCAACGATCGATGAGAATCTCACGAAGATGGAGATTGTTCTATACTGAAGGAGACTAATCCATCGGTGTTCCTATAATAACTGACTTCCAAGGGACCTAGTATCGTTGCTATGAGACGCTGATATTTTCTTTTTTTCTAGGTGAAGTGCCCAGTACCCTCGAACATATGTGTATGGAAATTATTCTGAAGACCTGAGTACAGTGGAACCCCGTTAATCCGGACAATATCCTTCCGATTGAAATTGTCCACAATCACAGGTCCGGATAAGCGAATGTAGTACTACTACTAAGTAATGTTCGTGTTTGCATATCATATGTGATGATATTGTACATTCTAAAAATATACATTTCTAATAACAAACCAATGTTGCATAAAATATGCCTTATGTTTTTGCATAGTTTGTAAGCAAAGTTACACACAGTAATAAACTTGTAAATATGACATTGGTTTCTGTCATCCTGTGTGTCCATGCGCCAGATGCATGGCTGTACGGGTCTGTGCCAGAAGGGTTTGCATTACACAGTGGGGCACGGGTGGCCCAGGCGTCTAAGGCGCCGCGATTCGCTGTGCTGAGTTGCGTTCCTTTGGCACGCCAGAAACCTATGACTGTGGGTTCGAATCCCGGTTCATCCAGATTATGTTTCTAGGTTTGTCAGCACCTTGCCCGTGGGTTTCACCGAAGTGGTAAACGTCTGAGACGGCATTCCTCCCACATTAAGCTACCACGCCGCGGATATAACTCGAACACTCACTCACTCACTCACTCACTACATTACACAGCCTGTAACATGGAATCGAGCCTGGTGCAAGCAACCCAGTGGTTGATGAGCATTGATCCATGCCTTTGTGGACATCAAGGGCTTAGAGTTACCCCACAACAAATACAAATACTGTTCCCACTCTGTGATAGTACGATAAACATGTTCTTGGATTATAAACATAGGCCCCTCTTCACATAGCGATGGTAACGCTGGGATTGTCGTAAGTCTATAAGAAAGATAGTCTCAGCGCTACTGTCGCTTTGTGAAACGGGGCCTTAGTGACTAAACTTAAACCAGATTTGAAAAGTGTGAGTTGAACTTTACGCCAATGTGACCAGTATTTCAGTTGTATCGTTGTATGTCCGCCTTATGCGGGAGGAAGGTGAATCTGGCACTGGTCAAGGACGTTTACCGGCATGGTAATCACGAGATTGGGTACTGGCAAACCAGGGATCATGATCAAGGCGACCTTTGGATTCGAACCCAAAATTCATGGTTTCAGTATTGTGAAATGCCATGACCCTCTTGCTGTTTGTTTGTTTGTTGTTTAACGCCACACTCAGCAATATTCCAGCTACATGACGGTGGTATGTAAATAATCGAGTCTGGACCAGACAATCAAGCCCTGTATATCGACACCTCCCGAACTCGAAGTTCTGGGGACCGTCGACACAATATCGAGTAACTATAGTTAGAAACAAGCGAAGTATCGGCATATTATTTTGTCCCGGACAAATAGCGAGGTCGTTTCGATCAGCGATTTCACTACCGTCAACCCGAAGTAGTTTTGTTATGGATTTTAACTACCTTGGTTCTCAACGCCGAGACAGTATCTATTACACTGTGGCGTTATTTTCAGTGTGTTTATCTCCCGATCCAAAATGCAATTGCAGCTGGGAGATTGTCTACCATGGTAGTCCTTCCGTCAGCATAAACATCGAGAAACGCCAAACAGCGCCGTCAAAGCAACGCAATGTTGCATGCCCCATTAACCAGTAACTTGATCTCTGTTAAACTGACACGTGTATAATAGTCTTGGGGCAAGATGCTGACGTAGATAACACAAACAGCTATTGCCGTGTGATAATATTTACTCGTCTTTGACCATTGCAAATTCTATATATTACCCAATGCTTTTTGCCAACAAAATGAAAAAAAGACTCCAGCCCAGCCAATCTGTTGTCGACGTCACGAAGGACCATGGACGCCATCTTTAATTATTTGCGAAAGTGCAACGTCGCGTTGCTATGGACCGTTTCCAAAACAGTGAATACAATGGAATGCGAATTATTCAGGCAGCAAGAAGAACAATATTCAATGTTAGGTGAGGAGTACTTGTAAGTGAAAATATATCCTCGCCGCTGTGGTTAAAACATAATTATTGTGTGTTATCACAAAATAAATAATCCTGCATGTATATAAAGGAATATACTTCTTTCATGAGAAGCAACATTGCATTAACTTTAAAAAAAATATATCTATGGGCAGTGCGTGTCGAGATGTGAGCCAGGCGCTGGTTGTGAATAGACCGGGGAGGTCTGGCTTCGTGTGTATCCGAGAACTGTTACAAAGATCAATTACAATCATGCTTTCAATAAATCAGTGCATGTCGATGTTTGTGTAACTGTTTGTTTATCTTCCTCTGGGTATATTTACATAACATGCGTCTGGAATTTGCTTATCACGGAGGTTTATAGCTGTGTGGTGCAATGAAACTTCATGGATAGGGACAAGTTATGTCTTATTCGTTATAGCTGGAGTTCGTTATATTCGGGGTTCGTAAAGGAAGTCGTTTTTTTCTGAGATTGTTGCTTGTTAAAGCAGCTCTTGGTCTGTGTTCAGGTATCGGAGTCTGTGTTCAGGTGTCGGAGTCTATGTTCAGGTGTCGGAGTCTTTGTTCAGGTGTCGGAGTCTATGTTCAGGTATCGGAGTCTTTGTTCAGGTGTCGGGGTCTGTGTTCAGGTGTCGGAGTCTATGTTCAGATGTCGGAGTCTGTGTTCAGGTGTCGGAGTCTATGTTCAGGTATCGGAGTCTGTGTTCAGGTGTCGGAGTCTATGTTCAGGTGTCGGAGTCTATGTTCAGTAGTGGGAGTCTATGTTCAGGTGTCGGAGTCTATGTTCAGGTATCGGAGTCTGTGTTCAGGTGTCGGAGTCTATGTTCAGGTGTCGGAGTCTGTGTTCAGGTATCGGAGTCTTTGTTCAGGTATCGGAGTCTGTGTTCAGGTGTCGGAGTCTATGTTCAGGTATGGGAGTCTGTGTTCAGGTGTCGGAGTCTGTGTTCAGGTATCGGAGTCTGTGTTCAGGTGTCAGAGTCTGTGTTCAGGTATCGGAGTCTGTGTTCAGGTGTCGGAGTCTGTGTTCAGGTGTCGGAGTCTGTGTTCAGTTGTCGGAGTCTATGTTCAGGTATCGGAGTCTGTGTTCAGGTATCGGAGTCTGTGTTCAGGTGTCGGAGTCTATGTTCAGGTATCGGAGTCTATGTTCAGGTATCGGAGTCTGTGTTCAGGTATGGGAGTCTGTGTTCTTGTGTCGGAGTCTGTGTTCAGGTGTCGGAGTCTGTGTTCAGGTGTCGGGGTCTATGTTCAGGTGTCGGGGTCTATGTTCAGGTGTCGGAGTCTATGTTCAGGTATCGGAGTCTATGTTAAGGTATCGGAGTCTATGTTCAGGTATCGGAGTCTATGTTCAGGTATCGGAGTCTATGTTCAGGTGTCGGAGTCTATGTTCAGGTATCGGAGTCTATGTTAAGGTATCGGAGTCTATGTTAAGGTATCGGAGTCTATGTTCAGGTATCAGAGTCTATGTTCAGGTATCGGAGTCTATGTTCAGGTATCGGAGTCTGTGTTCAGGTATGGGAGTCTGTGTTCTTGTGTCGGAGTCTGTGTTCAGGTGTCGGAGTCTGTGTTCAGGTGTCGGGGTCTATGTTCAGGTGTCGGAGTCTGTGTTCAGGTGTCGGAGTCTATGTTCAGGTATCGGAGTCTATGTTAAGGTATCGGAGTCTATGTTCAGGTATCGGAGTCTATGTTCAGGTATCGGAGTCTATGTTCAGGTGTCGGAGTCTATGTTCAGGTATCGGAGTCTATGTTAAGGTATCGGAGTCTATGTTAAGGTATCGGAGTCTATGTTCAGGTATCAGAGTCTATGTTCAGGTATCGGAGTCTATGTTCAGGTATCGGAGTCTATGTTCAGGTGTCGGAGTCTATGTTCAGGTGTCGGAGTCTATGTTCAGGTGTCAGAGTCTATGTTCAGGTGTCGGAGTCTATGTTCAGGTGTCGGAGTCTATGTTCAGGTGTCGGAGTCTATGTTCAGGTGTCGGAGTCTATGTTCAGGTGTCGGAGTCTATGTTCAGGTATCGGAGTCTATGTTCAGGTATCGGAGTCTTTGTTCAGGTGTCGGAGTCTATGTTCAGGTATCGGAGTCTGTGTTCAGGTGTCGGAGTCTATGTTCAGGTAACAGAGTCTATGTTCAGGTGTCAAGGGTCTTTGTTCAGGTGTCGGGGTCTGTGTTCAGGTGTCGGAGTCTATGTTCAGGTATCGGAGTCTATGTTCAGGTATCGGAGTCTTTGTTCAGGTGTCGGAGTCTATGTTCAGGTATCGGAGTCTGTGTTCAGGTGTCGGAGTCTATGGTCAGGTTCACTCACTCACTCACTCACTCGCTCACTCAGTAAATCAGTTCCGCTATCACCACTGCATGCACTAGAGCTCGGAACCACAGGATTTCACTGCATGTGGAAGGACCGAGTCAGTGACAACCCTTATCTCTCACATGGAATCAATATTTACGATACGATAAGAGTGTTCATTTGTGGTGAGTCACAACACAATGTGCAATGACTGCGTCGATGACCTCCGATCTTTGCTTGAAGCATTCCGCAGTCGTCGAGTGGATTATTCGGATGGCCGGGTCGACAACGTCATACAGCGGTAATCATTGCAGAGTATATACGGTAATAGAGCTGTTCTCAGGCTAGCGCGGTAGTGTTACTAGGCAGTGCTGTCGGTCGGCTCTATTCCTGAGCGGTGGACTATGAAGAGATTATAGGGTTCTATGTAAAGACTGTCCAGCCCGAGACGCCATCATGGACCTGGATCAAACCATCTCCATTCTCACAACGACGTTGCTGATATTTTTGGGTAAGGTGTTAGATAAAGCACATGTTGTAGCCATGGAGTTGCAGATCCTGGGCGATATTAGAAGAAATATGTTTCATTTTGTGTTCTGTGTTTGGCTGTTTGTCGTTTATTACATAATCCATCTTTGTCAGTAAGGACACAGCCGTCTTTGTACACACTTACTCGACTCTCGTAAGGGTGGCCCAGTTGCGTCCTTTAGCCGTGCTAGGATCCGCTGACTTTGGGTTCGAACCCCGGCTTATGGTCCAATGATCAGTGCAGAGCGTACATACACACGGATATTATCCCGGTTCTCCACCCCAGTAAACGTCTGACAGGTGAAGACCAAGGGTAGAATAGGTCTTCAGCAACCCATTCTTGCCGTAAAAGGCAACTATGCTTGTCGAAAGAGGCGACTAACGGGATCGGGTGGTCAGGCTCGCTGATTTGGTTCATGCTTGTCATCGTATCCCAGTTGCGTTTACATGCTGTCAATCACTGGATTGTCTGGTCCAGACTTGATTATTTACAGACCGCCGTCATATAGCTGGAATATAAAACAAAAACAAAAAAAACGTCTACAACACTGTGGGTATTTCTCCCACATCAAGCCGAGAAACTACTGACACACTGTTCGAAGCCACGTCAACCAAATTCACTGGTCTCGTGTATCATAGAGACTATTCCGAGAGGCAGGATACTGGAGGTTTTCCTTTGTCCGAGTTGATAGTTGTATCTGGGTAGGTAATACACAAGCATATTTATGATTTAATTGTTTACATCAGTTAGTCGCGGTTCAGAAATAACAATGACTTATGCCTAATGACATCACAGAAACGTTAAGCTGTTACTGATGATGCTCACAGCATACGAGTGTTTTTGCAGGTATCCAGACATGCATCCTACAAGTCATCAACTTCAGCAACACGAACGGCAACACCGCCATGGACCCCTACGTCATACAGCCCGACATCTCTATCTCCCTCGTCGTCCTTCTCGTCGTCGTCATTGTAAGGATTCTCTGATCTACTCAGTATATATCTTCTCTACTCGTATATATCATCTAATCTACTCAGTCTATATCATCTGCTCTACTCAGTATATATCATCTTCTCTACTCAGTATATATCATCTTCTCTACTCAGTATATATCATCTTCTCTACTCAGTATATATCATCTTCTCTACTCGGTGTATGTCAAACCCGTGACGATCCGGTTTAGAATAGGTCTTCAGCAACCCATGCTTGCCGTAAAAGGCGACTATGCTTGTGGTAAGAGGCGACTAACGGGATCGGGTGGTCAGACTCGCTGATTGGTTGATGCATGTCATCGTATCCCAATTGCGTGGATCGATGCTCATAATGTCAATCACTAGGTTGTCTTGTCCAGACTCGATTATTTACAGAGCGCCGCTGGAATATTGCTTAGTGCGGCGTTAAATAACAAACAGCATATATCATCTGCTCTACTCAGTCTATACAATCTGCTCTACTCAGCATATATCACCTTCTCTCCTCAATATATATCACCTGCTTTTCTCAGTATATCGTCAAGTATATATCATCAACGCCACAAAGCTACCTACCATACATTATTATGTCATCGCAACCAAGTAATTCTCTCTTAGGAACAGTGACACATTATCTGTAACGAGCAGCCACAAATACGGGTGTAGGTGTATTGTGCTCCATTTCCTTCATTGCTGTTATTGTTGTTGTTGTTGTTGTTGTTGTTGTTGTTGTTGTTGTTTTGACCAAGTACTAAACCAATACTCAGGCCCTCCGCTCAAACTGAGATACGACCATGTACCATTAGTGGGAAGAAATGAAAATACAATACTCAAATACGTATTTTTAACTTTTCAGAGCACACACTGCAAAAACTATATGTTTTGTTTTATTTTTAGCTGATTGTACCTGGCGTGACCGCCCTCGTCGCTACCATGAAGAAATCCCCCACCACAGTAAGTACACGTCCCCCATTACACAGCATACGTCCCGTGGTTATATACCTACTGTCATTTTACCTACAGTATTGTGGGTAGCTTTCTATCTCATTGTAACATTGTGAGAGGTACCACTTTCAAGTGAGACTGTTGAGAGGTTTTTCTTTTAAATTGTAACACCTGCTTGGAGTTTTTACATTTGAATTGTAAGCCCTGGGTTTTGCATTTGAATTGTCTGATACAGGCCCGTATTTTCTCACCAAATATTTATTTAATGAACGAAGTTTCGCTAGGAGAATTTTGCTCAACCCCAATATCAACACACACACATACAGATTATTTGCGCGACACCGAATTAAAAAATCAATATAATTTTATATGTATTGCTGACTACATCCCACCAGATTACATCTGTAGCAATACAACATGTTATAACTGTAATATTTATGACTTCACTTCAGCATTATACAGTGGAACCCCGCATATACGGGCCCCTAGATATCCGGAAACCTCGCTTAACGGACGATATTCACGTGACACGAAATATACACATATGCACTACATAAAATACGACCCGTGAAGATCCGGGGTACATTAAGTCTTCAGCAACCCATGCTTGCCGTAAAAGGTGACTATGCTTGTCGTAAGAGGCGACTAACGGGGTTGGGTGGTCATGCTCGCTGACTTGGTTGATGCATGTCATCGTATCCCAATAACGTGGATCGATGCTCATAATATGACTCACTGGATCTGTCTGGTCCACACTCTATCATTTACAGACCGCCGTCATATAGCTGGAATATTGCTGAATGCGGCGTTAAAAAAACGATAAAAAATAAAGCGAAATGACTTCACGTCAGCATTATACAGAACCCTGCCTATCCGGGGCCCCAGATATCCGGAAACCTCGCCTACCGGACGATATTCACTTGACACGAAATATGTATTCATGTACATTGTCAACATAAAATTCTACATTTATCCAGATATCCGGTTTCCGGTCCGGGCTGTAAATTTCAGTTACCAACAGTGCAAAATATACTGATGACGTAAAATACCCCATTCACTGACTCACTGACTCACTGACTCAAACTGACTTACAGCGTGTAGCTCACCTGATCATCATCTCGCTGGCCAGTGCGGGGCTGCTGGCAGTCTTGTGTCAAGACATGTGGACGCTGAGTCAGGTCGGAAACTCGTACTCCTGCACGTGAGCATTGTTTTGTTTGTTTGTTTGTTGTTTGTTGTTTGTTGTTTAACGCTGCACTCAGCAACATTCCAGCTATATGAAGGCGATCTGTAAACAATCGCGTCAATCCAGTGATTGACATTAGTAGCATCGATCAATTGGGATACGATGACATGCATCAACCAAGTCAGCGAGCCTGACTACCCGATCCCGTTAGTCGCCTCTTAGGACAAGCAAGCACTGCTGAAAACCTCTTCTAGCGGATCTTCACGGGTCGTGAGTATTGTTACTTCGGCAATGTTTCTTGCTTATATGACAGACACTTGGTATATTTCTTGTTTTGGAATTGAAACGATACGTGTCATGCTTGGATGGTTCCCTTCTTTAAACACTTTCCCTCATGAATTGAAAACAAATCTGTGAAATCTGTGAATTGATAATGAAATCGAGGAACTACTTCAAAAGAGGGTCACCCCGTGTATGTATAAAGAATAATACTGTGCAATACTGAGAAGTAAGAAAATAGTCCCAACTAACCTCCAGTATTCTGGTATTTTAAACAAAAGCCAAAATACACCGACGCCGTTTATTTCAAATATAGCTGAGTAATCGAAACATTTTACTGACGCTTTAATCTGTGATGACAATTCTTTATTCTGCAGTTGAACCTTTGAATGCAGTGGAATGGTTTAGGTAGTGAGTAGGGTTTTACACCGCTTTAAGCATTATTCCAGCTGTGTCATTGTGGGGGACGTCTTAAACGGCCATCATAAATTGTACAAATGTGAGGAATTAAACCTGTCGTCTTCGGCGTGACGCGCTAACGCTTTAACCACTAGGCTACGACTGGTAGACTGGGTGGTGAATCCATCTTAAGCATACAACAACAACTACTACTACTACTACTACTACTACTACTACTACTACTATTACTACTAGTACTACTACTACTACTACTACTTCTAGTATAAACCATTTAGAGAGCTTGCAATTATTCACAGATTGTCCAGCGTATAATTGACGTGTTTGTTTTCCAGTGTAGGAATCAGTCAAATTGACTCCACCCAACTGTGTACAGCGAGAGACACCAGGATCAGCAACTTTGTACTGATGCTTCTCGGACTCATCATCCTCGTCGCCAACCTCATCTACACCGGCCTAGTCTACTGCAAGAGCAAGGTTAATGAGGTAAGAACGTTACAGACATGTGATTATCCCTTCGTTGGTTTCCGTGATCGCTCGGCACACGCGATAACGGTCGGACGTGCGCCGGGAACCAGCGAAAGTACCCCGCTCTTGACCCCTGACATCGACGTGGTGGTTTTTCCGAGTGTCATCTTGATGTGGGAAGAAGTCCCGAAGTGATGCAGGTCTTAAACCTTGACAGTTTGGTGAAACCACGAGCTTTGGCAGTTGCTGACACGACCAAGAGTAATAAAATCAGGGCGAAAAGTGGGGTTGAATCTGAGAACAGCAGATCCTGCTACACGCAAGGGACGCATCTATTATAAATGATTTCTTCAGATAAAAGCAGTCTTCTGGTATCACTTTAAACTTTGCATTGCAATAAATGAATCCCTACACTTAGGGAGTTTTTAAATCATACATTCATAATAGAGGTATACTCAGAGGCAAAAGTTAGTGGTATGTTCTTTGTCATTTTTAGATTTTACACAAGCATGAGGGGCGGTCGGGTAGCCTAGTGGTTAAAGCGTTGGCTAAAGCACGCCAAATCGATTCCCGACATGGGTACAATGTGTGAAGCCCATTTGTGGTGTCCCCCGCCGTGATATTACTAGAATATTGCTAAAAGCGGCGTAAAACCATACTCACTCACTCACAAGCATGAGCACACCAGTTGTTATCTTTTTATGTTGTTTATTTAGATTTATAAAGTTTAGAATTGAAACAAATACAAAACTTCAAACTCATATTCTGTGAAGCACTGTTAATGTTCATGACATGTGAATTCAAACACATCCCAGATGATTACTTTATCTGTCTATATTCTAGAGGGGTAATTCGTCAGAGAATGAAGGCAAGGAATGAAGAAGTTCCACAAGATTGGCATGAAATTATCACAGATATCTGTAAATATTGACTGATTCGCGGCGCATCATGGAACTTGCTCACGTGAGGAACTATCTTCATCAGCTGATGAACGTCACGAAATACAACTTCAATCCTTAGATGTTCACCGCACACACGTGACAACTCGTAAGTCGTCAACACGGTGAACGGCCATATTGTCATGGTGTCCTGCTTGTGTATACCCGGACGTGAAACTGGCAGATATTGCTTGACGAGTTAAAGCGGCACCTTGTTAAACCGGATTGTTGAATTTCAAACAATTGGGTAGTATTTACTGTATACTTTGAAACGGTGAAAACATACATTATTTCAAGTGTTTGAACAAAGTGGACACAATTTATGGATAACAGCTTCTTTATTTACTGTAAAGGCGACGTTTCGGCATAGATCCTTATACAGTTGTCAAGCAAGATGTTTTTGCATCTTCCTGAGGCAAGGGAGTTAATTAACTATAAAGGTACAGGAAACTGGACTTTTATAGTCAGTTAACGCCCTTGCCTCGGGAAGATGGTTGTTTGTTGCAATTGTTTGTTTGAAAATAAGGTTTCAAAACATGTACAAATATATGCTGATAATTCTTTAAGCAATATCAGCATAATTACAATGTAATCAACTTACAAAATTTAACGGTCAATAACAAAACATAACTTGAGCTGATGTAATTACAAACATCTGTGTATATTTTTGTTGTCATTTAAACATCTTGATCATGTAGATGTGTCAAATGTGTGTCAGTTATTTTGAAGTGGTTAGGGATGCACAGTCGTTATGTGTATTGTGTGGTTAAAGTCTCGCTCGTCACGCGGAAGGCCCGGTTCGATTCCCCACATGGGTACAATGTGTCAAGGCCATGTCTGGTGTCCCCCGCCGTGATATTGCTGGAATAATGCTATAGAGGCATAAAACCATCACTTACTCCATATTGTATGCTTTTAATACCATATACTCAACAACAAAAGTGACGACCTATCAAGGGTAAAATATTACGCGATGTGTTCAAAACATGCTTGTTCACATGAAACTCAGCCAGTAATAATTACCATTGATGAAACGACCTTTAAGTTAAACGGCCACGACATGGCCTTGTCGATGGTTAGCTGGTGGAATGGTCTTCAGCTGTTGCTAGGTAACAAGCAAATGGCTATGGTGAGGTGAGGTGAAATTGGGTTTAACGTCGCGTCCAAGATTATTGCACTTATATAGCGACGTGCATGCACGTGTGTGTGTGTGTGTGGCTGCTTGTACTAGACCGGACTGATGCCGATTTATAGTGCTAGCCCACTGAGATACCATGCCGCAGTTTAACATGAATACCCCACTCAGACACAGTATACTGACTCCGAGCTGACCAGTCCTTGCTTCAACCCCTTAATGCCGAGCGCCAGACAGGGTAACAACAAGTACCATATTTTAACGTCTTTTGGTATGATGCGGCCGGAGATCGAACCCCGGACCTTCAGCTCTCTGGGCGGACGCTCTACCACTAAACCAGGGAGGCGGTCAAATGGCTATGGCCTCCCTACACTCGGGACTATTTAAGTGAGTGGCTGTTACTCATGTAGCAGTATACCAGCCACATCACAGCTAGTGGCACCAAAATGGCTATCGATTTGGGCTTTGTTTACATCGACATAATATTAGAGAATATTAAATATAAACTCAAGACTCAAGATGCGCATCCAAAGTTACAAATTAGCTTCATGATGACAGAACTGATAGCGGACATACATCTCAATGTCCCAAAACAAATGAGACGTATATAGAGGTTATCATGCTTGTGTGTTTTGGGATGGTAAAATTATCGAGCATTTGAGAGTTTCTCCCTGATGGTAAGAATTAACCATGTTGGTGAACGTATTCAGTGCTTTTTTAAATATGTATACATTGTACAAATATATATGGTGCCTAGTTATATATTTTCAAGAATCTCCATGAACACTCGTGTGTACATCTCGTAACTAATACAATATTTAAATAACTAAAAAAGAACATACATGTGTCAATAAAGGTATATTTTTTCCAAAGAAACCATTCGTTCTCATTTCCCTGGATTCAGGGGCAGCGAGGTAGCCCAGTGGATAAGGCAGTCGCTGAACACAAAGGTTTGATTCTGCATGTCCATGGGTACAATGTTTGAAACCATGTTGTTGGGACGACACCACCATATCACTGGAATATTGCCCACACATATAGCACACATGAGCATTTAATGAACAGATTGTTTAATTTGATTTGTTTGTTTAACACCTCACTCAGCAGTATTCCAGCTATCTGACTTTGGTTTGTAAATAATCAAGCAAAAGTTAACCCCAGAAATCGGAACGTACAGAATTGTAATGTAAAATTAGTAATCAACACACAAGATCAATGAGTAATTAATAACTTATATTGAAACACCCAGTTTGCAATAAACAAATGGCAATAAAATGGCTGCAGTAATGTCAGTTTTAATAAATTCCAGTTTGTGCCGAAATTGAAGCATTGAGCACTGGTTCAGAGTTATTGCCCTTAAATACCACCAGTCAATGAGGACTACCATAATTGGAGTTTTTCTTGTCCCCAGCACAATTTAGTAGTCGCAGCTTGCGGGCCAGCATGAATTTCTAAAGCTGACTGTACTAATCAATGTTAAATAGGTCCATCTATATGACACCTTTCAAATAATAATAAGAAGAATAGGCTGGTTATATTGTGCATATTTCCACACCACAGAGGGGCATGCTCAAAGCGCTATTATTCCCCTGGTCACTGGATCAGTGTGCACTCAAGAATCATTCTCAACTCCCTGGGGAGTATACATTCCAAGCTGCCAGTTAGGCACTAGAAGGTTAACAACCACATTACCATCTCATCCTACCAGGTACCCATTCACTGCTGTGTGAATAGAGGCACATTTCGAACAAAGTCACTTTCCCAAGTAGACGCCACATGTGTTACATGTGCTTCAGTGTGGGGCAAGACCGAAGCCCTAGAAACCAATTACACAACAGGTTAAAAAAAATGGATACATGTTTATTGCACACAGTGTACACTTGCAAATACAACATAGCACTTAACATAACACATATGTATCTGCCCATCACAGACAGGGAGACGAAACAACAAAACAATACTAACAACAGTATCACCTGATCAGCATCGTGGCCTTCTAAGAAGTAACAGCTTTAATGCTAGTCTTGCAAACTAACAACCATTATTAAAATGCCACTAGTGTTGTGTTGCTTCTTCACACAAGCATGTCATTCAAATACATTGGTATTTTATCAACAAATGTCACATCATCGTAAAATGTAAACATGGTATATGTTTCCTTCAAATATTGACATCATCAAAGGGAGACTATTCCTGGAATGCTTTTACCTCCCTGAGCTAGTCGTGCACATTTCTACCAATCTGTGAGTGAGTGAGTTGGATTTAACGCCGCTTTTAACAGTATTCCAGTTATATCACTGCGTGTCAGCTTAATGTGGGAGGAAGGCCCGAAGTGATGCAGGTCTTAGACGTTTACCACTTCGGTGAAACCCACAACCACGGGTATGGTGCTGACAAACCTAGAAACATAATCGGGGCCAACCGGGATTCGAACCCACAATCATAGGTTTCTGGCGTGCCTAAGGGACGCAACTCTGCACAGCGAATCGCGGGGCCTTAGAAGACTGGGCCACCCATGCCTCCTTCAACCAATCAAATCTAAGGTGGGGGATGAGAGGTTGGTAGTATACAATCTAAGTCAATGAAATACCAGGTAATATGCGCATGGTGACGACTACACAAGCTGACTTATCAAGCAAGAAAGGAGAGTCACATTCGTCATCACTCGCCCCTTTCTGTAACCTGCAGGAAGACTCGTCCCCCTATCTATGAATGTTGTGTGTGAAAATACGACAAACCAATCAGACTTTAAGTACTTCAGTCAAAGAACCCCTCAGGAATAAATTTTGATTTTATATATGTCTGCATCTAAAAATATACCCAAGATATATTAAATGTGTTCAATCATACTGTATAATACTGTAAGTCTCTATGTGTTTTAAATAGCATCTGGAATACTTATAATAGATGAGGGAAATATATGTGAATCATTACACAACAAGTTCTTTTAGCTGTGTTGTTTGCACAAAAAATGGTCACGAGAGGGGCACCAGTCGCTATTCGGCTTGTCCCGGAAAACCACGAGTTGGTCACGAATGGGAGTCAATCTCATTAAAATCAGATCTTTTGGTCCCATGTGAAACCCCTCAGCAGGAAGATCTAAGGGCCACTCCACTGAAGCTGCATCAGGAAAACAGTCGGATCAGCACTGAGGTTTCCAAATTCAGCAATGAGACCAGCATATCTGATTTCTGTTTCTTAAAAAGTCAACTATTCCCCAGATGTACATAGTGAAGGCTGCAACATGATGACGTGACTATTTAACACACACAGCCGTTTCTGAGCTACCTGGTGTCTGCACCCAACAGGGAGTACCAGTGAAGGCACATTCAGGTCCTCTATGGGTTTTCTGTTGTTAACATTGAGATTTCGGAGACAAGGTGCTCTAGAAATGAGACTATAATGTTTTAGAATGCTGACATCTGATTGGCTCAAGAATCCACACATCCTTCATTTAGATTGGGTCAAGGGTCACCTAGTGTTCTCCTGACATGACCTTCTACGGAGGTGTCCTTAGATCTAATGCAAGGAGGTTTAGTATTGGAGTTAAAGATCTGATCTTAATAACACTGAAGAATTTACTGTTTTGGTTCAGCTAACCAACATAAGGGCAGAGTACTTCCTTTTCATGTTTTACAGAGGAACTAGAAAGCACTCTAAATTTAGCAGATTCGACTAAAAACATAACAAAACCTTTGTGTTTTATTTATGTTTAAATCAAAACAAGGAAATGAACCTCAAGCCCTGAAATCTTTTCATTTTATTACTTCCTGTACTTTGGCATAGTAGCCAAGAAAATCTTTGTAACTAGTAAACATATCGGTCATGCCTAACAATAAAATAACACCAGCTTCAGTTGTGCCTATAACATATAACCAAAGGAAGATGACAAAACTGCATATGTAAATCTGTCACTTCAATTTGGTCAATTTCTTCACATAATACAATAATGACACATAACATAAGAAATACCTCAACAGCAGTCACATGTCTCAAGCTGACCAGCATCAATTCTCACATCGTATCCACATCTTCAAATGGCCAAATCAGCTTGAGGTCTAACTTTTGACCATTGTACACAGTTATTCACATCAACAACATTCCTTCCAACCACTGAAAGAACAGTGGAGTAAATTTGTGGTTAAAGCGTTCGACTGCCATGCCAAGGTCTTCACATGACACAGGAATCGTTCATATTTCCCACTGCATTCATCTGAAATATTCCTAATTATACTCTTGACGAGTGATATTTGACACAACATATTTTCATTAATCAGAACTTGTTCCTACAAAAACATCAAAGGGACTGGAACAGAAAATGGATATTTATCATTTCTCCTCGGTAGATTCATCACCTCAAGTAGTTATATATAGAACAGCTACAGTAACTACATCTACTCCATTGCAGGGCTTCAGAACCCCGGCCACCAGTGCCGCCTTCATGAACTTATCAGGGAACAAGGTCCACACAGATACAGAACACTAAGCTTCAAGGCCTTTTCAAGGCTTTTCAAAGCTTCCAGCTGTCATTTTCAAGGCTTCTTGGCTCGGTTGTTAGACTTTGTCAACATATTTTTTAAATGAAGCATACCAAATATTATCATAAAACCTAAAAAGCAGCACAGATTTTGAACAGGATTTATTGTCACAACCAACAAATAAAATAAATTAAGTCTGTCATGAATTAAAATATGTTTTTTTAACAAATTTTGTCATTTTGTACAAATTCAAGGCTTCCCAAGCTAATTTGGTAATTTATAAGGTTGACACTAAAAATCAAGGCTTTTCAGGAGGGACATTAAAGGTTAAGGTCTTCTCAAACCTGTACGAAGCCTCTTGGGGAAGCCCCTTCATGTCACGGGGATAGATAAAGCAGCGCATACATTGTACTGGACTGAGCCACGTCATTGTATGTACCGGGTTACAGAAATAAGATCAGCTGAGAGAGTAAATGTCTAATCAGTGATATTCCAGCGGTGTCACCATAGCTTGAAAAGAGTCTGATCCAAACTAATTTGGTTACTTAAAGCATGAACTACGAAAGAGTCATAACTTGCAATCTGTATAGGGTGATGGTGGCATAATCTAACTCAAGTCCACGTCCAATATTGTCATGGCTTTGTTTGCAAACCTTAGGAAAAGAAGGCGCTTACCTTTTTATCTCTACAACATAATCACATACCAACCATACAGTCTGGGAACAAAGCCCCTTTTTCAGATCAATAAAGTCACAATATAGCACAATCTTTAAGGCCAGTATGAATTTATCATTAGATTCATATCCAAATTTGTTGGGATAATAGTTACTGGGAAATATATACCCCTTCTGCACTAACAAAAACATTATGTAAAATACACAAGAAAATATGGACTGTCATGCAATTTTTCAGCCTTAGCAGGGGGCGCTTATCAAGAGTTTTAACAGAGTGGTCTAGAAGTTGGTCTGGGGCACTTATAAGGAGTCATAACAGAGTGGTCTAGAAGTTGGTCTGGGTCACTTATAAGGAGTCATAACAGAGTGGTCTAGAAGTTCGACAGGGGCACTTATAAGGAGTCATAACAGAGTGGTCTAGAAGTTGGTTTGGGGCACTTATAAGGAGTCATAACAGAGTGGTCTAGAAGTTCGACAGGGGCACTTGTAAGGAGTCATAACAGAGTGGTCTAGAAGTTGGTTTGGGGCACTTATAAGGAGTCATAACAGAGTGGTCTAGAAGTTCGACAGGGGCACTTATAAGGAGTCATAACAGAGTGGTCTAGAAGTTGGTCTGGGTCACTTATAAGGAGTCATAACAGAGTGGTCTAGAAGTTCGACAGGGGCACTTATAAGGAGTCATAACAGAGTGGTCTAGAAGTTGGTTTGGGGCACTTATAAGGAGTCATAACAGAGTGGTCTAGAAGTTCGACAGGGGCACTTATAAGGAGTCATAACAGAGTGGTCTAGAAGTTGGTCTGGGGCACTTATAAGGAGTCATAACAGAGTGGTCTAGAAGATGGTCAGGGGCACTTATAAGGAGTCTAGCAGAGTGGTCTAGAAGATGGTCAGGGGCACTTATAAGGAGTCATAACAGAGTGGTCTAGAAGATGGTCGGGGCACTTATAAGGAGTCATAACAGAGTGGTCTAGAAGATGGTCAGGGGCACTTATAAGGAGTCATAACAGAGTGGTCTAGAAGTTGGTCTGGGGCACTTATAAGGAGTCATAACAGAGTGGTCTAGAAGTTGGTCTGGGTCACTTATAAGGAGTCATAACAGAGTGGTCTAGAAGTTCGACAGGGGCACTTATAAGGAGTCATAACAGAGTGGTCTAGAAGTTGGTTTGGGGCACTTATAAGGAGTCATAACAGAGTGGTCTAGAAGTTCGACAGGGGCACTTGTAAGGAGTCATAACAGAGTGGTCTAGAAGTTGGTTTGGGGCACTTATAAGGAGTCATAACAGAGTGGTCTAGAAGTTCGACAGGGGCACTTATAAGGAGTCATAACAGAGTGGTCTAGAAGTTGGTCTGGGGCACTTATAAGGAGTCATAACAGAGTGGTCTAGAAGATGGTCAGGGGCACTTATAAGGAGTCATAACAGAGTGGTCTAGAAGTTCGACAGGGGCACTTGTAAGGAGTCATAACAGAGTGGTCTAGAAGTTGGTTTGGGGCACTTATAAGGAGTCATAACAGAGTGGTCTAGAAGTTGGTCTGGGTCACTTATAAGGAGTCATAACAGAGTGGTCTAGAAGTTCGACAGGGGCACTTATAAGGAGTCATAACAGAGTGGTCTAGAAGTTGGTTTGGGGCACTTATAAGGAGTCATAACAGAGTGGTCTAGAAGTTCGACAGGGGCACTTGTAAGGAGTCATAACAGAGTGGTCTAGAAGTTGGTTTGGGGCACTTATAAGGAGTCATAACAGAGTGGTCTAGAAGTTCGACAGGGGCACTTATAAGGAGTCATAACAGAGTGGTCTAGAAGTTGGTCTGGGGCACTTATAAGGAGTCATAACAGAGTGGTCTAGAAGATGGTCAGGGGCACTTATAAGGAGTCATAACAGAGTGGTCTAGAAGTTCGACAGGGGCACTTGTAAGGAGTCATAACAGAGTGGTCTAGAAGTTGGTTTGGGGCACTTATAAGGAGTCATAACAGAGTGGTCTAGAAGTTCGACAGGGGCACTTATAAGGAGTCATAACAGAGTGGTCTAGAAGTTGGTCTGGGTCACTTATAAGGAGTCATAACAGAGTGGTCTAGAAGTTCGACAGGGGCACTTATAAGGAGTCATAACAGAGTGGTCTAGAAGTTGGTTTGGGGCACTTATAAGGAGTCATAACAGAGTGGTCTAGAAGTTCGACAGGGGCACTTATAAGGAGTCATAACAGAGTGGTCTAGAAGTTGGTCTGGGGCACTTATAAGGAGTCATAACAGAGTGGTCTAGAAGATGGTCAGGGGCACTTATAAGGAGTCTAGCAGAGTGGTCTAGAAGATGGTCAGGGGCACTTATAAGGAGTCATAACAGAGTGGTCTAGAAGATGGTCGGGGCACTTATAAGGAGTCATAACAGAGTGGTCTAGAAGATGGTCAGGGGCACTTATAAGGAGTCATAACAGAGTGGTCTAGAAGTTGGTCTGGGGCACTTATAAGGAGTCATAACAGAGTGGTCTAGAAGTTGGTCTGGGTCACTTATAAGGAGTCATAACAGAGTGGTCTAGAAGTTCGACAGGGGCACTTATAAGGAGTCATAACAGAGTGGTCTAGAAGTTGGTTTGGGGCACTTATAAGGAGTCATAACAGAGTGGTCTAGAAGTTCGACAGGGGCACTTGTAAGGAGTCATAACAGAGTGGTCTAGAAGTTGGTTTGGGGCACTTATAAGGAGTCATAACAGAGTGGTCTAGAAGTTCGACAGGGGCACTTATAAGGAGTCATAACAGAGTGGTCTAGAAGTTGGTCTGGGTCACTTATAAGGAGTCATAACAGAGTGGTCTAGAAGTTCGACAGGGGCACTTATAAGGAGTCATAACAGAGTGGTCTAGAAGTTGGTTTGGGGCACTTATAAGGAGTCATAACAGAGTGGTCTAGAAGTTCGACAGGGGCACTTATAAGGAGTCATAACAGAGTGGTCTAGAAGTTGGTCTGGGGCACTTATAAGGAGTCATAACAGAGTGGTCTAGAAGATGGTCAGGGGCACTTATAAGGAGTCTAGCAGAGTGGTCTAGAAGATGGTCAGGGGCACTTATAAGGAGTCATAACAGAGTGGTCTAGAAGATGGTCGGGGCACTTATAAGGAGTCATAACAGAGTGGTCTAGAAGATGGTCAGGGGCACTTATAAGGAGTCATAAGAGAGTGGTCTAGAAGTTGGTCAGGGGCACTTATAAGGAGTCATAAGAGAGTGGTCTAGAAGATGGTCTGGGGCACTTATAAGGAGTCATAACAGAGTGGTCTAGAAGTTGGTCAGGGGCACTTATAAGGAGTCATTACAGAGTGGTCTAGAAGATGGTCTGGGGCACTTATAAGGAGTCATAAGAGAGTGGTCTAGAAGTTGGTCAGGGGCACTTATAAGGAGTCATAACAGAGTGGTCTAGAAGTTCGACAGGGGCACTTATAAGGAGTCATAAGAGAGTGGTCTAGAAGTTGGTCAGGGGCACTTATAAGGAGTCATAACAGAGTGGTCTAGAAGTTGGTCAGGGGCACTTATAAGGAGTCATAACAGAGTGGTCTAGAAGTTGGTCAGGGGCACTTATTGCAGCAGGGTGCTTATTACAGTGAGTACAGTAAATCCTCTGATACAGGGAGCATGCACTATTAATGGTCTACCATATTCATCATTAGGAAGAAGGCAACTCTGTAGCAGGTGGACTAGCTAATAAAAATTTCTTAAATTAAAAAATTTCTAACCCTGAATACAATTTTCTTTGCCTGTAGGTACCTGGGACAAAAATATGTGGTCGGTGTGTTGGTTGAAAGTTGGACCAGGATAGATATCCAATAACTATATTATTATCTGTAATCTATGCATGTATTGACAAAGAAGAGAGAAAGTTAATTTTTGATATCTAGTGATCATGGATTTCGTGTCACAGAGTCTTGGTTACAGCATCAATCATCAAACGTGGATTTGGAAAAACTACATACAAGACTGCTCCCTTATCATCAGGAAGATAGAACACCTGTCTGGTGGAACACCTCCCAAGCTAAAACATGAACATACCGTTCTCCTGTCCACTCATTGTGAAAGCTATACACAACTCTACAGTCACACTGTATGCTAGTGCTAGCTCTGCACTAAACGCTTGAGGACAACACATATATGTAAGAAGTTGTCAGGATAGCTGCAGTGTTCACTCAGCCAGAGAATGGGTGTCTCCAGCGATGGCTCTATACCTTGTATCAACACATGCACATTCTCTAAATCTGAAATTAGAGAAAGAAAATTAAGGATTCAAAATGATGATAATCTTTCTGTTTTAGTTCAACACCCGTTTATCCATAGGCGGTGGCCTGGTAATAGGCGAGACTATCAAGGCCATTTAAGTCTTGCATTAGTATTGTTATAGTTTAAAACACTTTTGTGATTATATTGAAATATATTTATAAACATAAATGAATAAAACAGTCAAAAAGGTCAAGTATCACCGAAGCATGAGGCACCAGTCGAGAGAACATCAAAGACAAACAGATCTCAACACTCGCCCACTAGTCCCCGGACTCTCTCTGCTAAACTATCATGAGTCTGAGTTAAACTATGGGACTGTCGTGGCTAATCATGGCATTGTTTCAAATTGTTTTAAACTATGGGACCATGGTAGCTAATTATGTCATTGTTTAAAATGGCTTTAAACTATGGTACCATGTTAGCTAATCATGTCATTGTTTCAAATTGTTTTAAACTATGGGACTGTGGTAGCTAATTATGTCATTGTTTAAAATGGTCTTAAACTATAGGACCGTTTAAGCTAATCATGTCATTGTTTCAAATGGTCTTAAACTATAGGCCTGTTTAAGCTAATCATGTCATTGTTTCAAATGGTCTTAAACTAGTGGACTGTGGTAGCTAATCATGTCATTGTTTCAAATGGTCTTAAACTAGTGGACAGTGATAGCTAATCATGTCATTGTTTCAAATGGTCTTAAACTAGTGGACTGTGGTAGCTAATCATGTCATTGTTTCAAATGGTCTTAAACTATAGGACCGTTTAAGCTAATCATGTCATTGTTTCAAATGGTCTTAAACTAGTGGACTGTGATAGCTAATAATGTCATTGTTTCAAATGGTCTTAAACTATAGGACTGTGATAGCTAATCATGTCATTGTTTCAAATGGTCTTAAACTATAGGACTGTGATAGCTAATCATGTCATTGTTTCAAATGGTCTTAAACTATAGGACTGTGATAGCTAATCATGTCATTGTTTCAAATGGTCTTAAACTATAGGACCGTTTAAGCTAATCATGTCATTGTTTCAAATGGTCTTAAACTAGTGGACTGTGATAGCTAATAATGTCATTGTTTCAAATGGTCTTAAACTATAGGACTGTGATAGCTAATCATGTCATTGTTTCAAATGGTCTTAAACTATAGGACTGTGATAGCTAATCATGTCATTGTTTCAAATGGTCTTAAACTATAGGACTGTGATAGCTAATCATGTCATTGTTTCAAATGGTCTTAAACTATAGGCCCGTTTAAGCTAATCATGTCATTGTTTCAAATGGTTTTAAACTATGGGACTGTGGTAGCTAATCATGTCATTGTTTCAAATGGTCTTAAACTAGGTCACTGTGGCAGCTAATCATGTCATTGTTTCAAATGGTTTTAAACTAGGGGACTGTGGCAGCTAATCATGTCATTGTTTCAAATGGTCTTAAACTATAGGCCTGTTTAAGCTAATCATGTCATTGTTTGAAATGGTCCTAAACTAGTGGACTGTGATAGCTAATCATGTCATTGTTTCAAATGGTCTAAAACTGGTGGACTGTGATAGCTAATCATGTCATTGTTTCAAATGGTCTTAAACTATGGGACTGTGGTAGCTAATCATGTCATTGTTTCAAATGGACTTAAACTATGGGACTGTGGTAGCTAATCATGTCATTGTTTCAAATGGTTTTAAACTATGGGACTGTGGTAGCAAATCATGTCATTTTTTCAAATGGTCTTAAACTATGGGACTGTGGTAGCTAATCATGTCATTGTTTCAAATGGTCTTAAACTATGGGACTGTCATAGCTAATCATGTCATTGTTTCAAATGGTCTTAAACTATGGGACTGTGGTAGCAAATCATGTCATTGTTTCAAATGGTCTTAAACTATGGGACTGTGGTAGCTTATCATGTCATTGTTTCAAATGGTCTTAAACTATGGGACTGTGGTAGCTTATCATGTCATTGTTTCAAATGGTCTTAAACTAGGGCACTGTGGTAGCTTATCATGACATGGTGTTCAACTGACCTTCCTTGGTGTCATCGGGCAGTGACATGTCCAGCAGTGTCCCCAACGTCTCCGTCTCCCCCATCTCATTGACTGGTCGAAACAACCTTTGTATCAGTGGTTGGTCCGGCTGAAGAGGAAGGCAGATGTCATGTTGGTGAACTGTGTTATCAGTGAGTGAATGGGTGATTAAGTGGGTTGTGGGTGAGTGGGAGGTTGGGAGGGTGTGTGGGTGAGAGTGTGAGTGAATGAGTAAGTGAGGGAGTATGGTATTACCCTACTTTTAGCAATATTCCAGTGAGTGAGTGAGGGACGGACGGACGGAGGGAGGTAGGGAGGGAGCTGCCAAACAGTGGCTAGCTGGTATTTTCAACATTGAGAAGGGTCAAAAAAGAAAAAACAAAGCTGACATTTATTATTTTTTGGCTTGCAAGATCATACCTCAGGAACAAATGTTTGTAATATCAATTCCTTTTTCTCACAAACAGCATATGAAAATAATCACAATTATCATCAACTATAGACAGATGGACAACCTACCAGGTATATCCTGTATGGAATGTATTTGAAGGAGTCTTCTACAGTGGTCTCCATCAGCTTCTTGTTGACGGACCAGAACTGCTCGAACTTGTCTGCAACAGGGAGCATGCTCTTGGTTCAGACACGGGTGAAATCTGAAGGTGCTCTTACATTTCAGTCACACAGTAGTTGGCATCGCATCGGACGGTGTTGTTGGATGCCGCTGAATGCCTTTAAATACCTTTCAGCTGTACCATTTTGTTTGTTATGTGCTGAGTGAGTGAGTGAGTGAGTTGGGTTTAATGCCACTTTTAACAATATTACAGTTATATCGTGGCGTGTCAGTTTAATGTTGGAGGAGAGCCCGAAGTGATGCAGGTGTCAGACAATTACCATTTTGGTGAAACCCACAGGCCGACAAACTTAGAACCAGAATCAGGGGACATTGTGAATCTAGCCCACAGTTGTGGGTTTCTGGTGTGCCCAATGAATGAAACTCTGCACAGTGAATTAAGGCACCATAGGTGACTGGGTCACCCGGTCACCCGCGCCCCTGTTTGTTAGCAATATTCCAGCCACATGACAGTGGTCTGTAAATAATCGAATCTGGACCAGACAATCCAGTAATTGACATCATGAGCATCGATCTACGCAACTGGGATATGATGACATTCATCAACCGAGTCAGTAAGCCTGACCACCCGATCCCGTTATTTGCCTCTTACGACAAGCATGGGTTGCTGAACTCGGAATCTTTACGGGACCCGTTTGTTACGTAATAGCACATTCAGTAATATGAAGGTGGCCTGAAACTATCTACTCTAACAAGACAAACAAGTGATTGATATAATGAAAACCATCGAGGACATGCCATTAAAAAAATCATCAAACCCGACCATCTGATCCATTCATTCACACATTACAAGAAGCACAGATTGTTGCGGGCCAGTTCTATATCAAGGCTGCCTGAAACCAACTACCGTATTCGATGAATAAGCGCCCCGCTCTAATAAGCGCCCACAGTGACATTTGCTGATATATTGGCTGGTGAACAATCCCAATTAGCACCCCTTACGATTGATCAATGTACACAAGACTAATTTATTCACGTATAATACTCACTCGTGTGTTATATGCACCCTTAATTATGGCCAATAAAATTCCGGAAAAATATATCTGTTGTACATAAACATTTCAGGCTGTCAGCATAAACCACGAAATTTATCTTTCAACTCTGTTTGTTTTCACCAAAATAATATTCTAATAAGAGCCCCCTATTTAATTTTGAGAGCACCCTGGGCGCTTATTATGTCGAATACGGTAAGTCTGAACCAGCAATACCAGGCTTTGGTACATAGGCACACAATGAACCCTGTAGTCAACCTATCCTTCAACCTAGTCTACTTTATCAACAAGCATACAGAATCTGTTTGGACCTCAGACCGTAGCCATTTAACAACAAGTATGTGAGAAGAAATAGCTGACAGACCATCTGGCCTCTCACCCTGAATAATTTTGTCATGGGCAAAGTTAATTATTCAATCATCAATGACAGAATTCAACAGTTTAGTCATATCAATCATGAAACTCTAGTAAAGCTGATAGTATTGAGCTTCTCCTGATTATTGTCCTCCTATCCCTTCTTTCTCCTCCTGCTTCCCCTTCACATCTACCCAACACACCAACCCCCTCCTCCCTCCAATTATTATTATTACACGCATGCACGCGCGCACACGCGCGCACACACGCACACACACCTTCCCATCCCCACCCCCCTTTCACACCCAAATCGACCTTCCCAACCCTCAAAAATCCTACTCCACCTCCAACATCCTCCCCCCTCCTCCCCCCAACAACATCCTCCCCCCTCCTCCCCCCAACAACATCCTCTCCCTCCTCCTCCTCCTCCTCACCATTCTGAAGTCCTGTCCACAGCTGTTTGTGGTCCTTCTTCTGCATGCTGTTGACCACCTGGCTCCGGTGTTTGAGGGCGTCGGCCTCCTTCACCACCGACATGAAGTGCGACTCCACAGCCTCCTTGTTGGGGCAGTGCAACAGCTCATCCTCCGGGAAGTGCTGGAACAGACACCCCGACTACAACCTTTCTTCTCCACTGGGTCTTCGTCTTTTTATGTTTTTTTACAATACTTTTAGTTTCTTGTTTATTTATGCCATGGTCAGCAAAATATTCCAGCAACGGAAATCATGTCAATTGGCTGGTATCCGTAGACTCAAGTTTTGTGAACCATGAGTCTACTACCTTACCCACTGCTATTACCCTATCAAGTGCCCCTCACAAATAACAAACTGTGTGGTCCCCTATTGTATTAAATAAAATGTTATACATCATCTAAAATTGGTAAACCTTTCCAAAACAAATCGATTTTCTTGTCATTTCAAGGTAATGTAAATGTAGGATCTGTTTTCCACATGTGAGTCTTCACCATGGTTACTAGGGATGTGATGATTCATATCAGGATACTCTCTATTAAAAACTACTGTTCTACATCACAGATTCTATTTCCCTTGTTCATATTCCAGGACACACTCACCTGAAAGTGAACTGTTACACTCCACGGCAGGCTTGTCCCCGACCCGTACAGATCAAACAACACACCAATGGGGTAGTGCCTGTGAACAGTGATGATAGTCTGTACATAGCTGGTAAAGGCTGACCCACACTGAAGCACTGCAGTGCAGCACGTCAACAGCTCAACGCCCAGACTTACACAGCTCAACACCCAGACTAGCACAGCTCAACACCCAGACTAACAGCTCAACACCCAGACTAACACAGCTCAACACCCAGACTAACAGAGCTCAACACCCAGACTAACACAGCTCAACACCCAGACTAACACAGCTCAACACCCAGACTAACACAGCTCAACACCCAGGCTAACACAGCTCAACACCCAGACTAACACAGCTCAACACCCAGACTAACACAGCTCAACACCAAGACTAACACAGCTCAACACCAAGACTAACACAGCTCAACACCCAGACTAACACAGCTCAACACCCAGACTAACACAGCTCACCACCCAGACTAACACAGCTCATCACCCAGACTAACACAGCTCAGCAGGGTGATTTTTGCTTCTAGCTGGCCTGTCTCAACAGGGATCACATCATGAACCCTGGAAGTTTATTTTGAACTTCTCTGATACAGATAAATCATAACTAACGCTTTCTTCTCATGTATTTACGGATTCATCATGTTCTCCAAGGTTCTCCAAGGTTCTCCAAGGTTCTCCATGGTTCTACTTTAATGTACAACTGGCTATCGTTCTGTTTCTTTGTTTGTTGTTTATCGACGCACTCAGCAATATTCCAGCTATATGATTGCAATCTGTATATTAATGAGTCTGGACCAGACAAACCAGTGATTGATATCATAAGCATCGATATACACAATTGGGATACAATGACATGCATCAACCAAGTCAGCGAGCCTGACCACCCGATCCCGTAAGTCGCCTCTTACGACAAGCATAGTCCCCTTTTACGGCAAGCATTGGTTGCTGAAGACCAATTCAAACCCAAATATTCATGGGTGTGGCTATCACAGAACGTACAACATAAATGTCCCAAAAAATTGTTATAATGTCAATTCTATTTTAAGATATTTCTGAACTGCATATCTGATCTGCTGCCTATGCCTTAGAAATGCTCTGACATACTGCGGTGTGCAACGCTGCCTTAAAATGAAGTCTAAAATATGCATGGGTTCATCCCATCGGTGGCACGGGACATTGACAGTATGTGAAGCCTTAGACGATACTTTTTGAAACAGTTAATTAACAGATCTGCCAGCCACATAAGAAGTGAAGCAAGACCAAAAAAAATCAGAAAAGCACTATTTTTTTATTCCATCAAGTGCAAACTTCCATAATCACCAACAAAACAATGTGCAGCCAATATGATAAACTGTAAGACAAACAGGTCCACACATGGTACCATACTTAAAGAATAGCCAAACTAATTCTCAAATATATTCTTTTTCGAAAATTACCCATCAGAAAATAATCCATAAAACAGGAACAAAAAAGTCTGGTCTAATGTAAACAAACTGCCTGTGAACATAGGTGCAAACAACTTATTTCTTAATTAAGACAAAGGTCAAAGAGAGCGATGGAGTTGGGTTAACATTGAAAGGAGTCCAGATAAACTTTCTGAGTATTTAGTCACATGATATCATTCACATTGGGTATTAATAGTTTTCGTTGAGTACTCAGTATATATTTATTCCCCTGCTTCAAATTTTAAACCAAAAATAACCAATTTTCATAATAATTCTGCTTAAAATGCTGTCTCAGCCGACAATTTATGCATAATTCCCTTAAGTCTGGTTCATACATATATATACAGTCAAGCCTTGTTAGTCCGACACTTGTTAATCCAACAATCGGCTTTATCTTACACAAATGATGGGAATCGATTAAATCAGTGCTATTTAGACATGTTAATCCGACAGTCTCGCACACCTACTCCGACACACCTAATTTGCAACGAATTACTGAAATCACTCATTAATAAGTCTTGTTAATCCGACACAGTGATCAGCATACTTCGTGGTCATCTGCATCTATTACAATGGCTGCAGAGATAAATTTGCTTAACAATAAACAGTTCATGCTTTAAGTAAAGAAAACAGGATTAATCACATGCTTAGATTACCTCAATCTCATTAAAATCAGATACAAGTTCTCGCTATCGCCGAGGACATCCCATTACAGGTCACGTCAGAACAACCTTTTGCTAACTAAGACCGACCAATGAAATGACTAACAGGAAGTCAATGTTAGCCACTAAGAAGGCAGCTTTCTTAAGCTTTGCGGTACCAGTTTCAAACTGGCTACTTCCATTCCAGACTATGCTTTTTAAAGAATTTTGTATAAGTCATACAGTCAGTAACAGTTGTTTTGTGTTAAGCTTTAGAAGTTGCATGATTAGAAAACATATTCCGCTAACAATGTAACATAAGAAGATGAATATTTCATGTATCATTTTTTATTACGTGCTTGTATCGTCATCTATCGTGTAGTTGTCCGATTTTCGATCACGACATTGATACTATTTATTTTGTTTATCCAACATACTCGTTAATCCGACATAATCATATGCAACCAACGATGTCAGATTAACGGGACTTGACTGTATGATGCCTGCTTGAAATCAAATAAAAGTTGACAACTTTCAAACATCACGACCCTCAAATTTGTATTCATCAAATAATAGGGGGTTTGATAGGCAAAACCCTCATAATCATGATAAAAACAAGCATAATCATACAGGTAAATCACACTCACCATCTGAGAGGCTGACCTTCGAACTCTAGCCACATCTCCCCCTGTTTTTCGACCTCCACACTCTTGAGGAAGTGTTTCTGGACCTTGTCTGTCACTAAGGGGAAATAACTCTGTCGGGGCACCAACAACTGAAAAGTATGTAGAAGATTTTCTCATGTTTAAAGCATAGACATTATCTTATCTCAGTCAGTGTCATCAACCTGTTTGTCTACCAGCCCAAATCTCATCTTTCAGAAACTTTTTCAGTAAAATTTAGCCGTAACATTTGGACTATTATCAATGATAACTAGCAGCAGCTTACGTACTTAGCCGTAATAACATTTACAATACTAAACTCAGGCTAGTGGCTCAAATAGCAGACTGTTATTTTAATCCAGTTTGTAACCCATCTGAACATACCTTACCCTATGACTATAAGCAACATTTTGCCTCTACACACTAAACTATTTAAAATGCACTTAAAACGTGATAAACATGTTAGTGAGCGAGTGAGTATAGTTCTTCACCACTTTTATGGGCTTCACACACTGTACCCATGTTGGGAATCGAACCCGGGTCTTCGGCGTGACGAGCGAACGCTTTACCACTAGGCTACCAGACAGCCCTAAACATGTTAGTGCTTAAACACAGTGGGAAACATGTTAGTGCTTAAACACAGTGGGAAACAGGTTTGAGAGAGAAGATACAGACTTCTCTCTTCGGATATTATCAAAAGAGCTACAACAAATACAAAGTCTTGAAAACATATATATATATTTACAATGGAGGATCCTATTTCATTTGCCCTTACATAATAGGGATCAGGTTGTTCCACAGTTTCAATTTCTTCTGAAGCAAGGGCAAAGCACACTGGGATTCGTCCCTCCCAGACCTCGCGGAGAATCTCTCGGTCTTCAGCCATATTTCTCCTCTTCTGCTTCCTGTAATGAGTGAATGAGTGAGTGAAATGGAATTTAGAAACAATACTATTTGTTTTCATAATTGCTTATGTTATTGACAGGGATTCAGAAATCGGTCTCTGCGTTGGACTTGTCCGATTGTGACTGCAAAATGTTATTGAGTATTTGATACCTTGAAAATATACATGAAACCAATGGCAACAAAAGAAAGTCAACAAGATCCCTGCCTTTGCAATTTAACAAAAATTTTCAACCAAAAGTTCTCGTTAGTTTTACAGTTAAGAAATAACTGCTAAAACTCTTTTTCTTAACATGATAAGCACTGTCTAATATGACACTCAGACTAATATTCATCAGCTGTTCACAATAACAGTTTTAGATGACTTGCAACCCGGCAAATGTAGCTAGGACTGCCAATTACCCCAAAGGAAGTACCCCTTTAACATGTGTAATTATTAAAAAGGTGCAGAGTAATGTTTCATTATTACATTCTGAAATATTCATATTGAAGCACATCCTTGATTATCCACTCAGAATTAAGCTAAGAAGGTTATTACTTGTGTAATCAAGGGAATACTTCTTACTCAACAACATGTAACTAAGCATTTCTCCTGCTGTTCCTTTGGCCAATGACTACCAGAAACAGCAGAGGGCCCGGCTATTATTGAAATCAGTGGCTTGGTGGGCTCTACAGTTACCATGGTAGACCATTTCTGGTGTTCCCTGCCATGACATTGCTGGAATATTACTAAAAACAGCGTAAACCATACTCACTCATTCACCCACTCGTACAAAAAAGTTCTAGTATGAAGCAATCTCATCAAAGTCACATCTTTACTCTGAAGTAGTCTGCATCCATACCTGAGGACACCTGCACAGAAGGTCATATCAAGTAAACTTTAAGTAACCTTTGACCATCCAATCACAATGAAAGATGTGTGGGTCCTAGTGCTAATCTGTCTCAACAATTTGGCTTCATTTCCCTGTTTCGGAAATTTGGATATCTGCTAAAGAAAATGCCACAGAACACAAATATACCATCTGATAGTATTCATTTCGGTTGTAGATGCCATGTCACTCTCAAACAACAGTATGTATACAATATCCACAAAAATGATAATGCAGCACTATTTATGCACAGTCAGATTTCCTCGATAATATTCATTTTTGAGATACAGAAAAGCTTGTTTGAATGCTTTTAGCTCACCTGTACCAAGATTTAGAAGTCTTGACACTGACTGGCTGATTAGGAAGCTCACCTGACACAACATGGAGGTGTCCTCAGATCTTCACAGAGAGTGGTATCACATCAGAGTAAATTAAAGCATCTAATACTAATAGAAAATGCGGAGTTTTGTTATGGCCACAAGTGACATGGCCGTGACTGTTGGAATGACCAGTACTGGCAGTAGTTGTCATGTTATTGCCAATAACACGAATAGAGCACATGAAGTGATGGACCCGACATGGTTATTACTGCTGAATCATGTCAATCTTGTATTTAATCATGTAACTTTATTTGATTCTAAATATAAAACCAACAAATTCAAAACTTCAATTCATCACGGTTGTTAAACAACATTTATCAAATACAAAATGAAACAAAAACATGATATTTTACCAAGCTATTTCGACTATATGCCAATCTAGAATTAGGACTTGTGAGGAAATATTGTAATGGACCTGTAAAGTGTCCCAAAAGTAATAGTTTACTCACAAATATAAAGGGGTTGTAATTAAATGCAAAACTGAAATTAATAGAGCGACGCCTCACATGGAGAACCGTTTATTAGGCTAGTTGCCATGTCAGATTGTTGTCAGAAGCCGAGGTGCTGTCAGTGGGTGTTGACAATGAGTCAAAATCCCAGTCAGCTGACAAATTTAACTAAGGGCGTATTTCGGCGTTCCGAACAAATGATTTACCTTCCACCTCTCAGGAACCTGTGCAAGGTCTTTATCTGGATTCTATGTGGACCGACACAGGTATTGCATCAGGATTACCGACACCATTTGCGATTTATTTGCGAAATCATAAACATTTTGTCGCCGACTTCCTCCCTTACAAGGGGAATGAACTCTGAGCAGTACATTATTGCAGACCACATTAAAGTTTTCTGACGTCGGCTATCAGACGGTTCAATTCAAACATGTACATTTTTTCGAAAAAATACTACTTGTAATGTTATTAATTAATATAGATAATACATCACTACACTGTCTGGTTTTGTTAGGTTATTCGGAATGTAAAGACCGAGAAAGGCGTTTTTCAGGGGTGCGGGCTAAAAAGGCGCCTCAGCAAAATGTCACCCGGCGAAGACGGCTTCTGATTGTCGAGGGAAAACGGCACCTTATATTAATAATAACAATAAGAACAATTTTTGTAGTTGTATATATCATTTATTCTTTGGCAATATTCATTTATTCATTATTTCTATTATATTTATCATTGCCATCTATAATGTATTTCACCACCCACAAATTGAAATCTATCCTTGTCCTATTTGCTATCTCTCACCGAGATTTACGGCACTTTACATCACAGGGCCATGAACAAAGGAGTCGACGACCTTCTTATGTCCGGTGTAATTCTGTATCGTTATAGTGCAAACTAATTTCGTGCCGTTTTCACTGGGTGACGTTTTGCTGAGGTGCCTTCTTCGGGTGGTCTTGTAGAGAGACAGCGCTTTGATCTCCAGCTTTGATACAGATAAAGGTTTCTCCGGCAATGAAAAAGTCATGCACGTATTAATTTTGTAATAAGTGTTGCATTTATGCTCTCCTCTGGCGAAACCGATACAAATTTCATTAATAGGAATACTAAATATATAACGCAAATCTTTGACGAGCGTAATACATGTTTATTTATTCCTATAATGATGGTATCTATGTCATATTTACGATAGTGAAATACACGAGGGTGATATACTAGTAACCTATCCCTTTTCGGAACGTAAGCTGCTTAGCATCTGTATATTAAGAATCAGACAATAGTTTACCATCGCGTATCCACACGTAGAACTTGTTGACAGTAGTTCCCGCTAGGTGACATCATTAACACATTTATCGGATCCTGATACCAACTTTTTATCGGATTCGATAACACTATCATTTATTTTCTACATATATATGTACTTATGAACATAATTATTGTTACACTTTATGCATTCTCGTTTCATGACATCTATTCGTTCAGTCGTTTATGATTCATGTGTACAGACATTCTCATACTGATGTTAAAGGTTAATGTACACGTTTGGCAAATAAAAAGCTGTGAATGTGTAGCCTTCATAGTGCTGGCCAGTACCCACCGTGATCAATAAATCAGCATTAGTATTTTAGGGAACTGTTTCAAAGTTATAAAAATACCCTGTAGATTTTTCGTTCATTTTTAGAGTAAGAAATGACGTTTAGAGATGATAATTTAAACTTTCATTTTTAACTGTATATCCCATGGAAAGTTATTTTTTTAGAATGGGAAACAGTCAGACTTATTACTATCCACGCACCCAAACATAATGAGAGGAAACTCGGCTATCCGGCCGAACATGTGCGTTGCGGTCAAATCAGAGCAAATGATAAGGTAAACCTTATCCAGTGGTTATAGCTAAAAGGAAAAAAATGTCACCTATAGAGGGGCGAATGTTTTATTAATGAGATCCGACATACCATAATGCGTCTGGACTGATAGTTCATATAATTATATTATTAAATTTTGATTTAAAAAAACAAAGGGTACAGGGTATTAGAAACTAACTCTTTTGGATTAAATAAGATTTCTCCATTTCAATTGAAGAGGGCTTAATAAGAAACAATATTTCAAAATCTTTCCTTTTTTCAACAAACACTTTATTGTATTTCTCTGAGTAACACAAATTATGATGAGCAGCTGAGGGTGAGATTTTGAACGGTTATCTCCCCTGTTGCCGCTCTTCGGTCTTTGACTTTCACGTCCAACATGGCGACCTTCAGGAGTGTTTTGCTTGCAAGCAAAGTATTTCGCCCCTGTATGACTAACAGATCCATCAAGACGTCAGCAGTAGTTTCAAGTAAGCAATGCAAACGTATTCTATGATTTAAGTGTCTACCATCATCACGCCAAGTCGGAAATGTTGAAGAATATGCATTCACTGAAGCGCCCGAAAATATTTACTGACCAAAATTCTAGATCTGAAGCAAGAGAATCTCATGAGATTGTCGGCTAAATGTCCACACGTTAAAGTTTATGCAACATTGGCGAAAATCCATGCATGTAATTGTAAGAGAAAAGGTTATTATTTGTTTCAGAATCACAAAATATGTCACTGTAGATAACATATTCTAAAATGCAACTAAATAATTGTAGCCTTTTCAATGAGAAATGTTGATAAAGATAAACATTTGCAACATAAATATTAAGTATAATATTATTTCACCTTTTAAGAGATAATTCAACTATTATTTATTATTTGTTATAGATTGGAATAAGGATTGGAAGCCAGGTCCATATCCTTTGACCCCCGAAGAACGAGCAAATGCTGCCAAGAGGTATGGGTTGCGGGTAGAAGATTATGACGTGTATGCTGATGATGGGACAGGATATGGAGACTACCCCAAACTTCCACATGTATCAGGAGACGTCAGGGATCCAAACGAGGACTGGGATTTACCAGAGATCAAAAGGAACTATGGTGAACCTGTATGTAAAATCTTAAACATAATGTTAGTGTTGGCACATGCAACCTCTTTTTTAGAATTTCCACTTAATGTTGAAACATGTGAAATGTGAATTATTTTGAGAATGAGTGTTAAGAGTGATTTCAAATGCAATGTCCCATTTGTTATTATTGCTATTAATGTGTTCGTTTGTTGTTTTACGCCGCACTCAGCTATATTCTTGCTATATGACGGCGTTCTGTAAATAATCAAGTCTGGACAAGATACTCCAGTGATTGACATAATGTTCATCAATCTACGCAATTGGGATATGATGACATGAATCAACCAAGTCAGCAAACCTGACAACCCAATCCCGATAGTAGCCTCTTACAACAAGCATGGGTTGCTGAAGACCAATTCTAACCCGGTATTTTCACGGGACACTATTAACATGATTAATGTGGGTTTCACAAGAAACTGAAAGATATGATAATATTTTGTTTGTTTCAGCTGCATGTGGACCATGATATGATTGGTGAAGATAGGTACAATATGAATGCCAACCCAAGATTGTCATAGTAAGTTTTATGATATAATATAACATGTCCTTGTTATTTAGAGTAACAAGATAATATGAATCATTACATGTTGTCATGGGTAGAAATTAAGCAAAAAGTCTGGTATGCCCTATAAATATCAGGGATGTGAGCAGGTTTTCCCCATAAAAGAGGAAAACTGTAAGGGGGTCTAGGGTCATGTCTCCCACCCCCCAGAAATATTTTAAACATTTTAAGCAATTTTGTGTAGTTTGGACATCCACACCAAGTAATGAAATAAGTCAATGGCAAAAGTCAAGTCAAATAAACAAAGATGGCAGATGCAGTAAACTTTTGAGGTAAAATCAGTACTTTTAAAAAATCGTGCTTAGCTTCCGTGCACCCAGCTACCCGCGGGGTCTTGGAGCAATATGCTGCCATAAACTTCACCCTCCATCCCCCAGACACAAGGACAACTGTCACAAGCGTGCAATGTATGACCCTTTCCCCATGCTGAAGCATATTGAAAAAAACTTCCTTTTGTTGAAAAAAACAAAACAACATTGCAAACATAAGACATTAATACAACATATATCCCCATGCTATGGGTTTTTGGACACTGAACATTGCTGAAGAAACATAGTTGAGAATGCAAACCATACGTATCTATTATGCACTGATCTGTGAACCCTGTTGACGACTTGATGATACTAATAGTCGTATATCTTGTGTGGAAATAGCACAACAAAAGTACTTAAAAATATTATGATCATTACTATCAGTATTAAAGTGTGTTGTCACCATTTCAGCCGGACAATGTTCTTAACAACTGGCACTTTCCTCGGTACAATATTGGCGATCTATATTCTGACTGAACCATATCCACACTTTCTGCCAGTGGTAAGTAGAACTTGTCTTTCATCATCCTTATATCCTTTAATAACTCTCTAAGGACTTGTGAACAGCAGTAGTTGAGAGCTCCGCAGATGAGCTGTCAGTGTGAGGAGCTTGCAAGGATCTGCTAGCTTTTTGTTTTTGAATTTTCATAGCAAACGACTTTGACGGAAAATGGCGATAGTGTTCCTTTCCGGAGTAGATCTTGAAAATCGTTCAATATTTCTTCACCAAACTTGGCACATATATAGGTCAAGTGGTAAACTGGAGCCTTTTAATAATTTGGGAGTTTTGACTGAAGACTGAAAATGGCGGTAGTGCTCATTTCCGAGCAGATCTTGAAAACTGTACAATATTTCTTGCCTTGCACACAACCGGACATGTTATTTTTGTGGCGGATTTGAGTATTTCATATTTCATGCTTGTTTGATATGATGTCAGTTAAAGGGTTGTATTCACCGTGTTATTTGCAGCTGTGAATGTAATGACCTTGATGATAGAATACAACTTTGCCATGGGATAGTAAATTCTAGATTAGGTTAGATGGCCCACTCTGTGTGAAGACCATTCTTGGTACGCCCACCCTAATGTGGTGTGAACTGACAGCCCAACTCCTACAGGTGACAAGTGCTTGTGTTTGTGTTTCAGATGCCTAAACAATACCCATTCAACAACCTCTACCTTGAAAACGGGGGAGACCCAGGGAAGGAGGAAGCAGTTAAACACTACACATTCGAGCCTGTAGATTAATGGAATACTGTCTAGGCATGTTGATTGTACATACTGTATGGGTGAAGCTTTCTCCTTGTGACACCGGGGTAGCAGGAACTACGCTACATCAGGCCATTGTTGGAAGTGAACTATTTGTGATTGTGTGGATTCTATCGGCCATTTCGAAACAACAAAGAAGAAATGCTGAAATGGCTTCTAAATGAGTTGTAGTAATGTTTTCTGTTATTAAATACTTATGAAATAATGTGGGTTATTTGTTGGATGTATTTGTTTCTCACCCATGTTTACACTATCCTTGAAACATATTACATGACCCTTTGGGTTTCACTTATGAGCTGTTAGGGGCCAAATAGATTCCTAGTGTTACATGGTTGTTGTAAAATGTTTGTTTGTTGTTGAATGTCGCTCTCCGCAATATTTCAGCTATATGACGACAGTCTGTAAATAATCGAGTCTGAAACAGGCAATCCAGTGATTGACATCGTGAGCATCGATCCACGTAGTTGGGATACGGTGACATGCATCAACCACTCAGAGAGGCTGATCATCCGATGCCGTTAGTCGCCTCTTACAACAAGCATAGTCGCCTTTTACGGCATGCATGGGTTGCTGAAGACCGATTCTACCCCGAATCTTCACGGGCCCGTTGTAAGAGCTGACCAAAATTAGGTAGGTGTTGGCAATTACTTGGTAATACAAAAGCAATCTCATTAAAATCAGATCTAAGTTCTTGCTATCGCTAAACAAAGATCTGAGGACATCCCATTACGGGTCACGTCAGAACAACCTTTCATCCGACCAATCAAAGCATCGCTTACCAGATTAGGAAAGTGACAGTCGGATTGTGTTTTCTAATCATGCAACCTTGAAAACGTTAACACAGGGTATTCCGAACGACAGTTACGGCCCGTACGACTGATTCCGTCAAAATTATCGCTTCCGTGGAATAAACATTTGAACGGAGGAGGCGTTGCACAGTACATGGGAAGCACTGCCATACAATCGCAACCATATATTAGACATTCCGGTATGTTCTTTTGTCCTGTTTTCAAAATTTTAATCGAGAACTGTGTCAACATATTTCTCAAGCGTAGTCTGAAATGGAAGTCGCCAGGTTGAAACGTGAAAGCAGATTTCTAATTGGCTGATGTCAACTTCTTTTTAGTCGTTTTAGTTGTCGGTCAAAGTTCGCGAAAAGATCGTTCTGACGTGACCCGTAATGGGATGTCCTCAGATCTTTGTTTAGCGGCAGCAAGAACTTAGATCTGATTTTAATGAGATTGGTACAAAAGCAGTTTGTTCACCACAACTTCCAGATTTCCCCAGAAATCATTACACAATACAACCCGTGAAGATCTGGGGTAGAATAGGTCTTCAGCAACCAATGCATTTCAATTCTGATGTCATTACTGAAGTTTTGAGACATACATGCCTACTAAAATCTCAGACCTGATTTGTACCAAGTACCTGTAGCCATCACAGTGAGGAACCGAAGTGGGTACATGGTGGGATGGCATTACTTGTGGTCTGCCCCGTATGGATTCCTGGTCAACATGGGTCCCTAGCAACCGATGGTTGTCTAAGAGGCGACCAAATGGATCGTGTGGTCAGACTGGGTGATTTGGTTGAATGTGTGTCATCGTGTCCTGGCGTAGGTTCTTCACAATATCAATCACAATATCTGATCCGATTATTATTTACATGTTGCTGTCATATAACTGGAATATTTTTAAAACTTATCCTATCTCACAGTGTGCATTTCCCTTTTTTTCTTGATCCTTCAACATGTTTCCATCTTCAAAAAGCAACGCACCCCAACATATCCCAGCTGTAATATTGCTCAGTGCAGCGTTAGACAACAAACGAACAAACTTGTGGTCTGACAAAAAACATAGTTTCCTTCCTCTTGGACTTTATTACATAGGTCATATGCATTTCCACTCAAACATATTTTCTAGTTTGTGAAAATACATCACCAGTTTTAATCTTTTCTTTAGCTACCTTATTGAGAAAATTATATGGACTTCAAGCACATGCTTGATTATACTTTGATGGAACAATCGGTGTAATGGTGTAACCAGTCCTTGTTTTAGCCCCTTAATGCTGAGCACCAGGCAGGGTAACAACAAGTACCATTTTTTAACATCTTTTGATATGACGGGGCCGGGCATTGAACCACTGACCGTCCACTCTCCAACTAGACACTCAATCTACCAGCACAAGGAGGTGGTCAGAAACTCCAAAAGGAGGCACTTAAATGAGTCTGGTCCAGGAAAACCAATGACAAGAATGAGCACTGATCAACAACATCAGGACACAATGTTAGTTGGCTCTTGCAAGTCAAGTCTGGTGTAACATATTTCCAGGCAGCCTTGATAAAGCTGGAACACTGACTGCCATGTTAAACATTCACTTAGGCTGGATGTATTAAGCTCATCTTGTTCTAGGCCTCAAGCCATAAACATGTAAATTAGGTATAGGTTTTCCCAAATATATTGAGAGAAAGAGAGAGCAACAAAACACACAAAATTGATAAATGCATTTATTTTGCATCATTGAAAACATTACAAATAACATGTTTTTTTCATATATCTAACAAAGAAACCATCCCTCTCTACAGAAGTGAATATCAAATAAATAGAGCAACCATGAAATTGTTCACAAGTTGATCCTGAACACCATGGCTTATTCATAAATCACATTGCTTTTGTCCTTTTTCGAAAAACAACACTTGAGGTACATATCTTAGCAGGAAATTGGATGTTAAAGTTTTATACATTCTTCACCATTCCAGGTTTCCCGTCCCCCTTCAACAATACATGGTGGGAAAACAGAAATAGTTTTCAGTAATCAAACCGACACATTTTGCTTGTGACCCTGAATATCTTGACTCACCTGCAGCTTGTCAAGACAATAATCTTGTTAGGCTTGTTACAATACATTCGGTTCTCGTGCCTCACTCGCTCTATAACATTGATTTATATTCTTAAGCAAACAGCTTTATTAAATTTTATTTTGGCCTCTGATTATGGCTCTTCACACACAACATTCCATTCATGATAGATTCGCAGGGGAAGCTAGCCGTGGTTACCATCTCCGTGAGTGAGTGAGTTGGGTTTAACGCAGCTTTTAACATTATTCCAGTTATATCACGGTGTGTCAGCTTAATGTGGCGGGAAAGCCCACGAAACCAGGTATTGTGCTGACAAACCTAGAAACATAATCGGGGCAAACCAGGATTCAAACCCACATTCATAGGTTTATGGCGTGCCCAAGAGACGGAACTGTGCACAGCGAGTAGCGGCACCTTAGACGACTGGGCCACCCGTGCCCCCCCATCTCCGAACCGCAGGAGATACACAGAATTATAGGTCATGTGGTGCATAACAATACACAAGGTACGTAACCTACTGAAGTTTGTTTGTTGTTTAACGCCGCACTGAGCAATATTCCAGCTATATCAAAGCGGTCTGTAAACAACCGAGTCTGGACCAGACAATCCAGTGATTGACATCATGAGCATCGATCTACGTAGTTGGGATCCGAGAACATAAATCACCAAAGTCCAATTCTACTCCGGATCTTTATGTGTCGATTTATCCGGGGAAAGAAATTTTGACTAGTGTGTATGTGCATGATTGTATTCATTTGTGTGCATGTTGGTTGGTTAGTTTGTTGTTTAACGCACTAAGCAATATTCCAGCTATATGATTGCGGTCTGTAAATAATCGAGTCTGGACCAGACAATCCAGTGATTAATATCATGAGCATCGATCCACACAATTGGGATCGATGACAGTGTGCAAGTGCAATAATCGGTGCAATAACCGGGTTCTGATAATTTAAATGAGCACTAACTTTGTGTGCTAAAGCATGGGGCAAAGCAAAGTTTAGGCTAAAAAGCTCATTAGTCTTGCCTAGCTTCCGGCTGACAACACAAGTATGATCAGAGTCTACCCATGGGGCTCTAACTGGAACCCAAAAGTCGTGTCCAGTAAAGCTAAACACTCCCAAAAGGTGTACTGTAGTTAAAACATTTATGGAAAAAAGTGATATTTCAGATTCCTAGGGATGTCTTCATATATCCAACATATATGATTTCAAAGACACATTTTAGAAATCAAATTGAAAAGCAGATAAACAGTTCACAGCCAAGATGTGTCTAACATTTCTGTAGTCAAACAAAAATTAAATTGCTTAAACATATACATCATAACAGCAAATTGTGTCAAGTTTTTCATTTCCAAAGATCATTACCTATTTGAGTTAATCAACCTGTAGACATTTCCATAAAAAGTGAGACAAAACCGAAACAAAAACAACATCTCTTTCCATATTTGTAGTCGTGGCAACCCGTCTCTAGAAACTGGCCTCATGACTTCTGTTAATCACATTAATTCACTCTCGATACACACGCAGCACAATGATAGACCTTGCCACGTCAGCATGCTAGGTTGCGTAATCATTTTTCAAACATAGTTGCAGTATCTGTAAGTGGCAACTAGAAGCTGCAGTATCAGTGAAGTCAGAACTGTCATCAGGGCTTCAGCTTTGTACAGGAGCTAGTCCCTTCATCCAATGTGTTAAACAACAGTTCTTGCAATGAGGTCAGGAACTATTTTTGGCAATTTGACTAGTCTAAAGAAATAGAAGCCCATTGAAATTAAGGCTGGCTATCGGTACAGCTCATAGAGACCAGTAATCGTTAACTAAATATCGATCAATTATCGATAAATATCGGAAAAGTATCTTTGGGCAAATACGCAAAACAAAATCCTAAAGAAATCAACATATTTCACACCACTGGTGAGTGGTGACACATTTATGCAAGGATTACTTCGTGGACATTTGAGATATAACAAAAACAGTGGCTTTCCATCTTCAGCAATTAACATTATTGACAATAAGAAGTCTATTTGGTAAATCTAAACATTATTTAATTACAATGTAGTTTATGTAAGGTATTATCGATGACACAATTTTCATATCGATAATCGTTAATACTTCTTCCCATCGATGATAATTCCGATTATCAATCTTTTTTGCCAGCCCTAACTGAAATTGTTACGTTTGTACATTACTGGGCCAATCAGTGAGTCGTTCGAGTTTTAACAGTATTCCAGTTATATCATGAATGGCGGTTGTGTCAGCTTTATGTGGGAGGAAAGTCTGAAGTGATGCAGGTCAAGTTTACCACATTGGTGAAACCCACAAGCATGGGTATGTTGCTGACAAACCTAGAAACACAATCCATGCAAACCGGGAATCAAGCTCACAATCACAGATTTCTGGCGTGCCCAAGGGACGCAACTCTGCACAGTAAACTGCACAACTGGCCCACCCGTGCCCGAGCCAAATGACTCAATCAATCGAGACTTTTCTGACTGTGCGTGGTGACTATGCTTTAAGTAAGTAACTATTGTGGTAACAAAGTTTATACTACAACACCATTAATCAACAACTAAACTAAAACATCACTTTGCATATGTCAACTCTTGCACCATATTGATGAATCTCTTCAAATAAATACATACATGGCTTCTACCAGAAGTGATACAATCTTCACTTCTGACTGTTTAACACAAATATCAAAGACGGAACAGCTAAACATCTGTATCACTAACATCAGCATAACATTATCAAGTACACTGGCAACATTTGTTTTTTCACCTAGGACTAAATATACTACTCAAAAGAAGTTGAAGAACACTCACAACTGGAGTCACTGAATGAGTGAGTGAGTGTGAGAGCTGGGTTTAATGCCGCTTTGAACAGTATTTCAGTTGTATCACGGCGTGTCAGCTTTATTTGGATGGAAAGCCCGAAGTGATGCAGGTCTCAGACGTTTACCACTTCGGTGAAACCCACGAGCACGGGTATGGTGCTGACAAACCTAGAAACATAATCGGGGTGAACCGGGTTTCGAACCCACAATCATAGGTTTCTGGAGTGCCCAAGGGACGCAACTCTGCACAGCGAATCGCTGCGCCTCAGACGACTGGGCCACCCGTGCCCCCTCCATTTAATGAAATACAGTATGGTAACTCAATTGGAAGGCTGTGTGTTTCACTAACGCCAGACAGGACAGATGAACTATAAACAATCTGGTTTTCTTAACTTCTTTTGAGTAGCATATATTTTGGGTCGAACTATCACTGACAGATGTACCTGTGATGTTCAGTGGGGACCTCTGGACCCTGGACCCCATGTAGAAGCTGTGGCAAACATCGTGAATGTGGCTGGACATTGTGGTTAATGCATCCTGGGTGGTTCTCATTATCAGGACACATGGCCGTCCCCCAGGAACGTGTGGAGCCACACGGACGTAAAGACCCAGGTCATTGGACGAGTCTTTCCTGTCTTGACCTCTCAATTATCTCTGTGATTAAAGGGCCGGGATGTTGAGGGTTCTGGGTGTTTTGAAATCAGAACGGTCGAAGTCCTGGCGCTTTACCTTGACTAATGAAAGTCAGAACTATTTATTATGAAACCAAGGGTGTCTCACTGGCATAAAACCTTTTGAAACACTTATGAATTCACACATTTAACTGCAGGTTGTTTCAGGGGCAAAATCTATAGACCATCCCATGATTTGATGAATGTTTCTTGATCCTGTATACCGGTATCACGAAATGTCAACTAGTTTCTGTGATATGAAGCAGTATCAGCATATTGTGGTCTGCATACTATTGAGAATTTCCATCTCAATGAATCCTCTACAGATTTTGATCTCAAATGCTCAAATGTAGTAATAATTTTTCACTCCCCATCTGTCATAATTCAGTGAGTGAGTGAGTTGGGTTTCACTCAGCTTTTAACAGTATTCCAGTCATATCGCCGCCTGTCAGCTTAATGTGGGAGGAAAGCCCAAAGGGATGCAGGTCTCAGACGTTTACCACTTCAATAAAGTGAGCATGGGTATGGTGCTGACAAACCTAGAAACATAGGTGGGATTCGAACCCACAATCATAGGTTTCTGGCATGCCCAAGGGACGCAACTCTGCACAGCGAATCATGGCGCCTTAGACGACTGGGCCACCCATGCCCCAAACCTTACAAACAATTAACAGAGTTCCACACAAATTCTCAAGAACATTGGTACCTCTGCTCTCCAGTAATCTATTAGGGTAATATGTTTTTTAAAAACCCATGTGCTTCCAACTCTGTAAAAAGCTATCACACAAAGGAACATATCTCAAATAGAAAATAGAAGTTTAACCATGTTAACATGTTAGTTTCTTTCTCAGCACAACTTTGGGTCATTTCTTTGCAAACAAAGCTTCTAATACCAGAAATACACTACTCAAAAGGATTTAAAGAACACCAGATGTGTTCTTCAACTTCTTTTGGGAAGTATAATTATTTCTATATTTGAGAAATATGCATATACAAACAACATGTTTGAAAACTCAAGTTGACAGATTGTCTTGTGCACAACAAATCAGGGAACACATTTCAAATACACAGCCTAGACCAAACAAAAAGGAGTTGAAATATTAAATATTTAAAAATAATATTAACTTCTCTAATAGACAATATACAAAAACATTCTTAAAATCTTCATATAAAAAAATATGATTTCCAAAAGCTCATCTCTATGAACTCACAATGTTGTTAGTCCTTTTGCATCCATTTAATGAGAGAGTGAGTGAGTTGTATTTAACGCCACTTTTAACAGTATTACAGTTATATCACGGTGTGTCAGCTTTATGTGGAAGGAAAGCCCGAAGTGATGCAGGTCTTCGACGTTTACCACTTCGGTGAAACCCACGAGCACGGGTATGGTGCTGACAAACCTAGAAACATAATTGGGGTGAACCGGGATTCGAACCCACAATCATAGGTTTCTGGCGTGCCCAAGGGACGCAACCCTGCACAGCAAATCACGGTGCCTTAGACGACTGGGCCACCCGTGCCCCCTCCATTTAATGAAATACAGTAACATACTCTACTCAAAAAAGAACACCCGAATCTTTCATATTACTATAGTTATTGTTTAAGGCTATTAACCATAGAAATATGAAAGAATCAGGTGCTCCTTAACTTCTTTTGAGTAGCATATCAACATCATTATACTTACATTTGATATAGTCAAGATTTGATTAATTTCTTTTCTTTTCCAGATTGTTTTTGTGAATACATTTAACTTAGGAGGAAAATTCTAAAACATGTTGATCTTTGATCGATCTCCTATCATGCCTATTGAAAAACACACATAAAAATGTCCTTCAGTCAAACACATTGATTACTGATTCAATGTTTTTTTACTTTTTCAAAATTAACAGCAGGCTCCCTTGGCAAAGCAATAAAGGAAACTGGTCTGCCTTAAGCATAAACTAACAAACTGACAACAGTGGGTGATGGTCTGTATTTGTGCTGCATGTATTTGCTGTGGCCTGCATTGCAACCTGAACCCGTCATCGTCATGGTTATTTCACAGGACATCAGCAATGGGTAGCCGACATGTTTAGTTCTGTTGAAGTACAGAGTGCTAAATTGCTGGAAAGCCTGTAGCTGAGTAAATGAAGCAGAATGTTTGAGCACTAGGTAGAGCCAGTGTTATGCTTCCGCCTTCATGGGAATGTTGGAATCGGAGTTGGAGAGACTGTCATCTGGAGAGATACATTTCCACAGGCCGTACGTTTTGCCAACAGTCGTCTGCCACAAACGTAGAGTTCCGTCTTCACTGCCGCTGGCATACAGCTCCCCATCAGGAGAAAACCTCACACAGTGAATTGGACCAAAGTGTCCCTTGAAAGATTCTAAAATGAAACAAAATGAAGTTTGAGAGCAAATACACAAGATTGAAAAATGTCCCTTTCAATCAGGAGGATTATTGGTGGCACAAGTGTCATTGGTACCTAAACTGTGTAGAGTTTCCTCCCTTGGCCATGAAAAGGATGCACTAGTCATGGTCTTGAATTCCAGATAATGATGATAATGACCATTCGTTTGTTAACCTAGATTAATCTGGTGCAATTCGGAAATGGAGTTCGGCTACTTATACCCCACTTTTGGTTCACTGCCATTGGATAACTTCAGTGAAGAAATAAACAATGCTGTTCAGTATTTTTCAAAATTCCAAATCATCAAAAGGCACCAGTCCGCCACTGTACTGATCTGTAGAGCAAGTTTCATCTGGGACATATTCAACGGTTTAGGAGTTCTGATCCGAAAAGGAGCACTAGCTTCATATTAAGTTCAGTTCAACTTGTCGTCATGAAAAAAATATATGAATAAATCCAATATCACTAAAAGGCACTAAACCACCAGTAGACTGATCTAGAAGCAAGTTTCAACAAGAAATATTCAACAGTTTAGGAGTACTGCTTTGGAACGGATCGCTATGTCCCCCCCCATTTTTCAATCTGGTCTCCTATCGAAGGCCACCCACAATCCCCATCTGCCTCAATATCAGCATCAGGATACATATGTGGGTGGGAAACTTGTCTGCCACAGAATCCCCACATTGTCTAAATCTTTGTTGTTAAAGGTGCAGACAGTGTTCAAACTTTCTCCAGACATTAATATGGCAAGTTACCATGGTTACTATTGTTATGGGCAGTCTTACCTAGTTCCTCTCCAGTTTCATAGTCGTACTTGTACATCTTGAAATCCTCGCCTCCGGAGACGAAGATGTTTTTGGAAGGGTGGAGAGACGAGGAGTTTACCGGAACTAGAGATTCATACTCCCTCACATTATCAAACCTGAAACAGACACATGACAGTGAGTACATGGGTTAAAAAGCTTCTTCCCATCTCAGTTTCACTCTCAGGCTTTAGCCCGATGGGAAACAGTGCCTGGTAGGGGTGAAACGATACAGCAAGGTCATGATAGGATATGTATTGTGATACACATATTTATGTCAAATCACATGGAACTTCATCATCATAAATATTTTAGAGAAGGTTCCAAAGCAAAAAAGCTTGCTGTTGACACATGTTCGTAGCAGCTCTTTTCAGAAGTGAACTTGAAAAGCTAATTACAACACTTCTTGCAATACAAAAACACTGGGGTGGGGGTAATTAAATGATTGAGTGAGTGAGCGAGTGATTGGTTTGAGTGAGTGAGTGATTGGTTTGAGGTGAGTGAGTGATTGGTTTGAGGTGAGTGAGTGAGTGAGTGAGTGAGTGGTTGGAGTGAGTGAGTGAGTGAGTGAGTGAGTGGTTTGAGTGACTGGTTGGTTTGAGTGAATGAGTGAGTGAGTGAGTGAGTGAGTGAGTGAGTGAGTGAGTGAGTGAGTGAGTGAGTGAGTGAGTGACCCAGCTATATCAACATGATCAAGTCAGGGAAACAACAACCAGGGCTAACTGAACCCAAGAAACGAACCTGGTGACATGCAATTGATGAGCAAACACTTCATCTACTATGCCAAGTCATTTTGCAGGAAAAAACATCACATTGTATGATTCATAAATATGCAGGATAAGGAGAGATAATGCTTACGTTTCAGAATTCCAGAAGCAGGTTTTATGTCCATATGTGACTAGGAACACACTTCCATCGCGGGCCAACTCCAGGCTGGAGGGCTGGGCTGGCAGATCAATCTTCTTCACCTCTGTGCCACTGCTGACATCCCAGAGTCTGAATAATGAACACGGTACAGAATATACATAGTAGGTTGAGGATTAACAGTAGAGAATTGTGCCAACAGTTGCGTACATGAGAGATATTTACATGAGTAGGTTAAATAATGACAACAGAAGGATAAAACTGTAACAACATGATGGACAGAGAACACATGATGAGGAAGCCAAGATTAACATAGTTAGTATACATAGGTTGGGTGATTATTGCTTAAAGAGTTCATAGTAGGCGGATGGGATGAAATAGCCTTGACCTCTGTTGATCGACAGTTGGTGGCGGCGAATGGGGACTGCTTCTGTTGTTTTCTTTTGGTGAAGTCATGTGTGATACGATTGTGTTATCTCCCCATACCTTAACACAGATGTGTGATACGATTGTAATATCTTTCCATACCTTAACACAGATGTGTGATACGATTGTAATATCTTCCCATACCTTAACACAGATGTGTGATACATGTACAACTGTAGTATCTCCCCATACCTTAACACAGATGTGTAATATCTTCCCATACCTTAACACAGATGTGTGATATCTTTCCATACCTTAACACAGATGTGTGATATCTTCCCATACCTTAACACAGATGTGTGATATCTTCCCATACCTTAACACAGATGTGTGATATCTTTCCATACCTTAACACAGATGTGTGATATGATTGTCATACCTCCCATACCTTAACACAGATGTGTGATACATGTACAACTGTAGTATCTCCCCATACCTTAACACAGATGTGTGATATGGTTGTGATACATCCCCAAACCTTAACATAAATGTGTGATATGATTGTGATATCTCCCCATACCTTAACACAGATGTGTGATACGATTGTAATATCTTCCCATACCTTAACACAGATGTGTGATATCTTTCCATACCTTAACACAGATGTGTGATATCTTTCCATACATTAACACAGATGTGTGATACATGTACAACTGTAGTATCTCCCCATACCTTAACACAGATGTGTAATATCTTCCCATACCTTAACACAGATGTGTGATATCTTTCCATACCTTAACACAGATGTGTGATATCTTCCCATACCTTAACACAGATGTGTGATATCTTCCCATACCTTAACACAGATGTGTGATATCTTTCCATACCTTAACACAGATGTGTGATATGATTGTCATACCTCCCATACCTTAACACAGATGTGTGATATGGTTGTGATACATCCCCAAACCTTAACATAAATGTGTGATATGATTGTGATATCTCCCCATACCTTAACACAGATGTGTGATACGATTGTAATATCTTCCCATACCTTAACACAGATGTGTGATATCTTTCCATACCTTAACACAGATGTGTGATATCTTTCCATACCTTAACACAGATGTGTGATATCTTTCCATACCTTAACACAGATGTGTGATATCTTTCCATACCTTAACACAGATGTGTGATATCTCCCCATACCTTAACACAGATGTGTGATATCTTTCCATACCTTAACACAGATGTGTGATATCTTTCCATACCTTAACACAGATGTGTGATATCTTTCCATACCTAACACAGATGTGTGATATGATTGTCATACCTCCCATACCTTAACACAGATGTGTGATATCTCCCCATACCTTAACACAGATGTGTGATATCTTTCCATACCTTAACACAGATGTGTGATATCTTTCCATACCTTAACACAGATGTGTGATATCTTTCCATACCTTAACACAGATGTGTGATATCTTTCCATACCTTAACACAGATGTGTGATATCTCCCCATACCTTAACACAGATGTGTGATATCTTTCCATACCTTAACACAGATGTGTGATATCTTTCCATACCTTAACACAGATGTGTGATATCTTTCCATACCTTAACACAGATGTGTGATATCTCCCCATACCTTAACACAGATGTGTGATATCTTTCCATACCTTAACACAGATGTGTGATATCTTTCCATACCTTAACACAGATGTGTGATATCTTTCCATACCTTAACACAGATGTGTGATATCTTTCCATACCTTAACACAGATGTGTGATATCTCCCCATACCTTAACACAGATGTGTGATATCTTTCCATACCTTAACACAGATGTGTGATATCTTTCCATACCTTAACACAGATGTGTGATATGATTGTGATACCTCCCCATACCTTAACACGGATGTGTGATATGATTGTGATACCTCCCCATACCTTAACACGGATGTGTGATATGATTGTGATACCTCCCCATACCTTAACACAGATGTGTGATATGATTGTGATACCTCCCCATACCTTAACACAGATGTGTGATATGATTGTGATACCTCCCCATACCTTAACACAGATGTGTGATATGATTGTGATACCTCCCCATACCTTAACACGGATGTGTGATATGATTGTGATACCTCCCCATACCTTAACACAGATGTGTGATACGATTGTAATATCTCCCCATACCTTAACACAGATGTGTGATATCTTTCCATACCTTAACACAGATGTGTGATATGATTGTGATACCTCCCCATACCTTAACACGGATGTGTGATATGATTGTGATACCTCCCAAACCTTTACACAGATGTGATTTGATTGTACCTCCAGTGCATCAAGAGCAGTTCTGGGTGGCCATCATCTATCCTCAACATGACATAATGCAGATGTTGCTACATGGAAACCAATGGTTACATCCCAAACACAGCCAACTGAGTACCAGTGTTCCTGTTTACCAGTAATTACCAGTTTTTTTACAAGTAAAATTAGACTTGGACCGGTAATTCATGTGACTGCCAGTCCCTGTGGACCGGCAAATAAAGTACCTTAATATCAATATTTGTTGATGAAGAAAACATCGGTGATATTCATATAGGCCTTAGTTAAGTATATTTTTCGAACTTAGTCAGCTTGACTGTTACCCTTAGGGTTTCTACTTGTCTATTTGTAGTGCAAGGAAATAACCATTTCACTTTGCTTCGAGGTTAAATAAATATTTGTAGTGATTGTCTAAAATATTTATAAAAAAATAATTGTCTCTAAACTTTGTGTGAATGACCTATAGATCTAACTAAGTTAAATCATCTTGAAAGAAATAAAATCAGGTAATTTTCACGTTTTTTGTTTTTGTTTTGAAAGTTAGGACTGACAAAAATTAGAGGGTACTGGTCATTTTTAGAGTTGCCAGTTCACCAGGACTGACAGTTTCAAAAGCCAGCGGGAACACTGGATATATTATCACCGCACCAGAGTTACCTACCTCACGGTTTTATCATCTGATATACTGATGATAGATTTATCTCCCTTTGTAAACAAGGCTGATCGGACGTTGGCAGTATGCCCACTTAATACTCGTGGCTCTGAAAATGTCACAAAGATCATTACTGTCGAGTGTTTGCCTCAACACAGGACATAACAACTCTGACACACACTGTCAAAGATTTCCATCAGAACTTAATTATTCAATCATGTTACACAAAATGTTTCAATCAAACCTCTACTATTTGTCATTTGAACTTTACTTCTAAATACCTCTAAATACCAACAGCAACAGTTTCAATCTAACCCAGGGCATGGTGAGCCCAGTTGTATAAGGAGCACAATTCACATTGAGTTGCATCCCTTGGAGGTGCCAGGATCTAATGGTCATGGGTTCAAATCCCAACTGGCCCTGATAAGCAGATTGGGTCTGTTAGCATCATACCCAAGGATCATATCAGAGTGGTAAACTACGTTAGGCTTTCCGTCAAGTTAAGGCTTCCTTCTTGCAATAAGCCAGCATGCTGTAAGCTTGTTGTTTAACGTTGCACTCAGCAATATTCCAGCTGTATGACGACAGTCTGTATAATTGTATCTGGACCAGACAATCCATTGATTGACATAATAAGCATTGATCCATGCAATTGGGATACAATGACATGCATCAATCAAGTCAGCTAAGCTGACCACCCGATCTCAGTAGTCACCTCTTAAGAAAAGCATATTCGCCTTTAAAGTCAATAATAGGTTGCTAAAGACCTATTCTACCCTGGATCTGTAAGAGCTGTAGTTCTGTTAAGCACTGTCAGCCCATCTCGCTCCAATTCAAACCAAGCGTCAACACATACCTGCTTCTGGCTTCTCCAGATCAAATATTCGGAGGTTCTTCTCCTGGGTTCCAGTGAGGAGGAAGTTGCTATCAGCGGAGAAGTCTACACACTTCACGATGTGCTTGTGGGCGAACGTGTGGATCTCCTCGCCCTTCTCTGCATCCCACAGTTTCCTGGCAACACAAACACACTTTGTTTCAATCATAAAATAGGAAGATCAGTGTTTTCATGAAAAGCTAGCATAGTGAGCTATTCAAAATCCTATCTGTTATCATGGTTATGTTAATATAACTTTCCCAGAAGATTAAGGCTGTCTGGAAGCCCTGATATACTCGTCGGTTTGTTGTTTTATGCTTCCCTCAGCAATAGTTCAGCTGGAATTAAAATCTGGGCTTACACTGTCCAAATATAATCATTTCAAGGATATCTTTTACATTAACTGTCTGTATTTGTAATCATTTCAACCGCCGTCATATAGCTCAGTGCGGCGTAAAACAACAAACAAAAAACTTATTTCAAGGTTATCTTTCCACTCAATCTCTGCTTTAACTCATAACAGCTTCAAAGATAAAAATGGATACATATCTCTAGCTATATCATTCTGGTATTCATCCACCATCATCATTGCCCTTGTTAAATGTATAATCTCTGCCAAGTGCAAATGCTTGCTTACGCAGAGAAATCTGCAGCGCCGGTTGCAGCCCTGGTGGCGTCTCGGTTCAGTGTGGCTCCCCAGACTGCCCCCTTGTGACCCTCGAACGTCCCGATCCAGTCCCCTGTGTCACCCTGCCGCAACATTGGTTTTCCATCTGAAAATGAGTGAGTTTAGTGACAAGTGGACCGGGCCAATATACATATTCACCAGATGATACGTATGACAATAATGTTTATTTGTTTCATGTTGTTTAACGCCGCACTCAGCAGTATTCATGCTATTTGACGGTGGTCTGTGGTCAAGTCTGGACCAGACAATCCCGTGATTGACATCATAAGCATCAATCTATGCAATTGGGATATGATGACGTGCATGAACCAAATCAGCAAGTCTGACCCCCCCCCACCCCCCCGATCCCGTTAGTCGCCTCTTTCGACAAGCATTGTCGCCTTTTCGGCAGGCATGGGTTGCTGAAGACTTATTCTACCCCAGATCTTCACAGATTGACATAAGATGATGATGAAAGATAAAAGTTCAAAGTGATAATAAAAATAATAATATTGTGAAGCAATCGACTCTGTATAGTATTTGTTAAATGAAGGAAATATATTGCAAGTGGAACCAAATTATGAAAGCAGCATTCATTCTTAAACCTGCATACACATTTTCTGTGACCCAGTGGATGTACACTGTATTTTGTTTATATGTCTGCTTTCAATGGAGGATTTTTTGTGTCCGTTAAAACCTTAATTTCTACAGCACCAAATTCCACGACTGCAAGTATGCTAATACCGCTACATCATTATTACCCCAGTCAAAGAATCAGTGTGCTCTCAAAATTCAAGAATGAGAATGGATATTTTCCTTTTCAGCTGAAACTTTTTTGCAATGGAGCATGGTCCATAATTTTGGGGTGTTGCTTGGGAAAGCCATCAGATTTTAACAAATTTGTGGTCACTAAAATCCACAGATCTGCAAAAGATTCTCACCCTTGAGTATTTCTAAGCTCCCTGGTGAGTATACACTTTAACAAACATCTTTTTGGTCATCTGATGGAACCAATCAAAAGCCTGCACTATGGTTTGGAATTCACCGGAAAATAAATCTTCTGGTAGTGTCATTACCAACAGGAGAGTGTTTCACACCTCTCAATATTATAGGCACATTGGCTAACCACTGCCCCTGTAGTTTTGTAAGATTGGTCAGAGACTACATACAATATATTTTATCAATTATCATCTAAACTATTAGTTGTTACTCAAATTTGGTCTGTTTACTTTAGTAGTAGCCTGCAACTTCGGGGTATCGCGGTACTACGGGGTCCGAGTATATATGTTAGCAGTAAGTCAAAAAAATTAGGCTATCTTGTTTGATGCTGTTATTTCATTACGTCTCTGTTCCTTCTAATTTTAAAACGCTCATTGAATCCCCAAAAGTGCGCTACTATCCAAACATCCCTCCTCGAATCTATATCTAAAGGCAAAAAACATATATGTGGTCATAAACTGGCGTCATGACAATACGTCATGTTGGCTGTCGGTGCGAACACGTGCCCATATTGAACGATATTTAGGCCACAGCTAGAAGTCATGTAATGTTACAAGTTAAAGATATCTTCAAACCTTTGCAAGCGCTTATGCTGAAATAACCAAACGGCGTTATGTCACTGAAATTCAAATAAACCACTGGCCGAGTATGTCCACTGCAAGTCAGCGGTGTTTGTCTCAAAGCCGACATGTTGAATGTTTACTTCCGGGATGGGATCGCGCATGTGTCTTGCCAACATCCCCCGGAACTATGACAAGTTGACGCTTGCGTACTTGCTTGAAATGGCGGGTAAAGTGAAACTAAGGGTCGGACAGAGACTGGACATTCGATTTTGATATCGATCTGATTTTTGGTAATGGTCATATGAACATGTGAATGAACATGTAATGGAAACTTTCCTATTGTTTGACATAACAACTTGATATATGTTGTTGAACTGCATGGGAGGATATTGTTGAGAAATGAAAACATCTAGAAGTTTATTTACGATTTACCAGACGAAACAAGAATCAAAATTGATTGCGGAGCATGCCGATCAGGCTGCAGTGCACATCTGTCGGCAGCTGCAATACTTTCGTATGAAATTTGAAGATATGATGCACATGTCTGATTTGGCTACTTTCCAACTCTGAGATTTGACACTTAGCCTATTTATGTTTCGTGATTGTTTGGTGATATTTGATGGGTTTTTTAAAAAAGCTTCCCTATGTGAACACTGATAAAACACAACTTTCAGAAGAATTCCATTGCAGTTATGGGAGCATTTGTGGAGCAACTATAGAATATGTTTGCCACAATTTTCATTCAATGATCCAAGCGGATAGAGTTGGGGGTTTGCTATGAAAACCCTACCACAACTATCCCTCAAGATTGTAAATATATGGTGTATTATATCCTTGCATACCCTATTTTGAAACAGTTAGACGACATTGCTGATATTTCAATGGATGAGTGAATCGAAACTTAAATTTGTGCACTAATTGGTAGGTGATGTCTTTTGCAATAGACATGATAGAATTCAGCTATGTTCCGATGTGAAAGAAATCCTTGATTAAACGCGGGATCTCCATTGCCTCGTCTGTAATCTTCCGCTGCTCTTGAATGATGTCAAATAGTTCTGAACACCTGATAGGTTTGATACTTTAGCGGGTTTCCATGATAAACAGCCGTCGGCATTAAAACTCAAATGTTATAGAAAGTTTAAAATTAGAGTGTGAATACTATTTTACAATTCCTTTTCATCATGACACAGGCACCAAAATTCTTAATGATGACAGACTTTTCTGATAGGTGTACAAGTACTTTACATGAACCCTGTGTTTACAGGCTGGACGAATGCACTGTCAGGTCGGCAGCTTTGATCATCACTCCTTTCATTATAACTTGACCAAAAACTATCAATATGCAGGTTGAAAACACTGTACTCAACAATCTTAAAAATGTTATGATGCTATTTGGTGGCAAACAGGTTCTATAATTGCATGACATTTGATTTTGTCTTCATTTAAAGATAAGCAGGTACAGGGATAATCTTGATTATGCATGTTGTAGGCACTGTGAGTGCAAGTGTCCCTTATGGTACTGTTCAGGGACAGTATAACAAGAACATCTATTGCACGTTTTGTGATGTTTCTATATGTTTGTATTATTCAGGTTTTTATCTTGACCCAGATTTAGCAAGAAATCTTTCTATCTGTCCATCAACCCCAGATAATTAAAGGGGAATCAGTCAAAATTGGGGCTGCACACTATGAAGTGAATACGATTTATATCACGAATATAGGGGAATGAATGCGAATATTAAATCGTATGACATGCATCAACCAAGTCAGTGAGCCTGATCACCCGATCCCGTTAGTCGCCTCTTACAACGGGCATAGTTGCCTTTTACGGCAAAGTGGGTTGCTGAAGACCGATTTTAACCCGGATCTTCATGCATACTATTTCATGTCAAACTGGAATGTAACTGATCAGTGGATATGATTTATCTTTTACAGATGGACTCCATCAACCTCACCATGTAAAACAGATTCATAGTCAATCATTCAAATCATCAGACAGAAGCAGGCACGTCAGTCAACCTTCTTTAGCGATGGCAGATGATGTGGTCCAGGAAGATGACTTTGATTTGTACACGGACATGATATGTGAGGAGTCCAAACTAGCACTTGAAGCTTGTAGATCACTTCCCACATCAGTTCCACTGCCAGTTTCTCCACTGGGTCCATCACCGGACTTGAATCATTTGTCACCAGATTTGAAACCTATGTCACCAGATTTGAAACCATCATCACCAGATTTGAAACCGCCATCATCAGATTTGAAACCTCTGTCACAAGATTCAAAACCTCAGTTCCTGGTCCCAAGCAAACCTCCCCCTGAAGAGGAAAGTGTGGATTTGTACTCCGACATCATAGCTGACTACCCCCGAACTGAAAAGTCATCATCTTCTGATAACAAGGTGCTTGCATCAAGCAGTGCTGGCTTGTCATCCCGTACAGCCGGAGATGGAGGTGCAGCAGCCAGGAGTGCGTCGTCAGATAAGCCTGGGGAGGAGGACAGCAGCCTGGACCTGTACACAGAGATCCTCAGTGATGAAGTACAGCAGCGACACGACTCACGGATACAGGTGATAGCAGGGATTTACTTATTGTGTCATTCATTGATAATTTAGAATAAAAATATTTCGACTCAAAGGTTTCATGATCACTAAGGCTAAAAAATAAGTCTTGGTTGTCAGGCACCGCCCGCATCATCATTAAGTCTGCTGGACGTTTGTTTTTATTTCCATTTTCCAAAACAATAAAAAATCCTAAGTTACGCAGTTACTTCCCTTTACTGTACATGTTATGTTCATGGCGGCGATAGGAGTTTGTATGCTTGTTTATGTAGGAAGGCCCTTTCCCCAGTTGATAGTACACAACTGTTTATTTGGTTACATACTGTGTTGAACAACCACGCCCGCCCGCACTATATTTTCAAAAGTCATTGCCTGAGAACCATTTCTTTTATAAATGTTAGCCTAATACACTATATTTTCTGCACATGTATAGATAGAAAGTACCTATGTAGACGTGCAATTAGTCAAACTATTGCTAAATATAAACAAGGGTGATGTTTTAATTTTTTTAAGTTGACTTTTTGGCCTCAATGTCCATCTTAATGATACATCTATATCGCAGTATACTAGGACATTACATGACTAGTTACACAGGCCTACCTTTAGAATACATTACCACAAACTTTTCAAAAAACATCATAATACTCCAGCCCTCTTCTTTGCGACCAGGGGGCATTAGCCTAGTGGTTAAAGCATTCTCTCGTCACGCCGAAGACCCGGGTTCGATTCCTGACATGGGTACAGTGTGTGAAGCCCATTTCTAGTGTCGCCTGCTGTGATATTGCTGGAATATTGCTAAAAGCTGCATAAAACCATACTCACTCACTCTTAGCGACCAAATTGGTCGCATATGCGATTTTAGATTTTTTGATGCCTAGTGTATATGTTTCGTGGCTCAGTGGAGTTTGTCTGTCCGTCCGTCCATCCGCTTCTCAATGCGGACAAATTTTCTCAAAAACTATTCAAGTTAGAGGAATGAAATTTTGCACACAGATGTTACTGGTCACGACCTCAAATGAGTTTGAAAATTGGTGTCGCACATTCATATTTTACAGAGTTATGGCCCTTGCTCCATGCTTTTCAACTTACTGCATACTGAGTGAAAAGGGGACAAGTTTTCTTAGCAACTACTGAAATCAAATGAATGAAATTTTGCATGCTTATATAAGCGATACTTGTCAAGACTGAGTTCGAAAATTGGTCCCGTCTTGTGTTTACAGAGTTACGGCCTTCCCGAGTAATTTTTCCCCGAGAAAGGGCCTTTTGTGTGCATTAATTTTACATTTAAACCATGTAAACTTTTTTTTCTGATGACAAAAAGCATCCCAGGTGCCTATCTCTTCTTAAGGCTTTATGGGGCTCCTTTTTCATAGTTTTTGTTTACTACTATATCATGTATATAAACACACAAACTTCTAATGTTCCTCATTGCAGAGGATAGTGATATCGTTGTTTTCTTGGTATTTAATGGAAAACCTATTATTCCATTTAGTTCTTGCATGTTATTAACGTGATTAAGATCTGACATAACTTTTGACTACGCGTCTCAAAAGTTTCCGAGTTGAATCAAGAGACGATATTTCTCGTATACAATATCAACCAGAACTATTCTTATACATGTTATAAATCTCTCAATTGTATGTGATCGTAACTTGACAAAAACAATGATAAAACCTATGTTTTGTATTCTATTTAAAATACACTGATTGGCTAAATACGACCAATGACATGATTGTAATACTGAAGCATGATTGTAATACTGCTCCATACATGGAAAAGACCTTGTTATTTCACTATATTATTGTGATATGTATTATAAGTGTCTGTAGACTAATGTCACGAGACGCCATGCCTACCCATAACCTTCATTAATGTCTGTCACCTATTAAACCCTTTCCGTTCAGTTCCGTAACATCTTAGGCATGATTTGGTAAATTTGCACACTAAAATTTCACAGTGTGGACATAGCTCAGTCAATTAGCTGTCAGGCTAACAATATATCCGAAGGTCACTTGTTCGTGTCCGACAGATTCTCATAAAAACTGGCTGCTTGTCTTTGAGACATGTGACCTACGACAGAGATCGTCCTCTCGAGAATTTGTGGTACTCTATTCTAAAGGTACCTCATTACCCAAGTCTATCTATTTTCGAGTCCTGGGTATATATAGTTTTGGGTGTCCAAGATTGCTGACATGTGGCACACTTCATGAGGTTTCCAAGAATTATACTGATGTTATATCATTGAACATGCTCATAAGACTCAAGCCTTAATTATGTGTGTCAATTCTCAGTTTGTATGTATATGGGATGCATTATATTGGTGTCAAGTAAAAACCATCATGAACTTCTCAGAAACCACTGGACCTATGAATCAATACATTCCCATCAATATCACCCCAATCTGTTCAAGTGATTCAAATCTGATTTCAATATGGCAGCCATATTTAAGAAAGCTGTTTATGGCCATTTTTCAATCATTTCGTGCAAAATGTAATGAAATATGGTACATGTGTTAGTTCGTCTAAGGTGCCGCGATTCGCTGTGCAGAGTTGCGTCCCTTGGGCACGCCCGAAACCTATGATTGTGGGTTCGAATCCTGAATCGCCCCATTTATAATTCTAGGTTTGTCAGCACCATACCCGTGCTCGTGGGTTTCAACGAAGTGGTAAACGTCTGCATCACTTCGGGCTTTCCTCCCACATAAAGCTGATATGCCGTGATATAACTGGAATACTGTTAAAAGCAGCGTTAAACCCATCTCACTCACTCACTCACACACATGTGTAAGTTAGCAGTTGGGCTTAAGAAGATATATGTTCCTTTTGTGTAAAATATTTTAACGTGCTGAAGTTAAGCACTTCGACCATACTGAAAGCTGAAACATTCTTATGGCCATGGCTATTGTATTTTCAAATTGTGATTTAGTTTGACCTTTGCATTTTGGTTCATTCTGACCATTGGTCCTTAACCGTGTTGACTGAAGTATGATTTCCTTCTCCAGCTGGAACAAAAGTATTCCACCGCTGTAGCCAGGATTCAGGACCTGGAGGCCGAGCTGAACAAGTTGAAGGAATCAGAAGAGAAAGCACGAACACAGAACATCGTCATCAAACAGAACATCACATCTCTCCTCCTAACCTCAAAGACGGAACTCAAACGAAAAGATAGAGAAATAACCAGACTCAAGTAAGCCTTACAGGGATGTTTCTGTATGTTTACGCTCGTCACGATATGTTTCTGTACGTTTACGCTCGTCACAATATGTTTCAGTACGTTTACCCTCGCCACGATATGTTTCTGTACGTTTATGCTCGTCACGATATGTTTCTGTACGTTTGCGCTTGTCACGATATGTTTCTGTACGTTTGCGCTTGTCACGATATGTTTCTGTATGTTTACGCTTGTCACGATATGTTTCTGTACGTTTGCGCTTGTCACGATATGTTTCTGTATGTTTACGCTCGTCACGATATGTTTCTGTACGTTTACGCTCGTCACGATATGTTTCTGTACGTTTACGCTTGTCACAATATGTTTCTGTACGTTTGCGCTCGTCACGATATGTTTCTGTACGTTTACGCTCGTCACGATATGTTTCTGTACATTTACGCTCGTCACGATATGTTTCTGTACGTTTACGCTTGTCACGATATGTTTCTGTATGTTTACGCTCGTCACGATATGTTTCTGTACGTTTACGCTCGTCACGATATTGCTGAAATATTGCTGATGTGATGTAAAGCATTAACTCACTCACTGTACGTTTACGCTCGTCACCATATGGCTGAAATATTGCCGATGTGACGTAAAGCATTAACTCACTCACTGTACGCTTACGCTCGTCACGATATGGCTGAAATATTGCCGATGTGACCTAAAGCATTTACTGACTCACTGTATGTTTACGCTCGTCACGATATGGCTGAAATATTGTCGATGTGACGTAAAGCATTAACTCACTCACTGTATGTTTACCCTCGTCACGATATGGCTGAAATATTGCCGCTGTGACGTAATACGCTCGTCACGATATGGCTGAAATATTGCTGATGTGACGTAAAGCATTAACTCACTCACTGTACGTTTACGTTCGTCACAATATGGCTGAAATATTGCTGATGTGATGTAAAGCATTAACTCACTCACTGTACGTTTACGCTGGTCACGATATGGCTGAAATATTGCCTATGTGACCTAAAGCATTAACTCACTCACTGTACGTTTACGCTCGTCACGATATGGCTGAAATATTGCCGATGTGACCTAAAGCATTAACTCACTCACTGTACGTTTACGCTCGTCACGATATGGCTGAAATATTGCCAATGTGACGTAAAGCATTAACTCACTCACTGTATGTTTACGCTTGTCACGATATGGCTGAAATATTGCCGCTGTGACGTAATACGCTCGTCACGATATGGCTGAAATATTGCCGATGTGACGTAAAGCATTAACTCACTCATTGTACGTTAACGCTCGTCACGATATGGCTGAAATATTGCCGATGTGACGTAATACGTTCGTCACGATATGGCTGAAATATTGCCGATGTTACCTAAAGCATTAACTCACTCACTGTACGTTTACCAGTCCAAGGGACTCTTCAGAATAGTTCTAGGTGTGTGGAGGGGATGGTGTTAAACGTGTTAAAGATCAAATATATTCTTGTCATCTGGTGTCGTATGCGGCAAAAACATGCGAGTTTGCTTCATTTACTGTCATTACCAGTAGGGATTTTGGTGGTTAAACTTATGAGTGAGTTCTCACTAACAGACTGTCCATTTCATATTCTGAACAATGCCTGGCATTTTTATCCCACCTCACGAATTGCAAAGGGGATTTTGGAATAGGTGCTGTCCGTCCGTCCGTCACATTTTGTTTCTGGAGCAGAACTCAAAAACCATGAGAGATATCTTAACCAAACTTGGCACATAGATAGGTCCATTGGTGAACTGGTGCCTATTGATGGTATGGGATATTTGAAAATTCTTTTTTTGAATTTCCATGGCAATGACGTTGACTTAGACTGAAATGGTGTTAGTGTTCATTTTCGGAGAAAATCTTGAAAAACGTACAATATTTCTTGCCTTTCACACAAACAGGCATGTCATATTGTCTTTTTAGAGAAAATTACTTCCTTGAAGCAGTGACCAAAAAATTCCATCTGGTTATCAATTGTGATGTCTTTTTTTGCAGCCTGTTGTTAGCCAAGCGTGGTGGAGGGAACTTCCGAGGAAACCACACTGATGTCAGGAAGTACAACGAGTCATCACCAAGTCGGCAGAAGGTGACCAGGATGAGTGATGAGTACACAGATGGGCAGACACCAAGAAGAGGGAGAAATAGTGAATATGACAATCAGAAAAGAAAGCGAAACGAACAAGTCAATGATGGCACACCAAAAAGAAGGAAAGTTGGAAACTCGAAATGTCCTGTGACCCCTGAACCCAAAGATCGTAGAAAACCATGGTCACACAGTCAGAGTCCTGACAAACCTGACAGGAAGAAGCCGGTGTTAACACAGAAGGGGCGGAGGAATGATGGTAAATACTCCGACCAGAGACGGAGAGAGTGTGCAGAGGAAGAGCGTAATATCGGTAGATCAAGTACGAGCAGAGAGAGGGATCAGAGACGGAGAGATTGTGCAGAGGAAGGGGGTAACGTTGGTAGATCAAGTACAAGCAGAGAGAGGGATCAGAGACGGAGAGATTGTGCAGAGGAAGGGGGTAACGTTGGTAGATCAAGTACGAGCAGGGAGAGGGATCAGAGACGGAGAGAGTGTGCAGAGGAAGGGGGTAACGTTGGTAGATCAAGTACGAGCAGGGAGAGAGATCATTGCGATGGCAGTACTTCAAGTAAATCTGGAGCTGGTCAGAAGAAGAAATATGATCGAAACAGTCATGAGAGAGATAAATGTCATGAGATCGCTGACAGAGATCCAATGTCTGGCACAAAGAGATCTTCAAAAGACGGTCATGGAGGTGAAAGAACCAGGATGCGTAACAAATCAATTGATGATGACAAGGAGAAAAAACAAAAGTCCAGCAAACAGTTACAAAATAGTTCTGTAGACTTGCGGACTATTTTAAAACAAAAGCGAGATGGAAAAGGAAAGGAACAGAAATCTGTTGAATTAGCAAACAGAAAGCGGCATCCTAGTAAAACTGAAAGTACATCAGAAAGTTCGAATCACACGGGGCATTCGTTGAAAACAAATGACAAAGAACCAAGACCTGGTGATAAGGATTCTACTAGTGCTAAGATATCCAGTAAGAGCAATGATAATAACTTTAAGGCTGATAAACCTGGCAATGCAAGTAAAAGTGATGAAAATCTGTTGAAAAATAATTCAGTTAAAGCTCAGAAAAAGTACGTTGCGGAGGCAAGCATGAAGCTTAAACCCATTTCAGTTGAACCTCAAACTGATTCTGATGAGGCACAGGACAGATGGCCAGGAGAAAAGGTGAGGGATTCCCTGCCTTCAGCTTCATCAGCAAGCTGTTCTGTGATGAAGGGCGAATCCTCCAATAGTCCCACGGATTCCAGGGGCTCGTCCAGCAGCACGGCATCAAAAGAGAAGAAGAGGATCAGACCGATAATGCTGAGTGGGAAGCCGGATGTGGCTGGTGACAGTCTCGACATTGACCACAAATCTTGTTTTGATTCAGTGATACAAAACATAGAGATGAGGGAGAACTCCAGCTTCGCCAATGCCAGAGTGGTTGTAATGGATGTTAAGGGTTGTCCTGTAGATGCTTCCGAGTCTACAGCAAGTTACGAGAATCAGATCAGTTGTAAGGACGGTGCTACCCAAATCAGGGATGATGCTATGGAGAAATTAGATGATGAATATGATAGAACATGCATTAAAAATAGTCATGACATGACTCCCTCGAAGCATTCTGGCCAAGTCAGTTCTTCCAATGACTTGGACTCTAAGCTGGCTGAAATTTCTCCACTTCAATCTTTGAGTAAGGACAAGGAGCAAATTGGAAGAGAAGAGAATGAACAGTTGCCTGTGTGTACTGGAGATCCCCTTCTGACGGAGACTTGTGTGTCCGCGGACAGGGAGACGATGGCGTCTGTGGTTGGTGACATGTCAGACCGAGACTGTTCTCTGGATTTGATGATGGAGGAGGAGAGGTGCTCCAGAACCATGCCATATATTCATGTCAGGAGGAACAAGTGTAGAAACGAGGTGGAGCAATTAACATGCTCAAACGGTAATGAATTATCCAATAAACAGGGTCAGGGTGAAGACAGTATGGACGTAAGTTCGGGAAAGAAGAAGAAATCTAAAAAGAAACACAGACCTAAGCTTGCAGAGAAAGAGAATGTCCTATCTGATACAGAAGGTCGGTGTGCAGATGTTACAAAATCTGATCTATCAGGGAGAATATCACCAGTAACAACTGAGGTTTCTTCTCATACAGCTTCTGCTTCTGTGAGACATGAGATGAATCAAAGTGCAGAAATGGCTGTTACCTCGAGTGACACAAATGACGAAAAACTATCAGATAATACACATGAAAGAAAAGACGCTAAAATCGATCATGTCGATAGAAGAGATCCTAGATTAAACTATGAATCTGGGAGTGAACATTCTGTTAAAAGAAATTTTAAGCTTTGTCAAAATTCAGAAAGTGTAACAAATGAAAATAATTGTGTGAAGATTAGAAGTGAAACTGTGTCCACAGACAAGCTCTCCTTCCATCAGTGTGAAGATGCTGGTGATAATGGTTCCCATGTAGATGGTCCATTACCTATTCATCTTGTGGATAGTCGTCTGAATGGCCATGAAAGACCACCCTACCATGTGGAACCATTTGATTTTACCTCATTTCCTAAATCTTATGCCAGATCTGAGAGTGAAGATGAGGAGAGGCAGAATGTCCGAAATGTTGAGTGTTGTGGCATATCTGAACAAAGAGGAGTCAAAAAGAGTTGTCCTGAAAACAGTTTGTGTGACCGTGTGGAGAACGCTGCTCGTGACAATGATTCAGATGACATCATCATGAAGGAAGATGAGTGTGATGAAAACACAGAAAAAAAAGCAAGACATTATTCAGGAAGCAATGATGTGGAAATGGAAGATACATCAACATTGTCACAGATGACAAAAGATCTATCAGGAAACGTCAGACAACCACTCTGCCGTCAGTCTTCTGTTCCAGCCCAAGGATGTAACGATCAGAATGTCTCAATTGATCTTGTAAAAGTAAGAGCAAGAAGTAATTCAGAATCTCAGTGTAGCTCAAGTCTGCCTGGTTCCAGACCGTGTTCAGTTCCAGTAGAGTGTTCTCAGTGCACCTTCCAACCTGTTGACCTGTCTGTGAGGTCGACAGTGAGGTCCCAGTTCACTGAGTCAAGTCACTTCCGTGGCTTCAGTATGTCAGAAGATGGGGCATTAGATTTGTCAAAGAAACAGATTCAGAGACCCTTTCAGCGTGTAAATTTTGAAAGTAAATCATTTGGACCTAAAATCAATCCAACCCTAACTAATCAAGATGAACCAAAATCAGACCAGATTTCCAGCACTACTCGTATGCCTGCATCTTCTCAAAGAACAATATCATATACAGGTTGTTTGGATAAAAAGTCATCGACATTGGTTGATCTGAGAACCACAAAATCAAATGTTGAAGCCAGTGATGCGTGTGACCTTGTGTTAGACCGACAAATCAAAGTAGAGAAAGATGTTGAAGTTGATTCCTCTCAACATCAAGTCCCACCTCAACTGACCCAAGATGCTGCAGCAGCGGTGGAGGTGAAGCAATCCTGTCAGGAACAGGAAGAACCGACCTCGTCTGATAAACCTGTCAATGTCTCGATACAAAGTATGGATAGAAGTGACACAAGCAAGGAATGTGACCTCACTTCCCCTGAAAGACGAGACAACCATGAAAACAAGTCTGACGAAAGTTCTACATTCGATTCTGAAGGTGAGGAAGACATCACACCTTCAACGAGTCAGGATCTTTCTGAACCGTCTTCTAAGACTGTATCTTTAACTCAGGTTTCATCCTGTTCAGATAAACTCAAGACGATATGTTCAAGTGAAACCATGACAACCATATCCAGTGTCCCGAGTAAGACGACTACCTCATCCTACGATTCCTCAGCATCAGCTGATGATGATGGTGGTAGTGTGTCAAGCAGCAAGGAGGACAAGGATAGCAGCGAAGATGACAAGGATAGCAGCGAGGAGGATGATAAGGAAAGTGAGGAAGAGAGTTCGGAGGACGTCTGTGTGACTGATAATGACGATGTATATCACTGTGAAAGTAGCCAGAGTGAGATCCTCATGAAAACTCTTTCATGTGAAAGTTTGCCGCTGAAAAACTTTGAAAAGTTGCGACATGATCTCCTTCTCTCTGATGACAGTAGTCTAAGTTATAATCACGAGTCCTCAGAAAATCTTCTGGCTACAGCCAGTAGATCCCATGTGAGTAATGATGATGAGGCCATGTTTAAATTACCAGATATGTCCACATCAGCATTTGCAAGGCTGGCTTCATCTAGTGAACCCTCAGATAAAACCAAATCACCAGAGACAATAACTAGGAGAACAATGACGTCTCTGGATGAAGACACTGAAAGTAGTCTGCTGTCATTGCATGCAGAACAGTTTGAGTTTGACTGTGACCAAAGTGCACATGGTGACCAGTTTAGAAGCCAGGGTGGCCAGACTGCTGCTGAAACTTGTGTTGAAGAACATGAAGATGGAAAGTCTGGTGAATGTTCTGAAGATGCTAAGTCTGATAGTGGTGAATGTTCTGAAGATGGGGAAATAACTAGTGATGAGGAAGGTCTGGCTGTAGAAGCACCTATTGATGAAGAACTGTCTGTTGATTTGAGGGAATTGTTAAAAGCAAAGCAGCTCCTTGAGCAGAAAATAAATGGGATTTGTGGGAGGGAAAGTAAGAAGCCTTTGTCATCTCGAACTTGTGATCGGGAAAATAGGCATAAAAATCAGAGACGTGACCGTAGGTTGGAACGAAAAGTTGATAGATCTAGGTCCTCAAGAAGTGTTGATAATCGTAGGGGATCCAAACCAAGTACCTCGGAACAGGATCGATTCAGCAGAGAAGTTCATGGGAGTGATCCAAGACTTGTTGGAAGGTCATCGTCAAGGCACCGAAGGGATGAAGAAGCACGTTATCACAGCAGCCCTTCAGCTCGTCAGATTCCTTCTGAGAGTAAGAGGGACAGTCACAGAAACACTTCACCCGTATCTTCAAGAAGCTCCCACAGAGATCACAGTAAAGAAAACCACAAAAGTCATGGCAGTGATCGTCAAGACAAATACCAGCGGCCTGACAGGATGGTGACTGACACTGGGAGGCACAGGGCCCGAGGGCGAGATTTTACGGACTCTGTTAGAAGTAGGGGTGACCCAAGCCCGGTCAGTCGCCATTCCGGCAGGAGAAGCAATAGAGACAAGTCATGACCGATGCTGGGGATATTTTACAGAGACAATATTGGTGTATGTTTTGCAGCCTTTGCTGTTATTACAGAACTGAACACAATGAAGAGGTGGTAATCCATGTGAGGCTAATATGCATAAAACTCTCTTAGCACTGAACATTGTGTTATTGTATGGGAGTGGACACTGTTTTCTTGGAGTGGGTGTATTGTGTTATATACATCTGAAAAAAGTTAAGCACCATCCTACCAGCAAGTCCTTATATTTATTGAATTTTTTTTAGAGATCATGAATATTTTTTGGGGTTGTTTTTCATGAAATCAAAGAAGTGGAGGAGGCAATTAATTGAAATTGTGGTCAAATAGGTATTCCCATTTAACAGTTACAGAACATAGCATTTCTCTTTCTGTAGTTTAATGAGTAAGTCACATTGTAAACAAAAACATGTTTTGTCATAGAATTGATACAGGATAAGATTTCAAAAATTGGTTATTTTATGTGGAGATATAGCAAGCAGTTCTTAAATTTTCTTCAGGAGTGAAATTTAAGTTGATATTTCCATACTCGTGTTCGATAGCTAAACAAGTGCCCTCTAATACTGTGGTCCTCTTTCTCCATAGATGGCAGGGTTCGGGACATGTTTGTCATGTGCAAATATCTAAGTGTAACATGCAGTGTTTGAAATTAAGTGTGGTCCTAGGGTACTTGAGGTTTTGTGTCTACATCTAGGATCCTGTTTTAACATGAAGTGGACCCCCTTGACGTTCATGCTTGTATTGAACACATGCACCTATATCAGATCAGCGCCACAATCACATTAATCATTTATTAATTTTATAACCATTAAGAGTACTGTTGATGCAGTTGATGGCAAGGCGGTGCTGATGTTGGCTAAAGCATTAAAAGGCTGCTGACTGTCTCTATAGCAATATCAACTGGAAAAACAGTTGTCATGTTTGCATAGATGTGGGACACAATTCCCAATGTTTTTATGATTCTAATCGATGTCAGTGTTTTACCTGTGTGGATGATGTATAATCATGAGGACACTTTTAATAAAGCTGTATCATTTATTCACAGATCAGTTCTATGTGAAACATTTAGTAACATGCATCGTTCAGGAAAACAATAATGGAATTCATTTCTAATCAGAACAATAATTAATTTTATGTTATGGCATGTTTAACCGTCTTCTTCAAATGTGCACTACAACAGCTAATATTACCTGTGCTGTAGGTGATCTATTTGGCCAAACAACAAAATATTTGTGCTTCAGTGAGAGTACATACAACGCGTGGGTCAGTAGGTGGGGATCTTTTTCATCTTATATTTTCATCTTATACAGTCATCTGAGGCGCAGCGATTTGCTGTGCAGAGTTGCGTCCCTTGGGCACGCCAGAAACCTATGATTGTGGGTTTGAATCCCGGTTCGCCCTGATTATGTTTCTAGGTTTGTCAGCACCATACCCGTGCTCGTGGGTTTCACCGAAGTGGTAAACGGCTGAGACCTGCATCACTTCGGGCTTTCCTCCCACAAAAAGTTGACACACTGTGATATAACTGGAATACTGTTAAAAGCGGCATTAAACCCAACTCACTCACTAATACCATAGGCTTGTTGGGAACTGGTTATAGTTGCCATGTTCTTAGATTTGTCACAATGGCTTCAGTCAACGATACAATGGGGAGGTATCATTTGTTTTCAAATATAAGTATGGGTGGCTTGACAGCTGTTGCCAGCTTTGATATGTTGGTATAGTTACCTGAGACAGGTATTTAAAAAGTACTACCGCATCTATGCATCCTATCAATTTAAAGCGGGATACTAGGCATCTATGCATCCTATCAATTTCAGGAACAACAACACACTTTATTTTGACTCCCATTTTTAATGTATGTCAGCTTCAGTACATCCTTGTTTAGAAAAATCGTTTTTGGTGCAATATGCTATCAGTGTATCGGTGGAATAAAAACAAGCAAATTCTGAATTCGTCTTTTCCATTTCAACATTTACAGTGGGCAGATCCGTAGAGTAGAAATAATAAATGTGGCCTAACATAAGCTGAACATGGTCTGTGTTAATTTGACCAATATTTGTGTTTCATCCAGGTGATCTACAAAATCTTTCATCCATTTTGTATGTTGACAAATTGAACCCTGTCCTTTGGGTGAATTATGTTTTTAATCAGGTTTCTGCCATTTTACGTTTACAAGGTCCTTTATACTTTATGTACTGAAACACATAACTTACAATTACAAAAAATCAACTTTTTCATGCTGGGCACAGAACCAATACAACCACATTATCTGCAGAGTAATCTCCCTTAGCCATGCTAGGATTCTCTGATCATTGCTTTAAATCCCATATTTGACCTGATTATGACACATACCTGTTCACCAATGTGGTAATGGTCTACGACCTGCGGAAGTTTTTTGGTCACATAAAACTGACACAGGGTGATGTAACAGAAATAGTGTTTGTTGCTTTGCAAGGCATTCAGCAATATTCCATAAGTAATATTCAAGTCTGGACCAGACAATCCAGTGATTGATACTGTGAGCAATAATCCACGCCTTCAAGGTACATCCATGAACCAAGTCACCAGCCGGACCACCCCTTCCATCAAGTCGCCCGTGCAACCAGCATAGGTTGAGGGGGACCAATTGTCAGCTGGAATCCTCATGGGGGACCTGAGCTAGTTTTCAGAGCCTTGTTATACAAACTCACTCCTTGATGATTGGGCAGGTTAAGAACATGTTTGCTTAAGTTTTCTGTTAAGCGTTTCTTTTCTGCGGATTCCACAGGTACGTCTTGTTCATTTGGTATTATAAAGATTCACAAATGAGAATATCAATAATCAGTGTTGTCCAAGTATAGAATGCAGGAAGTAGTTTTTGTGTACTTGTCTTTAATGTTCTCCTGGGCCTACAGAAATGTGTATCAGTACAAATAAACGTGTAGGGCCAATAAGTATATGATCTTTTTTTTGGAATTATCTCTATAATAATATGACCACAATTTTAGCGTGATATCACTGGTAGATATTTGTTGAAGTATTTGTCCTTAGTTTGGCTGTTATTTTTATCAGTGTTGATGTTTGTTTCATCGTCCTGAGATGACTTGTGCATCATATTGATATTTCCATGAGAATAAATTATTTTTCTACCTCAAGTATTCTTTACAAGTATTCTTTATGTGAAGAAAAGGCTGATATCTAGACTAACAAACGAGGATTAACGGATTGTCTGTCCAGATTGAATGAGAAGTGTTCATCCAGAATTTTTGGCGAGGGACTAACAGCATTCATTCACGAGTGAGAAATAATCCGTAATTCCCAGTTTCAAGTAGGTTATCCTACCACAGAGCAGGTTATAGATATACAAATACATAGGTACATTTATTACTGATTGACATTTTATGAGTGAAACTGAAGAAAAGACCTATGAAATGTGAAAGAAGGCAATCTATTGTTCAGATGATATAATGAGCACTGTGGCCATATGGCTTCAATTGAACAATCGGGGGCACGGGTGTCCCAGTCGTCTGAGGCGCCGCGATTCGCTGTGCAGAGTTGCGTCCCTTGGGCACGCCAGAAACCTATGATTGTGGTTTCGAATCCCGGTTTGCCCCGATTATGTTTCTAGGTTTGTCAGCACCATACTGTGCTCGTGGGTTTCACCGAAATGGTAAACGTCTGAGACCTGCATCACTTCGGGCTTTCTTCCCATGTTAAGCTGACACGCCGTGATATAATACTGTTAAAAGCAGCGTTAAACCCAACTCACTCACTCACTCACTAACTCAATATCGTTTGAACGTAGTTTCGAATTGGACATCATCTGATGGGGACTCTCGTTTTGTCCCCACCAACCCCCTTCACGCGAGCTTCTAGACAGTGATACACCTGGTTATGTGATGGGTAACAAACCACTTTGTCCCAGAAGAAAATGGAACAAAATACTTGCATTTACAGCATAAGTACTTATCCGCGTTAAGAATTTTCTGATAATACAGTATACTACGTTTATAACGAACACGCTTATAACGAGCTGACGGATATAACGAACTTATTTTTAGTCCCGACCATTTGTTGTATATATGCTGTATGTATGCTTATAACGAACTATGGATATAATGAACTAAAATTAGTGGTCCCCTCGAGTTCGTTATAACCGTCGTCTACTGTAGTTAAAACCCGTAAAGATCCAGGTAATATTTTATTAGTCTTCAGCAGTCCTTGCTTGTAAGAGGCAACTAACGGAATCGGCTGGTCAGGCTCGCTGACTTGGTTGATGCATGTCATCATATCCCAAAGATGTAGATCGATGAGATTGGCCGTCATACTGCATGACTAGTGCAACGTTAAAAAAACATACAAACAAATATAAACGGTGTTGTTTATTGATCACAATGCGGTTCGCAATAAATAATGCATCCCTTATACTTTAAAAGACTGTTGTGCACGTATAATGCACGCAAATGTGAGCAAGGAAGTGGATATTGTTTTGCTCAAACATTAAATGTTTCGCTTAGCCCAAAGAATCTATAAGCCACCATATGCACCCACAGGTTTACGGGTATTTATACGTACACATATTTATTCTAAAGTTACAAAAGCCTTCAGCTCATAAATCAAATTTGAGTATTTCTGAATTGCTTACCAGTGATTAGATCGCAGTTGTGTTATTGTGCAAGTATCACAGACAGTGCTAAGACACTGAAGCTCACCTTTCTGTAATTGCTGTTGGTTCAACAGCTAAGCTGTGGCGTCTCGACTCATGAGCTACTGTAACTGAATTATATGTGCCTTATAACGGGGCCCCGGCGGCTCCATGGTCTAAGGGAGCGACCATTCGATAGTCTGCTTGGGTGCCTGGGATTTTGTAGCGAGACTCGATATTTTGTCAGATTTTGTTTTTTTAAATTAAACCTATATTGTCCTGAATATTTTGGTAAAAACCTCTTGCAACAATGTATGTTTTTGTGGCAGACAATTGCCAACAGTTCGAAGCCTAAATATTTTTTTAAGTCTTCTCGTGGACAAAATATCTGTTTCAATAAAATCCCACTCTCAATGAAGGGTACGTAGGTTCTTGAGTCTATCAGATTTCAGCTTTCTAAAACGATTCGGCTTCATTTCTTTACCACTCGAAATCTGAAATTTCGATTGAACACAAGAAAACCCACTGTACTCAAATATTCCATCCATGGTACTCCGTGTCCGGTGAAGATGCCATGGTCCTAAAAAACGACAGGGTACACATTGCAACCACAACGATGATATTTCTTTCATTCGGAACTCCACGATTGTGTTTGTTTTCGAAAAACAGAAATCAGATATGCTGCTGTCAATGCTTCTCTCACTCGTACCAAGCCTCGTTATTGATTGGCTGATTGGAAAATTAATCAGACACAACCTGTGGAGGGTCGTCAGATCCTCGCGCAGAGAGGCATCGTATGGGAGTAAAGGGTTTTATTTAATGGGATTGGAACCTGTCGAAGTTGGTGCGTAATTTCAATGATGTACAGTGACAGGTTTGACCTGATCCTGTCGACATGCTTTGGTGACAACATGCACGACAACGTCCACGATCAGCTCGAAAATCTCCCACAGGGTGAGGAGGGAGAAGCCCAGCCAGAGTCCAGCCTGTCCGCCGACATCAGACAACAGACTCTTCCACTGGAATACAGACAGGAGGAGATATAATTATATCGACATCAGACAACAGACTCTTCCACTGGAATACAGACAGGAGGAGATATAATTATATCGACATCAGACAACAGACTCTTCCACTGGAATATAGACAGGAGGAGATATAATTATATCGACGTCAGACAACAGACTCTTCCACTGGAATACAGACGGGGGGGGGGGGATATAATTATATCGACATCAGACAACAGACTCTACCTCCCCGCGAATTGTCTCCCTTTATCGTAAGTGTCTAGCCCGTACACAAACTGTTGACTTCCTTTTTACCCTAGTTGACATTGACAAGGCAAATAATTACAGATGGTCATTTATGGAGTAAGTATCGGTTATTCTCTTGAAATCGTTTCGTTATAAACTGTAAATTTCTCATTTAACTTGTCAATCGAGACTCTTCGTTTCGCCATTTGTGTTACTTGACCAACGTGTATTCTTCCGCTTTCAATAGCGATCTCGTAGATTTCAAGAATATTTTTTGTTGCAGTTGATTGTGTATATAATCATATCGAAATGTATGATAAAGAATTTTCGTGACCCTAAATATTTAACTATATATGTAACTTTTGGTTATGTTTTAATATTTTGTAAACACGGAACTACTTTTTAATTCGCAAATATAAGGGGTGGTGAAACGTCCCTGTGTGTAAGGTTGGGAGAATTTACGTTTAAAGCTTTTATATTTGTAATAAAATATTTTTATTTTCCGGTTGACAAGTACACAAAGAGTATGTAATAAATAGGATATTCCATGATGTCACTCATGAAATGTCAAGTTTCTCCTATCGCGTGACAGGGGAGGGTTGGGGGGGGGTTGGGATATGTTTAAAATAATCTCCTTTTCCCCTGTCACGTGATGAGAGAAACATGATATTTCTCACGACACATGAAATAACCTCTATATAGCATCATCAGACAACAGACTCTACCACTGGAATACAGACAGTAAAACGTTTAATTATATCGCCTAAGCCTTATATATTAAGTGATTTCATTCCTGAACCGTCGCTGTTTCTTAAGAAAATGGAATGATGTTAGGTTGTACATATTTTTGTGCTTTTATTGGAGCCAAATACGTTCGGCCAGAGGGGCTGTTACGCATATAGCAGCTACAAGATATATGGTCACACCCAGTGTCAGTAGATTACATGATCCTTTTATATGGTATACTGACACTGGGTGTGACCATATATCTTGTAGCTGCTATTTCTGGTGTTACACGCTCCTGTGCGTTGGCGACACACACAATGGGCTTGCCAAATTTTGTTTGTATGTGAATCTTTGGTAAAATGAAATGATAAATTTTCGGGCTTCCTCCTACAATATATCTGATTTTTTTTTTTTATCTTTGTTTGTTTGTTGTTTAACGCCGCACTCAGCAATATTCCTACTATAAGACGGCGGTCTGTAAATATCGAGCCTGGACCAGACAATCCGACTGACATCATGAGCATCGATCCACGCAATTGGGATACGATGACATGCATGAACCAAATCAGCGAGCCTGACAACCAGATCCCGTTATTCGCCTTTTACGACAAGCATAGTCACTTTTTAGGCAAGCACCGGTTGCTGAAGACCTATTTTAACCCGCATCTACAATATATCTGAAATCCCGTTCAGGTCGTGTTGACATTGAAGATAAAACATTGTACTTACATCATACGCTGGTCTGGTCTCAATCTTCTCATAGTTTAGCGATTTGTAGAACACGTTCAAAGTCATTGCATTCAGCCTGAAATGTAGAAACCCCTCCTAAATGACACGTTGTGGACATAAATGTGGTATATTCTCATTGTCTACAAAATATACAAATGTAACTGCGCTGAACCCAAGTTGAGATTCCGGGGCGGACAATGTTCAAGTACAGACTCTACCATCATTGTTAATATGGTCACTATACAGGCAGTACCAGTGGTTGATAGCATGAGAAGCTCTCGACGCCGTCAGGATACGGTGACACACTTCCTTGCTTCATCATGGCGGTCGTGTAGCCGAGTGGTTACGGTGTTCGCTCGTCACGCCGAGGACCCGGGTTCGACTCCCCACATGAGTACAATGTGTGAAGCCCATTTTTGGTGTCCCCCGCCGTGATGTTGCCTGAATATTGCTAAAAGCGGCGTAAAACCATACTCACTAACTCTTTGCTTCATCAGCCGATCCTCATTTCAGTCTACTCTTAGAATTGTCTGTTTGTTGTTTAAGGCACTATTTCAGCTGTATGACCGCGGCCTGTAAATAATCGAGCCTGGATCAGACAATCCAGTGATTGGCAGCATGAGCATAAACCCACGCATGGGATACCATGGCATGCATCAACCAAGTCAGCGAGTCTGACCACCCGATCCATTTTGTCGCCTCATAGATATGCATAGGATGCTGGCGACTTGTATTCCTACCTGGAATACTAACGGGGTCATGTGTTAAGTTGGAACACAGTTCACTTACCACAGACACATGGGTACAATGTGAGAAGCCCATTTCTGGTGTCCCTCGCCGTGATATTGCTGGAATTTTCCTTAAGCGGCGTAAAACCATACTAACTCACTAACCACAGAGTGCTAAACCGTTCATTACAGAAACACTGCAGTAGGACAAGGACTTTTGAGTGAGTTGGGTTTAACACTGCGGGTCTTCCTACTTGTTCAGCACTTATTGTTTTAGGTATAAATTCACCCAAGCGTGGTGATTGGGGACACAATAGGGGATTAAGGGGCATCTCACATACCACACAACTGATTGGTGAATATTGTTTGGTAGGCATTACTTAGTGGTTGACGGATGACAAGGTAGACACAATTTTATGGATAACAACTTCTTTAATACTGTGAAAAGCGACGTTTCGGTATAGATCCTTTTACCGTTGTCAAGCAAGACTGAATGAGGGACTTAGTACAGAATATATATAGTAGGTGGAGGATTAACAGTAACAACAATTGCATATATGAGTGGGATAACATAGGTAGGTGTTGACAACAAGGGGATAATACTGTCACAACACGATGGACAGAGAACACATAGGTGGAAGCCAATTAAACAGGATAAGTGATTATTGCTTGATGAGTTCAAGGTAGGCGGATGGGATGAAATAGCCTTGATCTCTGTTGATTGATGGCTTGTGGCGCGAATGTGGATTGCTTTTGTTAGTTTTCCTTTAGTGAAATCATGGAGGTTGTTGGAGAGGATTTGGACGTTGTCCCAGTTGATGTCAGGACAGTTGCTGATATGGTCCGAGATGGCTGATTTACTGTCGGATTTAATGGTGGAGGTTTTGTGCTCTTTCCTTCTTGTGTTGATTGGGCGGGATGTTTCACCTACGTAAGATTGTCCACAGTTGCAGCCAACTAAAACCACACAATCCTTCCGACTCCCAAACAACCAATCAATATTCACGGCAGAACTAATGGGCATGGCCTCAGTCCTCCATAATCAAGAATCCAAAAAACACAAAAAAATCCTAATACTTACCGACTCAATAAGTGGACTGCAAGCCCTCCAAAACAAAAATACCAAAAACCGACCTAAATTAATAAATCAAATACTTAAAAGCTCCAACGACCTAACTAAGACAGGCAAACAAATAACCTTCTTGTGGATACCCACCCACGTAGAAATATACGGTAATGAAAACGCCGATAAAGCAGCTAAACTATCCCTCAAAATCCCAGAAATAAGCTTAAATTTACCCATCTCAAAATCAGAAATTAAAAGTGTAAACAAGCAAAAAATCACAAAAAATGGCATAACCTATATCTAAACTCAAATAGCCAAATCAAAAAAGTGCTCAGCAAACCACTAACCAAACCAAAAATTCTCCATCCATCCAAAAAAATCGACAGAGTAATCACTAAACTCCAAACAGGACACACCAACCTAAATAACCACCTAAAAAAATTAAAAAACACACAACAGGTAAACTGCCCACACTGCAAACAACCAGAAACCCCAGAACACGCACTCATCCACTGCACACACTACCTAAACACATCGAACCGCATTACAAACCACCCTCAATCTAAACAAGGCTCTAACTCTAGAAGCAATACTAAACCCACAAAATAAACTAGAAAGCTTCAAGGCCTTAGTCGTATTCTTGATAAAAACGGAACTAATAAAATGCATCTAAAAACACAATAACCTACCAAATCAAATCACATAAACAAACAAACATCCACCATACCCAGCTCCCTTAGTTCTCCTCCCCAATCCCATCGGCATCTATTCCAAATCTCAAAATTCCCAAATTCTATATAAGCAACCCCTAAAACCTCCCTCTTGGGTTGCACAGACCACTTTCGCCCCTTTCGGAAACACATTAAATGGCCTGGCCGGGCCCGTGTGCGAAATACGCATCAGTCGGAAAGCGCACGTTAAATCTCCAAAGTAAGTAAGTAAGTATGCAGTCAGTTTTGTAAACTACACCTTTAGGTTCTTGGGGTTTGGTTGTGTTCCTGCCGTTGGCTCTAAGCAGGATCTTGACGGGGTTGGCGCTGGTGAAGTGGGTGTCGATGTTGGCTTGCTGTTTGAGGAGGCGGCTGATGATGTGGGAGGCTTTTCCTATGAACGGGAGGGCGATGCGGAAGGGCGCTGATTCAGGTTTGAGGGGGGCAGGTCTGGGTGTGGGATAGAGTACAGAGGTGATGACTTTGTCGACGAGATTGGGTGGATAATGATTGAGGTGGGTGAAGACTTGGCGGAGGTGTTCGATCTCAGGTTTGGGGTCAGCAGAAGAAAGGTTGATGGCTCGTTTGGTGAGGGTGGAGATGATGCCAGTCATGGCTTTAAGGGGGTGGCTGGAGTTGAAGTGGATATACTGGTCGGTGTGTGTGGGCTGTCGGTAGACACTGGTTTGGATTCTGTTTGTTGGGCTTCTGGAGACGAGGCCATCTAGGAAGGGTAGTTGGTTGTCCTTTTCTGTTTCGATGGTGAACTGTACGGGGGTGGGTTGGTTAAGATGTTGTAGTAGCAGGGTTGGGTTTTGGTCTTGTTTTAGGATGACAAAGGTGTCGTCAACTTTCCTGTACCAGCAAATAGGTTGGATGGGTGATGTGGTGAGGGCTTGCTGTTCGAAGTAGGTCATGTAGATTTCAGTAAGGAAAGGAGAGAGTGGTGATCCCATGGGTGAATATCTCAGAAAACTTAATAAAAATAATAAAAACCTAATTGGTGAACTATATTCACATACACTGAACCGAGTGAAAGCTTTTCAAATAAATTTCAATGTGAGTGAACATTGAAAGTATGATTAAGTGTGATTTGGGCTATAAATGGAATTACAGGCTAGAGACAGTAGTCCACTGTGGCAAATGTCCAAGTTGATTTACAGTTTACTCCCAATTCTAAGAGGGGCTGGCACTTGTATTTGTACTGTGCTGACTTACTTCCTGCTTACAAATCTGTACTGTGCTGACTTACTTCCTGCTTACAAATCTATACTGTGCTGACTTACTTCCTGCTTTCAAATCTATACTGTGCTGACTTACTTCCTGCTTACAAATCTATACTGTGCTGACTTACTTCCTGCTTACAAATCTATACTGTGCTGACTTACTTCCTGCTTACAAATCTATACTGTGCTGACTTACTTCCTGCTTACAAATCTGTCCTGTGCTGACTTACTTCCTGCTTACAAATCTGTACTGTGCTGACTTACTTCCTGCTTACAAATCTATACTGTGCTGACTTACTTCCTGCTTACAAATCTGTACTGTGCTGACTTACTTCCTGCTTACAAATCTGTACTGTGCTGACTTACTTCCTGCTTACAAACCTATACTGTGCTGACTTACTTCCTGCTTACAAATCTGTACTGTGCTGACTTACTTCCTGCTTACAAACCTATACTGTGCTGACTTACTTCCTGCTTACAAATCTATACTGTGCTGACTTACTTCCTGCTTACAAATCTATACTGTGCTGACTTACTTCCTGCTTAAAAATCTATGCTGTGCTGACTTACTTCCTGCTTACAAATCTGTACTGTGCTGACTTACTTCCTGCTTACAAATCTGTACTGTGCTGACTTACTTCCTGCTTACAAATCTATACTGTGCTGACTTACTTCCTGCTTACAAATCTATACTGTGCTGACTTACTTCCTGCTTACAGATCTATACTGTGCTGACTTACTTCCTGCTTACAAATCTATACTGTGCTGACTTACTTCCTGCTTACAAATCTATACTGGGCTGACTTACTTCCTGCTTACAAATCTATACTGTGCTGACTTACTTCCTGCTTACAAATCTATACTGTGCTGACTTACTTCCTGCTTGGGACCCGTGAAGATCCGGGGAAGAATAGGTCCTCAGCAACCCATTCTTGTCGTAAGAGGCGACAGTGCTTGTCGTAAAAAGCGACTAACAGGATCGGGTGGTCAGGCTCGCTGGTTTAGTTGATGCATGTCATGAACCCAATTGCGTGGATCGATGCTCATGATGTCAATCACTGGATTGTTTGGTCCAGACTCGATTATTTACAGACCGCCGTCATATAGCTGGAATATTGCCGAGTGCGGCGTAAAACAACAAACCAACCAACCAAACCAACTACTTCCTGCTTGACAACGATCTAAGGATTTATACCGAAACGTCGCACCATAACAAAATAAAGAAGTTGTCATCTATAAAAGATATATTGTCATTACTGTACAAATTCAATGAGATACTGCAGGTGTAACAAGATAATACCGCGATGACAATCCGGGTAGTTTGATGGCAAATTGATGCCACCAAGAAGAAAGAAAAATGAAAAACTGGACCATACCCTTGAGTTGATGGTATACCAAACAGGATGTTACATGCATTGATTGTTATTTTAATTATTCATAATATCAAGATCAAAGGTCGCTTCACACACTTTTTTGTAGGATTAACCATAATAGCAACACTTTTAGATTGACCGCTTCCTGACTTATCCGTACAGCTGCCAAGATCACGTGTGTACATACCAGCCATTTGTAACTTACCACTGCACACGCACCGGTAACTTTAGGCCACGCCTCCCAATATTTTATTATTTTATTATTTTTTTTATTTATTTATTTTTATTTATTTATTTTTTTTCCCGAGCGTGTGATTTCAGCACTTTCATTTGGACATTTAAATACTTTCTACGAATGTTATGATATTTTTGCTCTCGGTATTATATATGAGAATTGATATTCGCAACAACATCGCAATCATTTTTTTTTCGACTTAGATCTCCTTGCCCAACATCGAGGTATGTTATGTGCTCCGGGAAGGTAGTTGCCTATAAGGCAACAAGAATCAAGTACTGTAGTGTCCAAATTTGAGAATATAAAATGCTGACTAACCTGAAGAAATGTTCCTTTTCTTTGTCTGAGGAATATCGTCTGATCGGCACTTTCCTGCCATTTGAGATAAGTGTGTCCACGAAAGTATCAGCCAGTTTTGGGACATGTCCTGTAGCGGGCCACATGGCGGAAGAGAGCTCTACTTGGTAAGAATCGTCCCTGAAATCACAACATGATCCTTGCACAGTTGCGATATCGTTGGCTATAGCTCATAACTATACATGCCCCAATCTAACGTTAACGCTATAACTTTCAGTAAATCTCGCAGTATATTTTAGACGTGGACATACATAACACAAAAGATTCTCACCCACGTGGACATACATGACACATTACATTCTCACCCACGTGGACATACATGACACATTACATTCTCATCCACGTAGACACACATGACACTTTACATTCTCACTCACGTGGACATACATGACACATTACATTCTCACCCACGTAGACATATATGACACATTACATTCTCACCCACGTAGACATACATGACACATTACATACTCGCCTCAAGTAGACATATATGACACATTACATTCTCACCCACGTGGACATACATGGCACATTATATTCTCATCCCACGTGGACATACATAACACTAAACATTCTCATCCCACGAGGACATACATAACACAAATCATTCTCACCCACGAGGACATTCATAACCCAAATAAATCTCACCAACGTGGACATACATAACACAAAACATTCTCACCCACTTGGACATACATAACACAAAACATTCTCACCCACGTGGACATACATAACACAAAACATTCTCATCCCACGTGGACATACATAACACAAAACATTGTCACCCACGTGGAAATACATAACACAAAACATTCTCATCCACGTGGACATACATAACACAAAACATTCTCATCCCACGTGGACATACATAACACAAAACATTGTCACCCACGTGGAAATACATAACACAAAACATTCTCACCCACGTGGACATACATAACACAAAACATTCTCATCCCACGTGGACATACATAACACAAAACATTGTCACCCACGTGGAAATACATAACACATAACATTCTCACCCTAGCAGACATACACGACACATTACATTCTCACCCACGTAGACATACATGACAAATTACATTTTCACCAACGTAGACATACATGACACATTACATTCTCACCCACGTAGACATATATGACACATTACATTCTCACCTCAAGTAGACATATATGACACATTACATTCTCACCCACGTAGACATACATGACACATTACATACTCACCTCAAGTAGACATATATGACACATTACATTCTCACCCACGTGGACATACATGACACATTACATTCTCACCCACGTGGACATACATGACACATTACATTCTCTCCTCAAGTAGACATATATGACACATTACATTCTCACCCATGTGGACTTACATGTCACATTACATTCTCACCCACGTGGACATACATGACACATTACATTCTCACCCACGTAGACATACATGACACATTACATTCTCACCTCAAGTAGACATATATGACACATTACATTCTCACCTCAAGTAGACATACATGACACATAACATTCTCACCTCACGTGGACATACATGACACATTATATTCTCATCCCATGTGGACATACATAACACAAAACATTCTCACCCACTTGGACATACATAACACAAAACATTCTCATCCACGTGGACAAACATTACACAAAACATTCTCATCCCACGTGGACATACATAACACAAAACATTCTCATCCCACGTGGACATACATAACACAAAACATTGTCACCCACGTGGAAATACATAACACAAAACATTCTCACCCACTTGGACATACATAACACAAAACATTCTCATCCACGTGGACAAACATTACACAAAACATTCTCATCCCACGTGGACATACATAACACAAAACATTCTCATCCCACGTGGACATACATAACACAAAACATTCTCATCCCACGTGGACATACATAACACAAAACATTCTCACCCACGTGGACATACATAACACAAAACATTCTCACCCACGTGGACATACATAACACAAAACATTCTCACCCACGTGGACATACATAACACAAAACATTCTCATCCACGTGGACATACATAACACAAAACATTCTCACCCACGTGGACATACATAACACAAAACATTCTCACCCACGTGGACATACATAACACAAAACATTCTCACCCACGTGGACATACATAACACAAAACATTCTCATCCACATGGACATATATAACACAAAACATTCTCACCCACGTGGACATAAAAAAGATAGTAAATTCTCATCCCATGTTGACATACATGACACATTACATTCTGACCCACGTAAGGCGATAGCTTGCTACTCTACATAACTCCCTTGACTAGGTCCAGAAGACACGGGGCATGCAGCATCATATTGTAGCTAGGTACCCTTCTATAAGAACACGGGGCATGCAGCATCATATTGTAGCTAGGTACCCTTCTATAAGAACACGGGGCATGCAGCATCATATTGTAGCTAGGTACCCTTCTATAAGCACACGGGGCATGCAGCATCATATTGTAGCTAGGTACCCTTCTATAAGCACACGGGGCATGCAGCATCATATTGTAGCTAGGTACCCTTCTATAAGCACACGGGGCATGCAGCATCATATTGTAGCTAGGTACCCTTCTATAAGCACACGGGGCATGCAGCATCATATTGTAGCTAGGTACCCTTCTATAAGCACACGGGGCATGCAGCATCATATTATAGCTAGGTACCCTTCTATAAGCACACGGGGCATGCAGCATCAGTGTACAGCTGGGCCCCCTTCCTCAAGCACATGTGAAGCTAACCTGCAGTTCGGTGTACATCTCTGTTGACATGGTGTGTCGCCATCCTCAAACGTCTTCAGGACCGTCATCTCACATGAATCTAGGACAGGTGAAAATTGTAACGTTTATTCATCAAATGTGTGTCTAATGCTTCTTTACGTCCCTCCTGTCCCCATGCATCCCTGCACTGAATCATGGAGTGAGCATTACCGACCGACGCACCATAAAAAGCAACAACATGGTTATGCCTCCCCCAAATTTGACCCAAGTCCCTCTTATACGATTGATATGGAATATCGGTCTAATAGACAACCAACATAACACACAAACAATGTCTCAGTTCTAGAACTAAGCAGAAGATATAATCCCTCATGAAGCCAGTGCATCATTCAAACATTCCAACAGTTTCCGCTTTAAAGAGGTTCCGGACTAGTGATTAATGAACACTAAGTTACTTCCCTTCCTATTCGGCCGTAACGAATGGTTTAGAACATATATCAGCGTAATTACTAATATTGTATCCGACCTTTTGTCCGTTTTGCAAATAACAAAATCAAACACAATTTGTGTCTTCATTACCGCGTGTGACGCCATACAAAGTATTATGAAATGACTGGTATTTACAGAGACACAAACCAGTTGATATTGCGTGCGAGACGCCTACTAAAAGACATGGAAATCACGCGCATAATACGTAGGAAATGGTAAATCAAGACAGTATTTTTCACTTTGATGACAAATGGAACAAACATCTAAATGTCCTGTCGCCGGTAATTTTTACAGGATGTTGCTGCTGAATGTGCTCACACGCCTCATCCTTTAATGCCCCCATTCCAGACGAGTTCAGCCCATGTTAGATTATGGAAAGTAAAAACAAATATTTTACACCATCGAGTGCAAATTTGATCAGTTTTGTCCAGTTAAAGATCAGAAAGGATATTAGGTCTATAAATGTCACGGTTGTTCGGATGTCAACGGAAGAATTTTTTTTCAGCTGGTCTATTAATTTAGTCTCCACCGTCCTGATATCATTTGGCTATTGCTCAAAGCTACACGTGATTTAAAGGCTGCATCATCGCAGAAGCTGAGAGAAAAGTACTTCTTCCTAAATTATTGTCGGTAGGCATTTGAAATAATGACATTGGTATATACTCTGCCCAAAACGTGATTTTATATGTATATTTTATTTGTCATATACATAATCATCAGATGGTAATCGAGTGTTCAAAATTGGCACACATCATTCTCATTGACCCAGGTATGGCACACATGGAACAGTAGATTTTGAAGGTGAAGGTCATCTGTTCTCAATATCTTGTATGTTCACCATTAGAGTCCAAAACTGACTGGCATCGTCGTCTCATGGAAGCAATCAGATCCCTTATTGTGGCCTTGGGAATGTTCTCAGTGCTCCAGTGCTTGTGCCAACTGTTGGAGGTTCTATGGTTGTTGCTGACGTGGTCTTTGATCCAGTTTATCCAATAAATGTTCGATTTGGTATACATCTGGAGACCTGGAGGGCCATGGCAAGACCTGGATGTTGTGATTCCTGAAAAAAGGCTGTTGTCAGTCTTGGCGTGTGATGTCAGGCGTTTGTTTTGTTGAAAATAATCTGACGTGTGTCCGAAGAATCTCAACCGTGTAAGTTTTACGTTGTCCCGTTAAATTCCCTTGAACTTGAACCAGCTCTGCAGGAGATGGCTGCCCGCATCATCACACTACCACTCCACTTCCTGTATTCAGTTTCGTGCATAACGTTCCCCGCGACGCCTGTAAACACAATGTCAACCATCCGCACGGCGAAGCATTAAACGTGACTCAAAATGACATCTCGAACTGGTCGTCTAGCGCGAATACCTTCAGTGCGTGAACATTTCCTCACTGTTGGGTTTATATCCTACGCAATCCAGGTAATGCCGTAGTTGTGGAGGTGACCTTGATGGTTCTTTCACGTCAGTGACGTAGCCGTAAAATCTGCCCTGTGATGTTGTAGTGATACGTGGTCAACCGGATCTGGTTAGGTCCCATGTTGTCCCTTGTGTCTGATATGGGTTCCAAACTCTTGTAATGGTGCTTGGTGCTACGTGGAAAAAACCTGGCTACAGCTGAAGATGGTTCTCCTGTTTGCAGTCGGCCGATGGCTTAGATGCGTTGGGCTTCCGTCAGTCGTGGCATGGTTTCGCTGTTCACTTGCTGTAAGATTGTGATGACATGCATGTCATGTTAGTGTGTTTCGGCGCCAGGCTCTCACGATGATGGGTTTTTGATCTTTTCACCAAATTTCGGCAGTACCTCATTCTTTCCACATAAATCAATTCCAATCGATGCAGAAATGACCAATTCATTTTTGGGTATTAATTTATTATGGATGTCGGCAACACTCTATCAGATATTTACGATTTTACTACTTTTGTGGGGTTTGTTTTGCAGAGTTCATATAAATTACAAAATATAAATGAATACGTGATACACTGGTATATTTCAATATTTAGCTTGGCAGATTCTTGAATAATTGTTCAAACGGGATTCAAAATTGGTACGAATAGTCTGCGTGGGTTACATACATGTATAGAGGACAACGCGTTGGCCACTTGAAAATCCTATTTATTAAGATAACATGATTTCGCATTTACCTCATTTTTACTGATTCCGTTAAACTACCTTAAAGCTATAAACATGGATTTATATGTCCACGTAGGTCAGAATGTAATGAGTTATGTATGTCTACGTGTAATGTCCTTTTCTCTTCAATACCTCATATAACCAGTTTCGATATATTTCTTTAAAAAAACATGCCATGGTATTGCAACTGTTTTATCCAGAGTTCTCGAGAAAATGTACCATAGTGCAATTATGCAATCACCAACAATTTCCAAGTATTATATTCTTGTTTCATTTTATGAGGTCAGTTTGAGTATGTACAGCTGCAAAGATTAACATTGGTAACTATGTATGTTTCTAAGAGATAAACATTAGTTCATTCTGGCGGCCATCTTGAAAAGACATGGCGGCCATTTTGCATTTTCACGTGGCCAACGCGTTTTCTTGAACAAGTTACCCAAGGAGACGATTCTTGCACATTTTGCTGCGTGTATAACCATTTGAACAATTCTTACCCAAAAGGACTCTAATCTGCTTGGTTACTTAGGAGCAACACAGTTTAGTGCTTTTCTGTAACGCCGCAATGAATACTGTAACGTCATAATATTGCCGTTCCGTGAAGAACTGCGTTGCTATAACAGACACCTTTGAGGGGTTAACACGTGTTGTATTGTTTGTCAGGGATAACCTACCTCCGTTTCTCCTGCTGGTGTCACACTGTCGAAGAGGGAGGGATGGGACGGTCTCCATGATGAGGCCGAGAGCGGCGGCGTCACACGGCAACGTCATGTCGCAGCATCCGCAACTGTTGACCAGCTGTGCCTGAAGACACGACTTCTCGCACGCCTGTGACAGTGCAATGGGAGACGGTTACACGGACATCCACTCTAACCCGTATGCCTAATCTCACAAGTGTCAATGTCACAGTCATAGTGTTCACTTCGTTTTTCTTCACGCTTTACAAATGTGACGTTTAGAGTAAAAACTCGTTTATCAAGACGGTACCGAACCCTGTGAAACGCCCGGATTGACAAATGTCCGGATTAATGAATCCTGTGGATGGAGTAGTATTCTTTGGTATATATGTTGTGTTCCTGACGAGAAATTTTGATAGGCAAGGTTTTCGGAATAACGAGGTTTCACTGTATACAATATGTGTCTTTAACATAGTGAAACTTGTAGCATATAGTTAATTATACATACATTAATACAAGAAGCTTATGGACTTTTTTATTAAGACAGCAATATCCTAGTCCTCTTTGGCTAGACACGCTGACAATTTAAACTGTTCGTATTAACTCGTATCATGTATTGACAGGCGTTATCAAAAGGGTTAAGTGACTGAATGTTGTTTTATGCCACGGTCAGCAGTATTCACGCTATACCACTGCGGCTTGAACACAATATGAGTTCGGCAAACCAGTGGTCGACTGCTTATACTAATCAAAACATGTTAAGGACCAACCGATTTTATATTACTGTAGTTAATCGGCCATGCCATGATATTAACTGTGGTAATATTAAAGAATAATTTGGTCCTAAGCGATTTTTAGTGGTGTATATGAACCAATCCACATCGATGGCGAAACTCATCTGAAATCAGTCGGTTCTAACAGTGTATCAGTTCTTACCTTGTCACTATATTTGATGTTTTCTACCTGGGTGGAGAATATGTTGGGTGGACCGTCTTGCCCGTGGATTTCACAGTTGCCAAACGGGGAAGGTGTGCGCTCAACAAACACCTGCACACAAGACACAGTGAACCTTATTTACAGCAACCCTAGAGGAAATCACCACCCCATTCAGTGAACCTTAGTTAGATTTATTTCCAAAAAATTCCAATAGTCTGCTCTTACCTTCTGTACGCCGACAGATGTTGCAAACCCAGGGGAGATGTCGAAGCCCTCGTCCTCAGGGAACGGCATGGCGGCGACGTTATGGACTGTGACCTTGAAGCCGACTCTGTTGGTGAGAGACCTGACGTACTCATCCTCCTCCACGTTCAGCATGATGGACAGCCCTGGAGGGAACACCATCCTCATTACCCGCGCCACTGTATCTCTACTATTACGGTACATTCCTTTGCCCCGTAGACCGCCTCCGTGGTCTAGTGGTAGAGCGCCCGCCCGGAGAGCGGACGGTCCGGGGTTTAATCCCAGGCCGCGTCATACCAAAAGACGTTAAAAGATGGTACTTTAGTCTTATCACGACATGTCAGCTTGGTAGCAAAACCCGAAGTGATGCGGTCCTTTAGCACTCTTTTGATCCCCGTGCCCCGAATAAGAAGATAAGTAGACAACACGAGAATTAATCTACTTTAGCTGTTCGCTTTGTGTTGGCAATTAATCAACTTCGTGGTTTGTTGGGACTGCGGGTGTTTCAGAATCAGGAAATGAATTTTGACTGTGAGCAACTGTCGAGTAGAACACAGTTTCAAGATGTATGGGACCCCTGAACACCCGTAGCCAGTGGGTTGTGGTCATGGCGATGGTCTTGCAGCGTTTCATTGGTACGAGGCCCTAATTCGTCCCAGTTATGACCTTTGGTTGGTCACCACAAACTCCTTTTTTTTAAAGAGGCCAACACTTGCGACATGTGGCACATTAGGCTTACACCCCACATCATTCCCACTATTCGAATACCTGGTTCGCCCCAATTATGTTTCTAGGTTTGTCAGCACCATACCCGTGCTCGTGGGTTTCACCGAAATGGTAAACGTCTGAGACCTGCATCACTTAGGGCTTTCCTCCTACATTAAGCTGACGCGCCGTGATATGACTGGAATACTGTTAAAAGCGGCGTAAAAATCCAACTCACTCACTCACTCATTCCCACTAGACTTACATTCCACCCCGATCACCCACCAAACACGCACGCACACACACACACACACACACACACACACACACACACACACACACACACACACACACACACACACACACACACACACACACACACACACAGACACACACACAGACACACACACATTCACATTGTCGACTCTCACGCAATCACACTCACATTAAGCTTGCACCCCACTCCGACCTACACAATTTTACATAAGGCTTAAACCACCACCCCCACACCCACACCCACACCCACACCCACACCCTCTACCCCTAAAGCCCCACACACACTCACAGTAGGCTTACACCACACATTAAGGGGCCAACAAGGTTGGTAGTGACCTAGTACTTACCATATAAAGGCCCAGTCTTTGTTGTGTACATCTCGTCCGTCGCAGTGGTTGAGAAGGTGTAGCAGTTGCCGTGCATGTAGTTGTAGAACTTGGTGAAATTCCTGGGAACGACAAGTGTACCAAGCATAGTGACATTTAGCTTGCCAACGATTAGAGGCCAATGTTAATTTTTAGCACTGATTTTACGACGAACCAAAATACCGTGAAATACCACAAATACCACTTCCACAGAATCTGGTTATTTCTAGAATGATCTGTATAATTAACATCTAACAACCAGAATAGCCCGAGAAACTTAGGCGGCCGAGAAAACAATATATCCTGAATCACTGATGCAAAGTAACTTCATACTTTATATATTTAAAAGCAAAAGGCACTGAGTTTATCAATATGTATGACTACGAAATCCGGATGTACAGTCAAACACCGCTGTGTCGAAGTTGACACAACCGAAATTCACAACTCCAACTTCTAAATGCCTCTCAAAGATGTTATTAGAACGTGGACTGCAATACGTCCATGATGCGCCATAAGATAAGTTCTGATTGGATCTGACCCTTAAAACTAAATTTACATCTGATTGGTTAGAAGCGGGTCAATATATATTAGCGATCAAGCTATCCAGGGTACATATGCGACATGAATATCTAAACATACCCCTGGGTTCCGAGGATGGCCTACAGTATCTGTTCTCTTACCTCGGTGTACATCTTTTTCCTTGATAGGAACACTCTATGAGCATGTCCTCCAGCTGGTGTCCGATGTTGGTTCTTACTCTTGGCGGAAGGTTGGACAAGGCTTGTTGGAAGCTAAGCGCTTCTCTGTATTCTTGACTGTACGAGCCAGATGGTGTCGACGTGTCCACAGTGATGGGGGTGTCGGTGACGTCTGAGATACCGAGAGCCTCTATGGGTTCAGGGGAATCGGCTTCTGGCACCTCTGAACTCACTGTCTTCTGAAAGAAAAGGCTACACAGTTGGGGTTGGGTTGGAGATGGGGAGGAGGGAGAGGGTTAATGGCCCTGCGAGTGTTTTTCATTCGGCAAAATATACATACCTGATTTGTCTCGTTATCTCGTAATTCTTTTATCTCGTAACTGAACTAATCCGATACAATTTTCCTTCAGATGCTGCAAGGAGTTGTCATTTAAGTAGATACGCCTCTGACCCGTGACGACCCGGGGTAGAATAGGTCTTCAGCAACCCATTCTTGCCGTAAAAGGTGACTATGCTTGTCGTAAGAGGCGACTAACGGGATCGGGTGATCACGCTCGCTGACCTGGTTCATGCATGTCATCGTATCCCTATTGCGTGGATAGATGCTAATGATGTCAATCACTGGATTGTCTTGTTCAGACTTTATTATTTACAGACCGCCGTCATGTAGCTGGAATATTGCTAAGAGCGGCGTTAAACAACAAACAAGCAAAACAAATTGTTGCCAGGGATGGCAGGGGCCTTGGGAGTTGCTGTCTGGAACCTGTGTCGAAGATGCGTGGTTCGAATCCAAGAGTTTGGTTGCCATATTGGATATCTGACCTTTGAATCATTTTCTTCCGAATATTTGTTATTTGTCTTCCATGGTAAATCTGCCCTCGACCCCAACAACCCCCACCCCCCAACCCCACCTACCTTTTCGCCTATGTCGAAATCGTAATTGCTGGACACATTCATCAGCTTGGATTTCTTGGCGGCATTGATGTTGCAGATGGTGATGGCAGGGAAGCGAAGCTTTGTGTTGTACTCCAGGCTGACTACTGTAGACACCTCCCGCGTCCCGAAGGCGATGAAAATCGTCCATATGTTGTACACTGCCACTCCTGAGGAAGATACACAGTTATGTCTATTATTCCGTATGTAATGTTTGCCCCGATTATATTTCTAGGTTTGTCAGCACCATACCCGTGTTCATGGGTTTCACCGTAGTAGTAAACGTCCAAGATGTGCATCACCTCGGGCTTTTCTCCCACACCAAGCTGACACGCCGTGATTTAACTGCAATGCTGTTCAAAGCGGCGTTAAACCCAACTCAGTAGTAGTAGTAGTAGTAGTAGTAGTAGTAGTAGTTGTAGTAGTAGTAGTAGTCCATTTATATTGCGCATATTTCCATACCACTCAGGGGCATACGCAATGCGCTATAACCCCGTCACCGGATCAGTGTGCACTTAAGAATCATTCTAAGCTCACTGAGGAGTATACATCCCAAGCTGCCTGTTAGGGGGGTAGAAGTTTAACGATCACATTGCCACCTCATCCTACCTGGTACCCTTTCACTGCTGGGTTAATAGAGGCAGATTTTGAACAAAGTCACTTGCCCAAGGAGACGCCACATGAGTTACATGTGCTTCAGTGTGGGGCAGGGCCGAAGCCCTAGAAACTCTCAGGAGCCAAGCTGCCGAAACGCGGTCACCCATCCAAGAACTCTCCGCGACCGAAATATAATGTGTTCTCAATCACAGAAAGAACACAACTAATGTAAGATTGATTGCAGCGACCCCTGGTAAAATCAATCAATGAATAATACAATTATGTGATGAAATATCTAATTCAGATTATCATACAACCACAGGCATGACCCAGAGAAATACATCATATGGCATGGACACGAACAAGTGCACTATGAAGGACTGATGACCTGTAATATTCACTAGTGGCACTGTGATAGTGTGGTGACCTGTAATACACACGAGGGAGGGTGCTATGAGATTATGATGACCTGTAATATTCACTAGTGGCACCATGATGGTGTGATGAACTGTAATACACACGAGGGAGGGTGCTATGAGATTATGATGACCTGTAATATTCACTAGTGGCACTATGATGGTGTGATGAACTGTAATACACACGAGGGAGGGTGCTATGAGATTATGATGACCTGTAATATTCACTAGTGGCACTATGATGGTGTGATGAACTGTAATACACACGAGGGAGGGTGCTATGAGATTCTGATGACCTGTAATATTCACTAGTGACACTTTGATGGTGTGATGAACTGTAATACACACGAGGGAGGGTGCTATGAGATTATGATGACCTGTAATATTCACTAGTGGCACTATGATGGTGTGATGAACTGTAATACACACGAGGGAGGGTGCTATGAGATTATGATGACCTGTAATATTCACTAGTGACACTTTGATGGTGTGATGAACTGTAATACACACGAGGGAGGGTGCTATGAGATTCTGATGACCTGTAATATTCACTAGTGGCACTATGATGGTGTGATGAACTGTAATACACACGAGGGAGGGTGCTATGAGATTATGATGACCTGTAATATTCACTAGTGACACTTTGATGGTGTGATGAACTGTAATACACACGAGGGAGGGTGCTATGAGATTATGATGACCTGTAATATTCACTAGTGAAACTATGATGGTGTGATGACCTGTAATACACACAAGGGAGGGCACTTTCAGATTTTGGTGACCTGTAATATTCACTAGTGGCACTATCAGGGTGTGTTGACCTGTAACAAAACAAAGGGAGGGCACTATGAGATGTAATATTACCAGTGGCACTATGAGTTTGTGATGACCTGAGATATGCACGAGGGAGGGTGCTATGAGGTTTTGATGACCTGTATATTCACTAGAGGCACTATGATGGTATGATGACTTGTAATATACACGAGGGAGGGTGCTATGAGATTCTTAGACCTCCTGTAATATTCACTAGTGGCACTATGAAGGACTGATGACCTGTAATATTCACTAGTGGCACTGTGAGTGTGTGATGACCTGTAATACACACAAGGGAGGGTACTATGAGATTCTGATGACCTGTAATATTCACTAGTGGCACTATGAGTGTGTGATGACCTGTAATACACACAAGGGAGGGTACTTTGATATTCTGATGACCTGTAATATTCACTAGTGGCCTCTCGTATTAAGCAGGTGGGGCACTGTGAAGCTCTGATAACCTCGTGTAATACTTGGAGTGTTGCTAAATTCGGCGTAAATGTAAACTCTCTGTTTATGGCGCAGAGTTCTTGTAAGAAACAAACAACGGATACCGGGAACCTAAAAGACTGAAAACGAGGTCTTTGAGTCGTTGATTTAACTTTAATACGTATGTCGAATATTTCAATAAGAACAAGTTTTTCACCACTCACCGGCTCCCGCCAACACCGCCAGAATCCAAAACATTCTCCTCGTTAGGCCTGGCTTGCCCACAATCCTGGCCAAGCCATGCATGCTGGTGTTTTCCGCGAAGTACTCGCCGAGGGAACGCACTGATTCATGGTGGGCTCGTTTTTCGTTCATTTTTAGAATTCGTAACCTCAGCTCACCCTTGTCAATATATGAACAACACACTAGCTTACGAAACTTATCTCATTCAGATGTGTTCTGCAAGAGAGCATTTCCAGTGGGCAGATTTACAAGGTCGGTTCCATTCTCTTGAATTCTCAAATCACGGTTTGCATTCTCGTGGCGAATCTGTGAAGATCGTTTAATGAACGTTATATGCCGTTGTTGCAGATGTTGTGAGTACTAATAATGACGGTCTTGGTGGTGCGGTGTTGGCTCTATGCTTCCATCGGTTCTCAGCGGGAGTTACAATTTCCACTGTGTATTAAGGCGTCCTTATCCGCTGTACGTATCTGTAATCAATCAAAGAATTATAGCCAGGACGTGTTGCAATGAGAGGCAAGCCACACATACTGTTAATTAATATCCTGTTGTTCACAAATCTATGTGCCACCTACGGCCAATACAGCATACACACGCGGCTGGTTGATACCCACAGACAATATGCATGATATATGAGATTGTATGATGTTATCGCACGCCCGGGACTATCTGTGTGAAATGTATATGATACACGTGGCGGTTTCACACCCTCACTTCAATATCGGCTAATGGTGTCTCAATTAACATGCTTTGATTTGGAACCATCATCATTCGAGTCCACTCAGCTCCGTAACCTTCATAACACATCGGGAAACTTCGGGCGTAGTGATATCGCATGGTGACGCCATATCCTTCCGCTTAAGGTTCGTGCAACATGACGGACTAACATGAGTATTGCTGTTTAGATTGTCGATAGAAACTAAGTACACATTTGATATCGAGCAACAATAATATAAGGGTCACGTCTGCGCGAGATGTGTTGCGTCACGTGTAGTAGTGAAACTAGTGATGGCTGGCTGGTATTTAGGGTTGAGGTGTGCAGTGTCTCTCGTTCTGTGAGCTTATTTTGATTTAATAATCGCGTCTGGACCAGACAATCTAGTGGTTGACATCATGAGCATCGATTCATGCAATTGGGATCGATGACATGCATCAACCAAGTCAGCGAGCCTGACCACCCGATCCCGTTAGTCGCCTTTTACTACAAGCAAAGTCGCCTTTTACAGCAAGTATGGGTTGCTGAAGACCTATTCTACTCCGGAATCTTCACGGGTCTATGACTGACGGACCTTTATATAAAGTAACGCACATTTCCCCTGGTTCGCCACAAATCAGCTTTTATATATTTTGTATGTTTTCATGTTCTTTCAAATATCGAGAATCAACACCACATGTTGAAAATTATAAAAACAACAACTTTGCGGCTATTGTGTGTTTTATCTTATTAAATTAATGAGGAGTGTTTTGTGCAAACGCTGTCTGTTAACAAATCTTCGCAAATGGGGTAATTTAAGCATCCAAATGTATGTAACAAATATACAATTTGGATGTACATCGTATGAGACAAAAAAGCTATAAAATTGCCTCTGTGTATTGCTGTTGCTGCAAATGTACCACCAAATCCCTGTCTCAAAGATTAACCACTATCCTTAATACATTCAAGGAAGGACCTTCTTTATATTCACAGAAGGGGAAGCGGAATTAATATCATGTGAATTCTATAAATCTCCAAGGATTTGCTTGAATCTTTACCGGTTCCACCCTCCAACTGATGTACCCACCCGCGTGCGCTGTACAAGGCGATCTTAGCGCTGAGGTGATCGTTACTCCCATACCTTAACATAGACTTACGACAGTCTTAAGTTGTTTTGTACAACGACACCCTGAATTAGAAAAACAGGGCCAGAGAGACCTCTTCATCGGTTTCACATTTAGATCTATGCATAAAGATTCAGAGTGACAAAACACTTTCAACAAGAATGTATATTCGTCCTCATTAGAATTCTTTGTAACGCTAGTCCATGTATAATTAACTGATCAAGAACTCCTGGTTATAGCCGAATTCCTTGGTAAAACATACATCCTTTGCATGTTTGGGCGTTAGATTAGAAAATTTCAGCTTCAACATAAGCCACTGCGTTGTAAATACTAACACAATCTAATTCAGGTATTTGATGCTATAGTGTGTACACACAGTACACAGACATAGTGTGTTCCTCGATCAAATATACTGGGAATTCCAAACACTGTTAATGCAAGAAAATTAAAAAAACAAGCATTCAAAGAGCCCGAGAACGAGAGAAGCGTGTGCGTTGACGATTGTTACCATGGGCAACACATTATATGTCCATCAGTAAGCCTTCCATGTCATCTTTACACTATCTGCAGCACCGGGTACTATTTGATTTGATGTTGGATTTAATTACTTCTTGTTTATGTAATACAGACTTTATTTGAATTATCTGCTTGGGCGTGTGGCTGGTGCGTTTAGAACTATTGACTATGGTATTAATTAAGAGCCCAACCTAATAACTTTGAACTGATTGCTAAAATGTAAAAGTTTCAAATGTAAGGTTCCAGCTGACCGAGGAGATTCTTTATTTGCACAAATGTGGACAATCGGTCCATTGTATAATCTTGGTCCACACTCAATATAATAATACATTCTTGAATAAACTTTAGAGTGTGAATACAGATCTCTGTCTTTCATGGATGCTATAACAAGGAAATTCTCATGAGCATCGCATGATATATAAATACAGCTTATTTCTTATAATACATTCATTTTTCAAATATATATGAGTATAAATTCATTTTTTTAAAAGTAGGGTGGACATACTATTTCGAAGGAATATACTGTTTACGAAAACCATCATACATTTAGCACACTAATAAAAATGATATTCATTTTCAATGTAACCCTGTTTAATAACGTGACATAAGCCTTGCTGTCTTGGTGCTTTATAACATCTTGTCTCTACATGAAGAGGATGAGAAGTACAACGCAACTCAGCTGATGCACATATAAATTTATTAATTGATATTACAGCAATATAAGTCTCTTCAACCAATTCAGGTTTGAACAGTAAGTAAGCATTTTAGTGTCATTTGCGCGTGAAGAATGCCATCTTGTACATACGAAAACGTGTAACTGTAAACGTGAGAAAATTTCAGATAAAATCTTATAAAGATACAGCAAACGTCTTGTTTTCCCAGCAATAGCCCAAACAATGCTTATACAGTAAAATCTATATCTTTGAAGCCCAGCTACATATGCCATTTGTCGAAGCTTGATATTGCATATTGTAACACGTTCTAGGATACATTCATTCGGGCATTATTAATAATTTACACCAGTAACTAAGCCCATATATAGGGGATATCTCCCACATTCTACCCTTACACCATGGTCTGGTGTAGTAGCTTTAACCCCCAGAACACGCTTGCAAGCTAACAAGTGTACAGATTCAATTTCCTTGTTTTAGAAAATACCCCAGATTTCAAGCTCTTGTAAAAGAACAGGCAAAACGTTAGTGTCGAATATTCTAAAGAACAAACTATATAAAATAGGTTTGAGGCTTACGAGAGTTTAATAGACAGTGAACAACGCCTGTGGCCTGTGTAGCAGCATTGGTAATATGATTATTCGAAAATCAGCTACTTGAAACAAATAACGTCCAAAAATACTTATAAGAACACACCCACGCTGACTGTTTGTCACTATAATACCCGTGGAGTTAATATATGTATGCTGTATGTACATAATATTGTGCACGTAGATGAGGAAGAGAACTCTACTGCAAGGTATTGTACTGCCTTCCCTAACAATCCCCTATTTGTGTCTACCCAGAGCAGCCCTACTGCTGAGACGATAGGTGATGTCAATATTGTAAATAGCATTGATATTAGTAACACTGTCTATGATTCAACCTTGAATGCTGTATAAAAATAGAAGATTTCTGATGGAAATGCAAACACGTAGTCTGCACAGTATTCATTAACACATCCTTCTCAGAATAATGATTTGCAAAGATTTACTAAACGTGTTGTTCATGATTGTACCTGCTGTTCTGAGACACATTATCAGAGCTATAGTCTCGATAATACATCAACTTTTATTAACCAACTTACTCCCCCACAGCATGGCTCTAGCATAACACGTGCGTTAATAAACAATATGGAAAAGTGTAATGATTATTATTCTCCCAACATTGTAAATATACTTAAGGTTATAGCCTCAGTGTGTGTGGACGTTGGGAAATTAGAATATCCTGAATTTTCCCATCTAATTGGTAAAGGTGATATAATTGGTTTGCATGAAACAAAACAGGTTCACTTGATGAGCTTGACATTTGCGGTTAAGTGCTATACATTCATCACAGAACCAGTTCCCAAAGGAAGTCTGGTGGCATTGGTTAAGCAGTCAGAAATAAATACTCTATATCTCTCCTATTGATTACAATTGTGAATTTGTTTAATGGTTCTGTATATCCAAGTCATTATTTAACTTTGACAATGACACGTGTCTAGGAATACTGTACCTACCCCCAGAAGGTTCTAAATGTGCTAAAGATGACATATATTTCCTTCATTCATTTTGCACATGGAGTTTAATACAAAGGACCAGAACACTGAACACTCCTCTTTACCAACTACAGGAAGTAATCAAGGGAAGAGTCAATAGCTCAGGATATAAGTTAGTAGAATTATGTAATAATACCAATATGTATATATGTAATGGCAGGCTAGATAGACACACAGGAGATGGTAAAGTTACTTGTAAAGAAATCCCCCCAAAAGATCACGATGAAAATCACAACATTATGAAAAGGATAAAGCAAATAATATCAACACAGAATCTGTCCCCAAACTGACCCATTTATTGAAATAATAAAAAAGGTCATGACGACCCAGCACGGGCTATTAATGAGTTTGCTGAAGAGCTCGCGCGTCTGCTCACTGATGCAGCACTCCTATGTTTGGAAAAAGGCGTCCGGTTCGCCACGACCAGAGAAAAAGTCAAAATTTGCAAACCCTGGTTTCGGACAGAAATATACATGAAACATTCTATTTTTCCAAACGCCGATACTTTATGCATAAATTAGCAATCAATAAATTCATCATCGACAAAGTTGAAAAAAATATAAGAAGTACCTTTATAAACATATAAATACATAGAAAACTGAAAAATTTAGTTCAGTGATAAGAGAAAAAGCTGATATTCACCTGACGAATTATGAAAAATCCCCCAGAAGGGTAACAGAAACCAAAATTCGGAAACACTCAATATCACTGAAGTTTTTAAACATTTTAAGAACATTAATGATGAACACCATATGGGTGATTTAGAAATAAATGGAGAAAATGAAGTTTTAGACTATGATGACAATGTTTTGAATAATGACTTCACCTTTGATGAAATAACAGTCCATTAAGAGTGTTAAACG